TCTTCGGCTTTAAACTTACTTTAATACAATGATTTGCGATATGGGAGGGAATCTTAGATTACGCATAAAAAGCTTTTGATCGTTCTGTGAAGCCGCAGTCATGCGCTTAAGTGGAACCGAGGAAAAAATACTTTTTAGAAACTGTGTTAACACCTGTTTGAGAAGGAAAAAATTTGGTTCTAGAGTTTAAGCACCACAACTTTGTTAATGCTACAGGATTGATGACGGACTGATAGTTCGGAACTTGGGAGAAGACTAAATGCAAGAATTTGTAGCGTCTTATTTGTAGAGCGCTATATAAACACTTGGTAGAATCTGCTGTAGATTCTATTATGTATTCATCATCTTGACTATAATAAGCCCATTATCTTCCTTCCAAATCTGTCCTGAAGTTTCTTTGCGTTTCAGGAATAACATTTTCCTCTTGCTATAGATTAACTGCTTTCAAATTCTTGACTTGAGCCGAATTAACGACGTTTGATGACCTCGCAGTTCCCCCACGGCTCTTACTAGGGCTAATCTATAACCACGGCTGCTTCATGGTAACAAACCGAACAACGACCAACTTCTATTTCCCATGCCGCTGGTGCTCCACACTCTATATTGTTCGGAAGTCCCCCTGCTGGACCTTTCCCTGTAGAAGTCAAAGGAACGTTTCCATCTATAGAGCAGGTATGGCTGTGCCATACCTGCTCTATAGATGGAAACGTGCCTGACCGTGGCTGTCCCTCGTAACATGCTAACCTGGGAGGACGAGGGAGGTGACCAATATGGGGTCATCCCATGAAGTGGGAAAAGTGTAAGGAAATCTCCGAGTACGCACGAAATGCTTTTTTGATTGTACTCAGAAACCGAGATCATGTGCTCAAGCGGAACCAAGGGAGAACCGATTGCTTTTAAAAGTTGCGGTTATACCTAAAGAGGAAGGAAGGGAAAGGCTGCTATCAGAAGTTTCAGCAAGACAATTATATTGACATCACACATGCCAGGTGATGGCTTAGCATTCAGAAAAAGAAGAAGCAGAAGAACTTGTAGAGCCTTGTTTGTGGAGCGCTTTATAAGCGGTCAATAGACAGTTGTTGTATTTTATGCTATGTAGTCATTATCTTTGACTCTTGCAACACTTTTCTATCCTCCTTCTGTAAAAGGTGCCTCATCTGGCGCCCCATTGATATTTCCAGGAAGATATTGTTTTCTCTGTTTGCTGTACTCCTCATGTTGTTCCTATAAAAAAACTCTTTCTCTTGGCTAACTTTATTCTCCAGAACTAGAGATCAGCGCGGGTTCTAAGATATGTTAGTGTGCGTGTATGTCCTCCGCTCCGGTAATAAATGGTTGTTGGGAGATTGTGTTCCGGTGACCCAAATGATCGTAACTTAGCGTATAATTAGTTTCTTATGGTTGTTTATGAGGTGTGCCCGCCATGAGAAAAGCAGCTTCGCAATGTTTTTCTTTGCTCGGCGACATGTTCTGTAACGGCTCTTGAGGTCATACGCGGCGCAGATTGGTATACGGGCTAAGGTCGCGCACACTACACACTGTGGCAAACAGTAGACTTAGAGTGATATGCACCACTACGGATCCGAGCGCGTACCTTACATGGATATTCCGGCTCCCAACTCAATCATTTTTTCTGCCATCAACGATACTTGCTGTGGGAAAAGAAAAATTTTTTAAAGGGCACTATATAATCACATTTGTATATAAGGGCTTAGCTGGGACCTAGCAGACCGCCATGGAACGACTAGAGCTCCTGCTATTTATTCTGCGCACTCTTAGGGAGGAAACTCCCAACTTTCCAACAAAAGACCTGGAAGACTAGAAGTCTTTCCAAAAGAAATCCTTATCCCTCCCACCCATGGACCTCCGACATGGTACCTTATTCGTGAGATGCTATAAGCTTGTCACCCTAATTGAAATCCTGACCCGCACATCTCAGGACCGCCTGACTGACTTCACCATTTCTGAATGGGCCGCGAGCTATCCCCGCTGGCAGTACCTGCCTATAATGGCAGCTGCGGGATGCCTATCGCGAACCATACGAACTATCATCTCGCAGAAATGCTGCTAAGGTGCACAGATTCCTTTGCGATACATGCCAGGGGGTGCCGCGAAGGCACAGCATCTATCGGCACTTGGCTATTAAGTGCCACTACAGGCTGAAATATACTGACGCCCGCTGATTGTTTTCTCGCTTAAAAATAGCGCTCCCTAGTACTCGCTATGGAGCAAGTCTGGCTAATATTCATTAACCTGCCGGAGGCCATTGTCCACCCGCGAAACGCGCTTCTGGTGAGAAGGGAGCAAGAAGAGGAGGAAGCGACCGCGGTCCAACACCCGTCTACTAGTTGGGATTGATCTTCGCTTTGTGTTGTATATGTATATGCCATTTTGAGATTTTTTTGTGGGGGGATGGCCTTTGTATAAGCTCGTATTTAGAAATGTCTTCAATAAACCTTATTTGTAATCCTGGTAATTATAGCAAAGAAAGAGAGAGAAAAAAGACAAGAATATATATGCATCCACTTTCGATCTCTGTGTCTATGACAGTAAGAAAAAAATTTGGATTACTAGTTTGTAAGTTAGTAGAGTTTCCAAGATTGGAAAAGACAAAATTGTATTAGAGCATAGATTTGAATGGTTCGTTCTCTGTCGCTCAAATCATACCGCGTCTTGTAGCCGCTTGGTCAGTTCCGTCTCTTGTATTTGATTCAATCTTGTTCCGCAAATATCGGGAAAGAGAGGAGAAGGGAAGTAAGAGCAGCGCTTGAGACTGTTTTCGGAATCAAGCAAATGCTGTTGTTAACCTTCTAGAGAATTTGGACATTTGGTATTTGCCGGAGTGAGAGAAGAGCACATTGGATAAGACGTTTTTTGAGAAGAAGGCTGTAGATTAAATCTTAAATTAATTCTACACAAAATGGAGAAAGCGGGAAAAGGTACAATTCCTCTGGAGAACTAATTTTTCTACATTCATGTTAGGATTTAAACATCAGGGAAAAATGAGCAAGTAGGGAACATGCTTTGCTGACTGTTGAACACTTCCCAGCTGGAAATTGAGTTTCGCTGTCTTCGTATTTGGGATTCGACCTTCATAAGGCTCGTAACGTTGTATATCACATCTACTTTTCTATAAAACAGCCGCAAGCGTTTGAATCACATAGATCAGCATTTATATGCAAGACACGCATGTTTAGCCATCCGCATTTCCTCTGTCGCATACATGTAAGCCCTTTTGACTTACATATATAGTCCTTGTGAAAATTCCTTTGTTCTGTAGGTCGATATTGCTCAATAGGAGAAAAGTCAGCTTTTTGAATGTAGCCAATTCTTCAACCCTATATCTAAGGCCCGTAGTCATTAAATCGGAACTTAGCATGTACGAGAGCGCTTATTGTTGGTGAACGTTTATTATTGATGATCAGTTTCGTTACAGCGAGCTGTCGGCAGAATGCGCGAATCCTCGAAAGGGACAAAGAGGTCACTATGACATCTACGTAGAGAACGAACGAGAAGAGTTATTTGCCAAGAACCAGGTACAATAGGCCCAACGAAATCCAAAATCACTGCAACCGCTTGCCAGCGTTTACACTCGCTGCTTCTACAGGGTGGCCGGTAAGTATGGGCGTTACAACATGTAATATATCTTTTCTCTGAAATATTCTGTCATGACGACTAATATGCCTGTAGCTTATGGGCAGTCTCTATATTAAGATAAGTGAAAATCACGCAAACTGAAGTCTTCTGATGTAAACGAGACTCCTGAATCTGCTTTCTCTTGAGAGGCGCTGCGGCGGGTTCAATTAACACCATATTTGCAGTATCATATCTTAATTTGGAAAGGAGAATTTTTTGATGTTGTGGCACTGCTTTATTCCTGGGAATGTGCTCTACAAAACCTCGGGTCTTAGAATCTACTCGATTAATAATCGGGTTTTTTCAACGGATTCACAATGGGTACATTTTTCGAGTAGCATTTTTGACGCATCAACTTTAAGGTAAGCTGCTGAAGTCTGTATGCATGTGCAGGAACCCAGTTTTGCAGAAATAATACACTAGGATGTCTGTGTTTTTGGCATGCAAAAATAATCTTATAGAATTTTGTTTGCTATGAAAAATCATTGAACGAAAAATTTGACGCCCATACTTTTCGGCCACCCTGTAATGGCAGCTGTCTGTGGCCAATACATCCCGAATCATTCATCGTACCGGCTGTGCTCAAAGACAGCAAGAAATTACCGATTCCCCTGCAAAACCTGCCCCACCCACACAATTTACCCACAGACGCATCTTCCACTAATGGTTATTGGGGGGGGGGGGGCGCCCATTACTTGTGGGTGCCAATTAGAAATTGCCCCGACGCGGCGTTACAGTAACCCGGGCGAGAGCAGCAGGGCCAGGGGAAATGTCCCAGAGGAAATTTTTAGGGATCGCGTCATTATAGTGAGCAAAAAATACATATTTTGTGACCAAATACGTAGTAATTTCCATATTTCCACTTACTATCTCTTTCATTTTTGCAAGGTTTGCGGCAAAACTTCCACCAAACAGTAAAAATCTGACATGATAGTGTAAAAACCTTTACAAAAAATGGAGTAGTACGCCTTGCGAGTCGGCTACCCGAGCTCTCCTCGCAAATGATTACTGCCAGCCTGTCGCGCGCGGCGTCTACGTAATTGACAGTCACAAGTAATGGGATACACCCATGGTTATTCGATCAACGCCGTTAATATGCTGCATCCTTTCCCCTTGTACTACATACAGAACAGGTATAGTTTGGGGCAGTTACCAAAGGCCATTCGGAGGCCGCCTCACTAGCTGAACAAGAAGCTACGGGAGGACCCAGGAAACCCAAACGACTCGAAACCAACTTCGTCTGGAATGAAACCGCCCACAACTGAGGGCCATTCGGGCCATTAGTCTAAAAACGAAACGAATACCTTCACCCACAGATTCGTGTTGTGTATGGGAAACATCTTCGTTCTGTTCGCTTTCTTTTCATCACATTTGCAGTAACAACTTTATGTTAGTAAGCAAACTTATAAATTGACGATAATAAATGGGTGAAACATAATAGAGCTTGCATAAGAAACAGATTTCATCAGTATACCCGACGTATGACGTATTATACATGGTAACAAAAAGGGCAGATCAGAGATATTCACAACAAGAACAAGATAGAAATATCACATTTAGCACTGTGAGACCCGTAGTGCTTAGCTAATATTGCTCCACTTATATAAGCTTGACAAGCTCCTCTAACGACATCCTGAAAGTAACTGAAATCAAAGCGAAACAGCGCACGAACCGACACTCACGTGATTGGAATAGATGAAGAATTGTAAGTAGTATTTTCTGTACAAACTTCTGAAACAGATACTTTCGCCAGCAGTTCCCGCGACAAACCCTCGAAGCACGTTTGTGCAAAATCCATATCAGCTAAAGTCATTCCTCATAACAATCCCATACAGCTCAATTACCATACAAATGAAGCCTACCATGATCCGCCGATGTATACGCGCATACCGGGCAGTCATACTCTGTAGACGTCACAGGAAGGCCTGTTTCACTAGTTAGGTTTGCCTCAAGCACAGTTTGTTCATTGTCCTCTTTCTTTATGACCTTTCTCGATATCAGTTCAGGATAAAGCGCTGAAAGTGAAATAAGAATTTGAAAAATCAAGATGAAGAATCAACGAACAATTCGTCAAATAGCATATAAGTAGGTTTGCGCTGTAATAACTTTTTTAAGACTGTAACTCACAGCTCGGAACGAACGCTCTCTCGACAGAAGTCATATTTCCGTATCGATCTATGGTAACCGGAGGCACAGGGATAGCAGAGGGGGAGACCATCAGATGACAGCGACCACGTTCTCCCGTAACAGCTTTAAATTGCAAACCACTCTAAAAGTCAACTTTTCTCAATCCAATGCAAAATCACCATCATATAGGGGAGAAAGAAGAACAACACTAACCACTGTCAGAAAATCTATGCTAGTTTGAGTTTTTCCTTCCTGGTCAACAGTCACCCCAGATTGGAGGGCAAGAGTATGGTCCATATGAGCTAGCAGTTCTTCCATATCCAAATATGCAGGCCTAAAAAGAGTACAACGTCATCATGCACAAGTTGCAAAATGTATACAATTTAATAGCTGCCAGATTAACACAGACTAGCTCGAACTATAATTTATGCAAAAAACAAAGGTTGAGCACAATAGACATGTACCAAATGTAAGAAAAGGCGAAGGTACGGCGATTGGTTACATATAAAGTGCTCAACTTTCTGCGCCATTTAGGCTGGTTCTCTCCCAAAAATCGAGTAATCTATGCAAATATATGTTATGCGAACTTCATACCTGTTGTCCATATCTGAAGCAAATGGCATGTCCATCAATTTGACTTTATGTTCTGGACCGAACATCCCAGCCACTGACAGATTAGTCCTTTGAGCCATATCGAATACGTCAATACCCTCTAAATCGTGACTGTCTGCAAAATCGAAGCTACCGACAAGCTGTACCTATCACACATCCAGGTAGTGCATTATGTAAGTAGCGCATAGCATTCCATCTTCGCCTTTTCGTCTGTCTCTTTTCATTATAGATTTTACGACAACGGGACAATAATTGTGCATTCGCTGAGCGCTGACTGGGAATTGGCAATGGTCCTTCTCTCGACTTCAACTTAACCCTATAAAACCAAAAATACTTTTTCCAGTGAACTGGAAACACATCTTGCGCAATTACTCACCATTCCTTCGTTTTTCTGGATTTATTGCCATACTTCCTCTTCAACGCCTCTACGTTTTCAATATGCTCACGCATTCTTTCACAAGTTATAGCATAACAAAGATCTAACAAATCGCCAGGTATTTCATCAGCCACTTTGATCCCATTTTTCCTGAAAGGTAGATAGGTATAAGACAAAAGCTACCAAAGTAAGAGAAGGGAAGAACATTCAAGGAATACTCACAATCGATAGTACTGATTGTATGCGACGCTTACACACTCTTTCACAAATTTTTGGTAGTCTCCACCAATGACTGCAGCAGCCTGTTGAAGAGGACCATACACTTTCCACATCCGCTGCATTACCGTCCATGGCGGGAATGCTAAAAATTTTAGCACACAGTCAGTACGGATGAGCAATTGTCGAGAAAAGTGACTAAAATCAAAGAGTATACGGGATTAGGAAACTAATGACATAATGCTCTAAAAACTCAAAATACATCACCCACTTACACGGGAATTGCAAAGCCAAAAAGTGCACATCTGCTGGGCCGGTATGTATCAATCGCCCATCCGGGTAAGTTACCCGGACAGGTAGTTTCCGCTTCATAGCTCAGTGCTCTGGAAATCTGTGTTCTTCCTTGTTTGTTCACTTTGGGAGGCTCTACTACCCTAATATTATAGCACAATGAGTAGCAGCACTTTGCTCTATAAGCTGAGATATTTCGTTATTTGTATGATCCCGAACGGGATCTCCCACTGATCACGCTCATTTTCAAAGTTATTTATATCCGCAAAAACTCAATGAAAACGTCATAGAGTTTTGCTGTCGATCTATTACGACAGTGCTACGCATGTTTTTAGTATAACAGATGAAATGTGCAAGTTTTGAGTTCTTCGATAAAGCCCAACTCGCGAGCACAGGTTCATCGAAGATTTTGTCAACTTGATTTTCCATTTATTTCTTTCACAAACATGCGTAGCACTGTCGTAATAGATCGACAGCAAGACTCTATGACGTTTTCATTGAGTTTTTGCGGATATAAATAACTTTGAAAATGAGCGTGATCAGTGGGAGATCCCGCTCGGGATCATAGAAATAACGAATTATCTCAGCTTATACAGCAAAGTGCTGCTACTCATTGTGCTACAGTATTAGGGTAGTAGAGCCTTCTAAAGATGAACAAACTTGGAAGAACACAGATCCCCAGAGCACCGAGCTATGAAGCGGAAACTATCTGTCCGGGTAACTTACCCGGACGGGCGATTGATACATACCAGCCCTGGTGACAGGAAAACAAAGATTTGATCTTTGATCTAAAACGAATGTGAGACAGAGTCTACTTACTTGAAATATGTAGTCTATTTTGCGCGCGATTGATTGCAAGAATACGAGCAGCCACCCATTCTGGATTGTCCGAATGAGGAATCTCTCGTTGATCCGGCGTCGAAATTTTCATGATATCAGCCAACATCAACTCATATGCATCGCGATGTTCTTGATAAAACCCAGACAGCAAGGTCTTAACATGGACAGCACTTCTTCCAGCAGTTCTAAATTTCGCACAATTAGACTGAAGATGTGCAGACGTTCAAGCAATTATGCGGTAAATGTTGGACTGGGTGAAAAATACAGTAGCAACTGTGCTTTTGACAGTAGTCCAGCTGGTATACTGCTTGAAGTACCCTATTTTCAGGTGTATAAGCCGCACTTCTTTAAATTTTCGCCCGGGCTGCTCAGCCGCTTCATTGTGTTTCGAGAAGCGATCCTTATGCCGTACGACTCTTTCAGGCAATACACAGCATGGCGTAGGGTCCTTTGGTTGCGGGGTCCTTTGATGTATTCGGGCTGGTCGATTTAAGCTAAGACCACCCCGCGGCTTATACACCTGAAAATAGGGTATTTCACAATCGGCCCTAAAGGCGAGATTAGACAGCTGTCAAAGTGTGGACTTTCCACTGTAATTTTCACACATGCCCAACAGCACGCAACGTTTTGTGGTCACGACCACTGAGAGAAAGGGCTTCACCTGAAACATTCGCCTTTCTTGCGAAGAACCATTTGTTGAAGAAATTGCTTGCAACAACTTCTAGCAATAAACTCCTGCTTTTCACTGAATTAAAATCGTCAAACTGCGAAAGATAAAAAGGAAAGTGAAAGCTCACTATGATATCTTCGACGGTAAATTGCCTCGATGATCTGCGGGTGTACCAGTTCTTCTAGTTTCTTTTGCGATGCTAAATCAATCCGTCAGTTCTTGAGTTAAGATAAAAACTATCAAATTTTATAACATACGACGCCGAATTTTCGTCAGAGCTATCATCTTCGTCCGAATCATCTGTAGAACTTTCAAGAACAATCTTAGATGAGTCTGCATCTGCGCTGGTCGTTGGAATGAGCTTCAAGGATCTTAAAAATTCAGACAAATAATCACAAAATGTATACTGATAAACAGTAAAAACTCACGAAGGTGCCACATCGTCTACGTCGTAGTAAACGCTGCTTGCATATTCAGTTTCTCTGAAAATTTAGAACCTGCTCGCATGCTATGCACTACTACAAAATATCACTCACTCATCCGAATATCCCTCGTCATCAGTAGAAGAAAGCTCAGCAATTCCTGCGACTTCTTCACTGAAATTTTGATTGATAAGGATTCTAGCTCCAAAGAACTTACTTTTAGAATTTATTTTCGCCAAAGAATATTTCAAGCAACTGACCACGCATATGAAACCGTAGCAGAGTCTTCTAACATGAACGTTCTGCTGCACTTCTTCACTGGTATGTCAGCGCAGATGTTGAATCCGTAAAAATAATTCTCATCTTCGCTCTCAACTCCGGGGATAGTCCAGGGCTCCAGCTCAAACGGTTTGAACCTTCTCACATCCCGCTCAAAAAACCAAACTGATTCGCTGTCGTGCTCCGGTCGAATTTCCCATTTTTTCAGGCAAAAATTCTCCAGCAAATATGTGATTCCTTGCTGCCATGCAAACCTTCGGCATAACGGCTGAAGCCGTTTTGGCATTCCTCTACAGGCAGAGATAGCTAGCTTTGCGTGTTTTCTGGAAATGGTTGGCCACACTGGCATGCCTGTCTGTCCATCGTTCGAATCAGAACCATCTGGAGAGCTCATACCAGAAGCTAATGCTTCCAATGTGAGCGGAGAAACACTAGGGCTCAAATCCCATTGTCTTCTTATCGCATCGCTATCGGTAGATTCAGGTGATGACTCTCTTTCCGAAGCCTGCTCTCCCTTTCTAGCATTGCAATCTTCACCGCTAAGCTCGACGTCACCTTCACTGATAAAAGATCTACCAGACACCGGGGCAACATCGTCTGTTATTACTTCCACAAGCTCAGGAGCTTGGATGTTTTGAGGAAGAGCCACCTCAAGCGCCACTGATGTGATCGGTGCAGCTTCTACTTGCAGAATATTCAGGCTGGGTAAACTTCTATGCGATCCACCACTAGGATGTTGCTGACGGCTTTCTTCAGCTAGTCTTGGCGCTTGGAACTGCTGCTGTTTGTTAAACGACTGCTGATCACTCCTTGGCACTTTTGAAGGTAGTGAAGATTCCAGCAGGGTAAAATCCAGAACGTCATGGAGTTTACGAATTTCTTCATCGCTGCTATTGTCTCCTTCAGATGTCAAAGGTGATACAGGGGGACCACTTCCGGTAGTCAAGTGAGCGTGGTGGTATGGAGGAAGAGTATGTTCCTGAAAAGAAACTATGTTTAGCGCAATATCATCATTGAAGGCAGTGGCAGCAAGATGGAACATTTCAGATTGTGTTGATGTTAAAGGCAGCGTCCAGGCAGATCTAGACCTATGGGACTTTTACGTGGAAAGTACTTTTGAGGCCCTAACTAAGGCACTGCCCAAGTGGCAACTCAGGTAGTGCTCTAATGGCTGAGATATTCCCCTCGAAACTGGCCCCCGCGAACGTATTCGCATGGATTCATGGCGCAAAGCGTGGATCCTGGCGCGAAACTGCCATGAATCCATGCGAATACGTTCGCGGGGGCCAGTTTCGAGGGAAATATCTCAGCCATTAGAGCACTACCTGCGCTGCCACTCGGGCAATGCCTTAGTTAGGGCCCCAAAAGTACTTTCCACGTAAAAGCCCCATAGGTCCAGATCTGCCTGGACGCTGTCTTTAAGTAGTAGACCTGGAAAGTACACCGTAGCCTCAACCCCACAACCAATTTCTGCTAAATCCTGAAAAGCGCTTCAAAAGCCTACCATTGATCCCATTTGACGGAAGTAGGCGGAGTTGATTGGATTTTAGGGTTTTCAGAACTTAGCACAATTGAATTGGAAAGTGGGTTGGGGCTACGGCATACCCGGGTGTCTACAAACTAACACCAACAAAATCTGATAAAGAGCCATTCTGCACAGCCATTGCTTGCAAAGAAACCCAACCTGCATTCTGAATCTAGACACTCCCTCAGGGATCACTGTTGGTTCAATGATTATGGGTGGCAGCTCAGTAAGCAACATCAAGTTCGTCGTCTTCTCTTCGGAAATCCTCGGCATTTTTTCATCTTGTTCAGCCAAGGTTTTCTTTGCATGGCGTTGTTCGTTCATCAGGTAAATGTACCGCATAGCTTTCATCTCTGCTTCCATCAATTCCGCTGGTCTGCGTTCTAATGTACTACTACTGGCTGACGGTAACCAGTGTGATGCCTGTTCCGTAGGGGTTGGTTGTTGTGGCTGTAGTTCATATGGATGCTGCGATTGGGTAAAAGAAAACACTTCAGGCTGAGTGTACGACTGAGTAATGCCAGATACCACATTTTGGCGAGGCTTGTAAGGTTGAAACTGAGTCTGCTCAGAATAAAATCGTATTTTTCGCTGTCCTTGGTCAAGGGACAGCTGCTGCTGATCACTACCAGCAAACACAACTTCCCGACCTTGTACGTTGGTGTTCTGGGAGGTTGCTACAGAGTACGGCTGAGACCATTGCTGAGAGTCAAGTTTTTGACCCTGACCACCTTGCAAAGGAAATGAATGAGGTGGAGGTTGTTGTATCTGTTGGGCTGGAACAGCTGGAGCAGCTCCGAAATTGAAGGCGGCGGGTATCGATGGTCGTTGAGAAGCTAGTCTCTGCGGGAGTGGCTCAGAGTGCTGTAAGACATGCTGAGATGTGGATGGTCCTTCAAAAGCAGTTTGAACTCTCAGCTCAGCAGAACCCGTGTGAAAGGGCCAGGTAGGTCCAGTATCCCATAATATCTGCGATGCATCTTGCACGTTTATTTGATGCGAGGTTTCATCTACGTTATCATTTGTTGAAAAAGCGGGTTCTTCCGTGGGTGTAACTGAAGATGGCGGTTGCTGTCGTAGGCTCTGCTCGTATTCTGTTTGTTGTTCCAGCTCGTGGTAGTTAGAAATGGAACTCTCATGCAGATCTACCAGTTCATCATCGTCTGCTGAATAATCTTCTCCATAAGAACTCATTTCTTCCTCTTCTCTGTAGCTGACCAATTTCGCGCGCGAACCGATCAAGGATACAGGTGACAACGTGCGCTCCTGATCACTAGCAACAACAGAAACGTCTTTGCCTTCTCTTCTTGAAGTTACCAGGACATTTATGGGCATTTCGCTCTTCTCACTGCCGATGGATAAACCACCAACGCTTGCGGCTAGCTGTTGCGATGGCACAAACTGCTCTTGCTCTTCCACATTTTCCTCGTAAATTCGTTCCAAACTGGCTTGATCAATAGCAGAATGCTCTAACACTTCTCTAGATAGTTCCGAGTGGCTGTACTCCGAAGGTGCGGATCCAAAAATAGCGTCAAAGGTTCCGTCTAGTACGGGGATATGCTGGTCGTCTGGCGTGAAAACCAGCTCCTCCCTCTCCTGTTGTTCGTCTAAGATTTCCACTTCCTTTCGCTGAGATGGAATATATGGAAGTGTGGTCTCAACAGTTTCAACGTGCAAAACTGGTGATGCCTCCAAAACGGTCACTGTAGACTCGTTCACATTTTCGGAGACCGTCCTCGAGATATCCACCGACAACTTTCGCTGCTCTAACTGTTCTTGCGACAAAGCAGCCAATTTCTTCGTCAGCGAGCGAATTTCCGAGTCACGATCGCTTGATCGACGCTCCGCTTGATCTTCCTCAACATCAATGATTGTCCTCTGATCAGTGTCAGTGCTCTCGGATGTAGCGCTGAGCACAGAGCGAACCTTCTGACGATATAACCGCGATGGTGATGCTCCTATCATACTTTGTGCGTCTTCGACTTCCTCCTTTATAGGACAAGAGTCATCTTCAGATAGTAGTTCGGGTGACGAAGTGAGGAATGCCACCGTTGCATCGTCTGCATCATTATCTTGCCTCGGAGCCACAGGTAAAACGACACCATAGGTTGGACTCTTTATGCCAAGCGGTTCCCAGGATGCTTCCTGAGAGCCAGACGGTTGCCTGGTTTTCCTCTGTGGCAGAATTGGCCTGCGATTTTCGGTCGAGTGAGGGTCAGCAGCTTCTTCTAGAAATGCACTATCACTGACGGCAGGCCTTACACCTTCCGGCTCCATAAGCGCACTCGGCTTGACAAACGGATCAAATGCGATCGCTTCAGGACGAAAGGAAGCACTTTCAACTGCAGCTTTGCGCACAGATCGGGTGTTGTAGGTCGGCAATATGGGAATCTCCGTAGTTATTTGAGATTGTGAATAAACCCATGATGATGGTGTGAGCACTGTAGCGACAGGAGGACTCTGGGGCAAAAGCGACTCCACAGCATCCCCTCTCCCTGCTTTTCTTGCTGGTTGCCCTACAGTAAGCGTTTTGATCCGTCCTTCTTTTGCTTCACACGCTGTTCCGCTAGTTGATGCAGGCTGAGCGTTGAGATGAGAGAACGATTGCGGAGTTGGAAGGATGTGGGATGAGGCAGGAAAGGACTGGATCTCCGTAAAAGCGCTTCTTGAGGAGGTCTGCTGGGAATGGGTGAAAGAACGGGTCTCTGGGCGATTTCGCTCTGTCTGACTGGCTTGACGGCAGGTTGCAGCGGGAGAGCGACGATCTCGAGGGGTTTCTGAAAACAACGAAAGTCACTAAGTAAACTTCACCAAAATCCGCAAAGGAAAGTAGATTATGACCGAGCGATACTTTTTTCATGCGAATGCCAGTAAAAGCAAATCTGCATATGTGCTTTGCCCACGAAAATTCAAATGAATCCCATCCAAAAAGCGCTTTCAGACGGTTTCAACTTCAACTATAGAAGCAAGTTCATCGATGACCGCTCCAAATGAAGAAGTTTACTGACTCACCTATCACACGTGCACCTTCTGGAGTGATAGCAAGTCGAAGCGGTTCCACAGCTGGCAAAACGCGAGAACGTGGAGTGACTGGAGTTGTGCTGTTATCGCGTTCCTTTCTACAATAGATTCTTGAGGAAAAATGACAACGTAAACAAAAAAAAACGAAGAATAAGTAAAGCATTGGCAAAGCAACAAAATACCTTCTAGTTTTTCGCTTGCTCTTCCTCTTTCTTCTTTTCTTCGTATCCTCGTCTGACGATGCTTCTTGTCTAGGTCGTGTATGGGTCCGAGGTGAGGTATGCATGACCACATCTTCAATGCTTTCAGGGCTTTCTGGTGCCTAAAAAATCTCCATGATAACACATACGGGGGAACAGTAAATAAATATATGCACGCACTTTCAAGCGTCCCGAAGGGGATAATCCATGCCCCAAAAAATTCGGTGTGCTTGTTTGAGAAGATGGGCCCGGCTGTTCGTCGTCAGGCCAGAAAAATCTATCTTCATTCTTCGAACCATGCGCGTCTGGAGAATGTTCATCTTCCATTGAGGATACAGTGGCTTCTTCTCCGCGACGTTCCCGTTTTGTCTTCCTGCGTTTGTGTTTGCGATGTCCCTTCTAATCAAAGTGGTGAAGGAAGAACTAATAGGCATGAAACATCAATCTCACCAAACTTATCGTCAACTTTATAGGCTCTTTGGGTATTGGAGGGGACATGAGCTTCGGAGAAAAGGGGAAACTGAAGCGAAAAGATTACTTCAACAAGAACCATCTCAAAGAATATCTTACTTCGGATTCCGACTGATATCAGGTGATTCTAGACCAGAATGTCGTCCAGAGTCGTCGTCAGTTGACAATGAAGGAGGGCACATTTCTGGATGACGCTGTCGAACATGTGCTGCAAACATTGTCCGACGAAGAAGCATCCCGCACACCTTCAACAGATGAAATTTTAGGAAGAGGGGCTGGAAAAGAAGAAACATAAATGTAACAGCAAGCGGCTCTCTTCAAAAACCAAATATCGAAGTATAGCAGCAGAGATTGCTTTCACTGACCTGACATTTGACATGCTCATCCACTGTTTCCTGATAGGCAATGTCAAAATGATGTCCACCTGCAACTGTACCTACTCTTTCCAAAAAATATGGTTCTAAGAGTACTATCTACTAACTACAACTAATCTACGATGAAAAAAGGATCAAGAGACATACGGATGATCGGCAGAGGCACATTGTCATCGACGATAGATGGACGTGATACATTCGTGGTGGACTGTGAGGCAACAGCTTCAAATTGGTGGAAGAAACTGCTCCAGTCACCACCCTTAACATTTCCCTTAGATGCGCCAATTTCTCTTCGCCAGATAACTGCTTATACAATTTACGAGAAAGTTGCGCATTTTGATGTCAGATTATTGAAAGTTCCGAAATGTGGTAAAAGGAGAAAATGCTAAGAAAAAAACACTTTAATCAAAAAAGTAGGAGATCGCCGCAACTAAAGCAAAATCATGAGCACAAAGTGTTTCAAAGATGTAAACCAAACAAATAATAATTTCAAACTAACCTGCAAATTGTCCATCCTCCAAAGGAAGAATTGTACAAGTCAAATTCAGAACTCACAGCTGTCTTTCCGCAATAGCGAATTTCTGTCACGCGCGTTGCGCTTGAAGAGTTTACCCGCTCCAATGCTAATTTTTCATGCAGCGCACGGTGAAAAGAGCATCCAAAAAGCTTTCAGGAAACCACAGGGAGAACATTGTCATTACCTGTCATCTAGTATGAGTCGGTAGAAAGTCCACTGCTCGGTTTTTCCATTTGTCGCTAACATACTTCATTTATTTATCATCGGTTTCTAGATTCGTGTGGAGGTGGAGTCTTGCCAACCCACAGCGTGGCGGTTTTTGCCAGCGAGAGAGTACGAAAAGCAATGCTATAACGTGGAGGTTTAACAAGATTATCCCTGTTATCAGGCAAAGTCTGCAATACACCTCCACACGATTCCGGTAGCCGATCATACTCCTCACACATTGTGCCAAGGATCTCTCCCAGCCGGTTAGTCGCGAGGCTACGTGGCGCGTGCCCAGGTGGCGGATAGGGGGATAATCTTCGACAAAAGCGCCGGCGCCTACCCTGATAAGCAAGCGCAACTAACGAGGGGATGGACTCTCTGCCTCTACTAAACGCTTGCATCCCATTCCCGGGGAGGTGGGTTCAAATTGCCTTCAATAAATAAGCTCCGAGCGTCCCCGTCATCAAACGCATCTATCGAAGACCTCATGATGCAAGCAAGGTATAGGTCGTATCAGCCAGCATCGGTCTCGCGCTAGTATGCCTTGCGAGGACGCACTGCGCATGCGACGTGCTTTAAAGGCAGTGTCCGGGCAAAAAGTCGATTTTGAGATTTTGTGCTTACCCGGTCCTATTCGCTATGCTAAATCCGAAAATCCACATTAGAAAGCGCGAGAACGGCGAAAAAGAACTCTAACGCAGGAGGGAAGTCGGAAGTGGGCGGGGTCTTCCCCACCGCGGATTCACGCTCCAAGCTTCCGGAGCGGTCTTCTCGGTCCCAATTTCAAGTCATGCGATTGCACCTGGCCTGTGGAGATCTCAGAGGGCTAGCGGAGTTGAGAAATTTGCTTCAGAAGCCGGGACCGCAAAATATACAGTGGGGAAGACTCCGCCCACTTCTGATTTCCCTCCTGCGTAAGAGCCCTTTTTCGCCGTTTTCGCGCTCTCCAATGCGCATTTTCGGATTCATCATAGCGAATAGGCCCGGGTAAGCACAAAATCTCAAAATCGAGTTTTTGCCCGGGCACTGCCTTTAATGCGTAGCAGAGTTCGCACGCGTCACATCGCAGCTTCGCAAGTTGCCGCAGGCGCGGCGACGCATGACCGCTGGTTGGTACAGCCTATAAGTACACCTCATCAGACTGGCCGAGAGACAAGAGACACCACCAATTGGACGGGGTGAGGGAACGAAAGCCGCCAGTTTGTGTCGTCTTTCGCGGCCAACTGGCCCATTCGCAGTGTGTTGCATGTCGTTGCAAGACCAGTAGTCCGCGAAGGCGGCCCAAACTGGCGACTTTCGTTCCCCCACCCCCTCAGACACTCGCTGTTGACTCGCGCCGGAGATCCGCCCCTTTTTAAGGGATTCGCGGGAAAGGGCGTAGACATGCGCGAGACAATATTTTGACAGTTTTTGCGGATGGTCGCGAAAGGAAATCGGGAGATGATGTGTAACTCAGCGAGCAGTTTCGCAATATCGATGCGCGTTTCAAATCTCAGCTCATATTGCATCATTTCAGGTTTTTTGCTACTTATTTTCTAAATTCGTGCATTCCATCCGTCCTACCTAAGCCCTCTTCTTTCCGTTATTCCATTCCAATCCAAATTTAACTTTATTTGAAATCAATTTTGAAGCTTCTTTTCTAGAAATCGATGTTCGACTATCTCCGTGATTGGGATGTCACATTTTCTCTTATCACATTTTTAATAAGTAGGCTCCGCTGTTTTCTCATTTCGCACCTTCATCTCATTTTTAAGGTTTTGCTCTGGATGCTCTTGGCTTATACGTTGATGATTTGCTGTTACCAGCTTCAGAATTAATGAGGAACCCACGATGTATGTTTTGGAGAATCCTAAGTTTGCATTATTATTTTTCATTGGTTTAGATGGTGAACAAGTCTTGGAAAGGACGACAGGGAGAGATCAAAAGCCTTCGACATGCTCGCACAGGCCAGGATGGATTAGGCGGTCTTCGCTCGCATGGCCCTCGGAAGAGCCTTGTAAGCTATTGGAGTATTGATAAGGTAGATGGACATTCCATCTTGCGTTTTGCAGGGGGGATGTACGGGCTTATGTACTGAATGCGGTTAGAGCTAAACTCCTTCCTTCAAGGGTAAAATGCAAGTGCACTATTCCCAGTCTTCGTCGACATGATTTTTTCTTTTCAGAAGAAGCGTGTGATCGAGACTACGGCAAGCAGCTCTTCTGCTGTCAAGGAAATAGAAAAGACCAGCTCAACGAGTTTTAGCCCATCTGCTACTACTTTTTTCTAGTATGCTGTACAGTCGAGTAGATTTAGCGGTAAATATAGTGTGCTTGCACAGAAGGTGAAATGCGGTAAAATTGGCGCGTGAAGAAATAGTTTCGACTGTGACGCCGGCCAATTGCGCGCGCAAGATGCCCGCGGTACTGACGTGGCTACTTGTTCACGCGCAAATTTCACCGCATTTCACCTTCTGTGCAAGCACACTATATTCACCGCTAAATCTACTCTACTGTACTTACATATCATTAACATATCATTTGCCTTAACTCTACTCCCGCCTTTGCGTATCACTTATTCGCATTCCGAGATTCTCATTGTTACCAAGTACACTTCTATCTCATCATGTAATTTCGCTTTCTTTAACGAGTTTCTCCTGAGGTTTCAACGGAAGTGCCCGAGGTTAACACGTTCTAAAGTGCGAAAGGCAGCGAGAGCGTACCTATGGGAATCTTGCTGGGGAACAAACGATATATATATATACCTTTATATATGTATATATAAATATATATAATGTATATTTATACATACACATAGTATATACATACAGGATGTCCCAAAAAAATGTTTCGAACGTTTGATCGTTAATATCTCTCTTCCCAAGAAGTCTTTTGCCTTGCTTCAGGTACCGTTTTGTAGAGCTGGCTTCAACTTAGATTTGCATTAGAGAACGAATCACCCAACTCTCTTCATTACTGTAGTATTACGGTAGAAACTTGAAACATGTGGTGTCAATGTGGAAAAAAGCTGCCGTTTCAAAATTTTTCAAATAATTGTGAAAACTTGTGTAATAGGGTTTTTATGGACGCTGAGTTCAATACTCAACTGTTCACAAGGTTACGAAGTTTTCTAAACGGTGTAATTGCACTTTTCAGGAACATTGAAAAAATGGCCGCTACCTCTTACCTGGCATAACTCTTCAATGAAGCATCATAATAAGTCGAAAACTTTACAGTCATAATCAGCAACTCTAATTAGCCTAGTGTAGAAGCTTTCAGGCTGTTTTGTTTCTTTTCTGAGGCAAAATATGGCCTTTCATTGCTTAAAACCCTCTTTCAAGTTTCTACCGTAATCCTACACTAATGAAGAGAGATGGGTGATTCGAGATTCGTTCTGTAATGCAAATCTAAGTTGAAGCCAGCTCTACAAAACGGTCCCTGAAGCAAGGCAAAAGACCATCAAGATGTGTCCCCCTCGAGCTGCCGCGTATTTCCTGCAAGATGCGGGTCGCGTCAAAGCGTTGTCTCGGGCAGCATTGTTCCGACACATAATGCTGCCTCGGGATTTCGTCGCGAGGCCGATTACTTGTGTCGCGCTTTCATTCAGCGCTTACACAAAACTTTGGGCTGCGCGAGTCAACAGCGAATGTCTGAGCCGTTGGACGCCATTGAAAGTGGAAGTTCCTAGGAACATGCGAGAGAAGAAGAGTAGACAGCGTGGGAGTCCTTGTCTATATAAGTTTGGCCATACGCATCGATTCGAACTCCAACTGGATGTTCACGAATATCAAGATCTGGATCACTCCTGACCCTGACCGTCATCATCGCCTACTCGCCAACGTCCGCTATATACGATGAGGACAAGCTCGAGACTTTTTTATGGACTTATAGAAATTCTACAGAGAAGATCGCATCTTTTACTAGATCATCGTCGATGTTTTTCAATGCGAAGATTGGTGCTAGATGATCGCATACGATTGACCTCCGGATCTTGCCATGACCGCCGAATCTTGCCAAACGGCCGTCCTACATCGCCCTGCCGCTGCTCCAACCTCTGCCGCCACCTCTCACTTCTCAATCTCCTTCTGCCTCCTGTCTTCCTCATTGGCTTCTTTTACTTCTGAAGCCTCTGCTCTCACCCTAGCTGCTTCCACCCTCCCGCTTCGACTTCCAACTGCCACATCAACACTTATCGGCGCCTTCTTCACCTCTATCGGCTTTTGTCTCTACTTCAAAGGCCCTGTCTTGCCTGAAGCAATACAGATTGACGCCAAAATGCTGTCTGGACTGCCGAACTCCAATTCAGCATCTGCGCTGGAGCGCCCCTCTTCAACCGAGCTGATCGATCGAGGCTGTTTGCTGCTCGATTCGCGCCACCATCTCAACCACGCCACTCCCTTTCACCTTCATGTGCCCGCCACCCCACGCCTTCTTGTCCCACGTCTTCCTGCTCGAATGGCGCCGAAGAGAAGCAAGTGTGATGAAGCCGACGCATACCCTACGTGGGTCAAGGAGATGACTACGAAATGGGACGCCTACTTAAAAAGGTTAATCGCATTTTTGCGTTGTTGATGAAGATGCAGGAAACCCAGCAATTTCTGTGCTCTGCTGTAAAGAAATTAGACGCGCGCGTCTCCAATTTTCGACAAAACTATAATATAAACTTTTCCGTTTACAGCGCTCTTGAAATTCAACTCGGATTCTAAGATAGTCAAAGAAAAGGCGTGCATAATTACCTGGGTCGGAATCGAAGAGAAGGGACACCGCAAGCAGTCGATGTTAGCTACTCGCCCAACCACGACCACCTTCAGTCAACAGCACGGAGCCAAGATCAGTCAGGCTCCCGCCAGAGTGCCGAAGTTATGCCAGCGCTACGCCAGCATTTCGATCGATACACGTGTTTTTCGTTGGGGCGGGGCTAGCTCAGCAGGTAGATGCCCCCAACGAAATACACGTGTATCGATCGAAATGCTGGCGTAGCGCTGGCATAACTTCGGCACTCTGGCGGGAGCCTCAATGTCCTCAGCCCCTGGCACCGATCACGGGACACTGGGTCGCCTAAATCGTTAGGATATGTGGTGAGTGGCATGCACCCACGCAGTACTTCTACCAGATTTCTATTTTCAAATTTCCTCTTTTCAAATCGCCTCTTTTTATTTAACCTCAGCTTTTACATGATGCCAGCCTCAGTTTTTCAAATATTATAATTATTGTGTTTGTCGTTGTGAACGTGAAGGAAAACGTCCTGGTGTTGGGGTATCTGACTTTTTGCGTCCTCCCTGAAGCATTCGCTTACAGAAGCAAGGAATTTTACTGAATTCTGTCAATGCCCTGTCACTCACTTACGTTTGCTAGCTGTGATAGCTGCTTATAGAAGTCCGTCATGTAGTCTGGAAGCACTTCGCGACTTACTCGATTTTCTCGATCAGTTTATGGTTCGGCAAAAAGATCGGCGAAACTTACTTTTCGGAACGCGCTCTTTCTTTGTTGTTTTACGTGTCGATGCTCCTACGCTGCAGGAGAAGGTGGAAAAAACTGCAGTACTTACCTATTGAGTAGGGAGGACATTTTGTGTCTGTCCCGCGCCAGCCATAGTGGGTATCAGCGGCGTACCCAGGATTTCCGCTCGGGGGGGGGGGGGGGTGGGCGTGACAAAAATTTTTTCCGAATGAAGGTGCGTGGCGTTAGCCACGCACTCTGAAAAATTTTTAAGGATGCTGCTCAAAATTTTTGCGGGTCCCCAACCCCTAAAATCTGGAAAAGGGGGGCGAGACTGACGCCACGCCCCCCAAAAAAATTTTTTTAAAAGGCTAATTTAATTTTTTAAAAATTTTTAAAAATTATTTCAATTCAAGTATAAACAAGTCATTTGCACATTTTTATAACCCATATAAGTAACTTTCCAAAATTTTAAAAAATTCGACCCATTCTCGGGGGAGGGGGGGGGGGGCCGTCCCCCCCCCACCCCTCGGTACGCCACTGGTGGGTACCATCGAAGAGTAGGGTATGGTATAGGGTACTGAGGCAGGAAGCGGAACTGAGTAGGTGCCATATGCTGATTGCGGCGGCATTCCAAACGATGCCGTTGCTGTCTATAAATTAGAACTTTGTCACATAGGCAACACAAGAATGCGCTGGATGAAGCAAATATGAAGGATAGGCAGACTGCTGTGTATTCACGGTGCTTGCACAATGTCGGGAACTCGGAGTACTCGACCCCTAGTCAGTTGCGCCTTCCTGCGTCTCCACGCAGGGCCCATTATTTTTTATTTCTCTGCCCCTTAAGTGACGACGTTCACGACGTCCCGCGATTTCGCCGCGCGGCTGTGATAAGAGATAGGCGCGCGACGAAACGCGGCAGGAACGACAAGTGCTGGGTACGTGCGATGTTTCAAACGTCGCACGTGCCCTCACGACGGGAGATTACTACGGGCCCAGATCTTTGATTGTTGTGCAAGTTCAGACGAATGCTATGGGCATTTCGTTTCTATTTGCTATCTACTTGTAAGTAAGGCCCGTATGCACGTACATCTCCGCTGGGGAGGGGAGGGGATCTGAGAAGGAGGGTCACATTTTCACATTTCGTTACTCTAGGTATTTTTCTTCTTCTTTGTATGAAAGAGTAAGTCATGCTCTTTACAAAGAAATCTTACGGGGAGCGATACTTGGTGACCGTGGCCTTTTGCAATGAGATGTGTACAAGTAGGTGCGTCTTGGAACGCTGATTCTAAATCTAAGTTCAGTATCTGCTGTACGACTCCCTGAACGAAGTTATGTACTTTTTCGCATATTGGTTTTGCGAGATTTAGTCAAAATAGTCAGTATAAAGGCTTTTTAGACTCTGATGTATCGAAGACAGTTTCCCTGAGCTTAACGTGAAGCTTTACTTTATCTGTACGCTTTTTTGTAGTGCGTAAGGCGAACATTCTCAAGATATTGGTAAATCCTGCATCAGAAACAGTGCAAATTTTGGTGACAAGAAATGTTCATAACTTCTTTCGGACGAACGCACAGCAGATAATGAGAACAGATTTGTAATCAGCGCCTAAAGACGCATTTAATGGTGTACGTCTCATTTAAAGGCCACGGTCACCAAGTACCTTTCCTGTTAGCTGCTTACTAATGGTCATCTGTTGCATAGATGGCAGCTGTGGAAGAAAATTAGTCAAAATTCGAATTTTCCGTGCAGGGTCATAAAAAATCCGAAACTTGCAATAAAAATCCGAGCAGTTGGTGTCATAGGTTCTATCACCCGTCCTTTCTAACAGTGCAAAGTTTGCGCCGATTGAGCGTCTCTATGAAAAGTTACGATTCTCTAGCAAGCAATACAAAAGGGCGAGTTTGATTTATTTTTGCATTTTCAGGGAAATCATAACTTTTCATAGAGACGTTCAATCAATGCAAACTTTTCACAGTTAGAAAGAGCAGGTAATAAAACCTATAATACTGACAGTTCAGATTTTTACTGCAAATTGCAGTATGACCCTACACAGAAAATTCAGAATTTGAGTAATTTTCTTCTACCGCTTCTATCTGTTCAATGCATGCTTAACAGGAAGCCTTTAAGGTAATCTCATAAAGAGAATGAATTGCTCTTTCATACAAAAATGAAAACTCGCAAATCGGTTCAAAAACAGGAAGTCACGATTTTTTGAAATTGGTGCGAAAGAACTTTCGGGCCAACCTGATATTTTCCTGGAAACTCAATGTAACGCTGTGAAATTGCACTGTGGATATCCTTCGGCGCTGCTAGAGATGTTTATAGTAGAAATAAGTGAAATCTCAGGATATCGAAATCTTCGGTAATCCCTAGCTCGCGAGCTAGGAATCATCGAAAAATTCACAATCTTCATATTCCCTTCCTGTTGCAAACATGCTTAGCAGTGCCGCAGTATATCCTCAGTACCATTTTACAGCGTTTTTAATATCTTCTCAGGAATTTTTATAGTCATCATGGATGAGAACATCCCGAACATGTTCTGCAAAAAAGACATGAGGCAGATTTTGGCCTGTGGCGAGTTCGGACCTCCGATCACGGCTGTGGTCCTGAAGTAAGTCTATTATCTGTACGTATATCTTCTACAATCAACGACAGTTATTACAGTTGGCTGTGGCATTTCGTCCACGGCCTTCTTCTATCGACGATAGTAGTTGAAGGTGTGGTAGGGGGCATGTGCGGTTTGGCGCCGCACATGCCTCTTGAAGCGGCGACTTCACGTGGCGGGCGATGTCCTTATATACTGACTCATGGGTCAGTATCTTCACAGGAATGCGGAAAATCAACGCGGATCACAAGATGACAGAATCACAGAATCATAGACAGCTAATGGTGTGGTAGTTGTTATGAAAACAAGGCTTTATCTCTTTACTTCACAGACATTCTTTGTATTATGTTTACACATTTGATGTTATGTTAATGTTTTTGCTTTATATAAGCTAGCGGTTAGAGTTAGCGGTTATCACTGTCCCTTTTTGTTTTGTCATTAGTTTAGCCTTTTCTCTGCACGACTCATTGCACGATAGGTTCTCAGCATTACACCATCCCAGGTAGTCATAACTTGCCTTAACAGCTAGTTATCCTGTAATTCCACTTAGAGTAGTTGTATGATTTAGTCTAGCACCTCTGCACATTTTTGTTATTTGTTAGTCTCAATAAAGGTTTAATTACCCATTTGAGGTAACACTCGAACCGATTGACGCACGTTTCCAAAGTCTCGCGTGGCAAGCTAGCTGACACACGAGTCGAGTCACCTTATCCACGGAGAGCCTCCTGCATAAATCCCTTTTCTATGTTGAGAACTAAATAAAGGACGAATAAAGGACATAATGATAATAATAAGACAAGACGCAGTACGCAAAATGAGGAAAATGACAACGCCTGGAAGCAAAGATGGCAAAGCCAAATGCTAGAAGCTTCCTCTTCAGTATGCAGAAGTCGAAACTAGTCTGGCCGTTATTGCACAGCTACGGTCTCTGGGCATAGCAGCTTGTAAATGGTGCGAACTGCGTACCTTGGAAATTCGTGTGCCTTTCTTGCATACAAGTGCGGGTAACACTGCTGATCTCTATTCTCTATCTACCTGATCTTGAGATTTTTCATTTTGTTCAGCATATCCATGGTGTAAGCGCAGTAGTCATTGCACTCTTCTGTAGCAACATTAGTGCAGTACAAATCCAGTGATGTATGTCCAACGCGACCATGTGCAGTTCTCAATTGAAATCAATTGCTGTACCCTGAGCTCTATAAAATACCTACGGCAAAGGGTTACGGGAAGCTATGAGATCTCTTCTTTTTCTTTCATTAACTTTACTATGGTCTACAGTGTTTGCTGCAGTTTGGAATCTGAATTTGCTCACCATTTATCGCACAGGATTTTCTGCTATAGTAAGTTAGCTGCTTTTTTTGGTTAACTTGTCGCGGTACAATGCAAAATCTCTGTCTGCAACTGCAGAGACCTAAAAAAATTCGGGCGCGTGAATGCGCGTGACCTTTTGCACGATGAGCAATTCCGAAATGCGAGGTGTGCATTCCTATGGCGAGGTGTGACCAGGGCCCGGCACAGATGCTCTGGCGTCAAATTGGACTTCGTTTTTGAGGTTAGAAGCAACGGGAATATCGTTTTTTGTAAGGTCCTGGGTGAAGCGTCGAAAAAAAAAAAAGATAAACATATCAGGTTTCACGAGTTGAACGTGTTCTTTCGCAAGCGCGCGAATTTCAGACGCAAGACTCAAACAAACAAATGGCTTGTTTACAGTGCACGAACAATCACATGACACCAAATTTAGGCCATGTATATTTAGTATTACACCAAACTATATTATATAAAAAGTCTCCATACCCGATCCCGAATTTGTGGTTCCTAGACCAATACCAAGCCAACTGGGTTGGTTCATAGCATAAATATCGGAGAGTTCACATAATAAAACAAATCCATAATGACAAGGAGCTAATCTATTAGGTGATAGAATAAAAATGAAAATAAAAAATAAAAAACTCCGTTTCGTTCCTACCCTTAGACGGAGTGAAGGAATTATTGATAGCCCTCCCCGGAACTACTCAGTAAGGCCAGCAATTGATAACTATAAAAGTGCAATGCCAACTTCAGCGAAGGCGACGAAGAATGCTAACTTCTCAACTCAAACACTAGGAACGGACGAGCCGCGGCCCTTTTCAGGCTGGAATTTCGCAGCTCCCGCGACTCGGCCGGAGAGTGGGCCGCAGCTCAGCTGGCGATGAGCCTCGGCTCGACCGCAGGTGGGCCTCGGCTTAGCCGCATTGGGCTGTCCGTGTTTCATTCTAGCCTGGCCTAATTGGGTCTTGGCCCACCACTTATAGGGCTCCCTTTTATCACTAAATCATGTAAAATCCGATAGACTAAGCCGGACACAGATACAAGGAAAATACACAGTAAAAAACAAAGATTGAAGCCACCGACACACAGCTTCGGAAGTCACGTCCGACTTCAAAATTAGGTAAAACCAGCTGCTATCCCTTGTTTACAAGACAACATATTGATCGTGTTTCTGCCTGGGAGATAGAAACACATTCAACGCTATGGACACTGAGGGCAGCCTGACCACGTTTCGTACATCACGCACGTACGCCAAGACTTAGGAGCGGTCGAGCCGCGGCTTTCATTTGACATAGGCCGCGGCTCGGTCGGAGTTTCTTACACGGATTTTGGTCCGCGGCTCACCCGCTGCAATGCTCCGCCCTATCATTAAGGGCCGCGGCTGAGCCGGTGAGCCCATTTCCTCGCTCGGCTCGGCCGGTGGAATGATAATGACATGAACGAAGGGCCGCGGGTCGGCCGCAACCCGGCCACGCCCTCAAGTCAAGGCCGCGGGCGGGCCGGAAAGGCCTTTTAGGGCTTCGGCTCGTCCGCTCCCAGTGTCTGAGAAGGAGTATACACTTTTTGTCACTCTTCACTTTGAAGCACATGAACCTGATAGCAAGAGTGGTTCATTTTGATTAGAACTCGCACGCTGCAATCAGCCGGGCAATGATCTAAGCGGCAAACTCACAGGGCTTAAGTTTATCCTGAGCTTATCTCAGAACGTTCCGTGATGGCCAGTGCGAGCGAGGTGAAGCACTGGTAAAGTTACGTAACAAATTAGTGGTAGCGCAAGCCACGTACGCGCGAGCCAACTTTGCGAGAAGCAGTAGAGGGGGGGGGAGGGCGGGACCAGGGCCCGGCACGCGTTGGTTTGGAGCATTTTTGGAAACGAAGTCCCCATGACCTCGCGAAAACTTACGAAGTCCTTCTTGACGTAAAAATCAGTAGGGGAACTCTTATTCAATCAAAATAACAGTAAAAAAGCGAAAAAAAGCGCATTTTGAGGTACCTAATATAACAAAAAAGGCAAGAAAACATTTCGAGTTCATTGAAGGCTCTGTCATTGGGGTACCATTTTAGTGCTCAAAACGTTGAAAACCTCCTTGGCCAACCAAATCTGTGGCCTCAACAATCTGGCGATGCATTTTTCGCCACATAGTTCAAAAGACACCGCGTGTGATTGGAGCGCAATATCTATCAACGCATAGATTTACACTACTTTTGGCTCAAAAAAAGAGGAGAGGCAATAGTTTGATTCGCTCTCTTCATTATATGATAGATTTTTGGCCTCTAATCGTCCAAATCAGGAAGAGCCAAAACTTATGTGAATTCTCCGATATTTATGCTCCGAATCAACCCAGTTGGTTTGGTCTTGGTCTAGAAACCAACAAATTCGGGAACGGATATTAGGACACATAAATTTTAGGAATTTTTTACATAACATAGTTTGGAGTAATATTGTATACACATAGCCCAAATTCGGAGCCATTTGATTGTTTGTGCGCTGTAAACAAGCCGTTTGTTTGTTTGAGTCTTGCGTTTGAAATTCGCGCGCTTGCGAAAGAACACGTTCAACTCGTATAACCTGACATGTTCGTCGTTTTTTTATCGGAGCTTCCCCCAGCTTATAAAAACGATATTCCCGTTACTTCTAACTTCAGAAATGAAGTCCAGTTTGATCCCAAACCATCTGTGCCGGGCCGTGGGCGGGACTGGTCAATGTCTCTTTTTTCAAAAAGCTTCATAAACTTTTTCGCCTACTGGAAATATAGGAAGAACATGCAAAGGTTAATAAAAGCTTTTTCTCATTCGATTAACTTTCAGGAACTCGCCGCCACCTATTGCGAACACCCGAAGACCATCACCGACATGGGCTTATCTATGTCTCAGCACTCTCCACTGTCTTGGAGAACAAAGCTTTATGACGATTTCGGATAACTTCAATAGCTCTCACCCAAAGGTCTTTTTTCTACGAATACGATGAATAGAGCAGCATTAATATTTCAAATAAGTTTGTTATTGAAGTTTGTGTTCGAACTTACAATCTAGCAAGACTTTACGAGATTTATTAAGCACATCTAATTATGACGTAGTGAAAAATAGATACACAATAACTGCTGAGAAACAGAATTTTGAATGAGAAATTGCGAAAAATTATGTAAATCTGCAACTGTCATAAATTTAATGTGTGGAGATGTCAGCAACTGCAACTTTATAGGATTGTTCTTCTATCATAGCAGGTTGAAAAAAGAAAAAGAAAAAGAAAGGAAAAGCAGTTCGATTCTAGATTTGATCGACGAGGATCAAAATTACAAAAAATACACCATTTTGGATTGCTTAGTGACAGCTGACATGTCAACTCCTGCAAACCTTGAATGTGTTAGAACTTCATAGATTTTGTAGGGTAAGATTAGCCTTATCAGGCTATGCTTTAACGTGCCGATCTATTCAAACATCGTCAAGAGTCAAGTCTTTGAAAAGCATGTGAAAACCAGTTTTCAGGTTTCAACAGGCCATAAGTGCTTCAGAACTCCGACTTCGGAAAATCTCCTATTAAGAGCTTTCAGAGGAATAGTATGTGGAGGTTTGATGCTTCTTGCTGCTTTAACCTGGAGAGGAGGAAATTGAAACTTTTCATTACTCATTTGCCCTCTCACCCATTTCAACGTATTGTCTGGAGGCGCCAGTGGAGAATTAGTAATGAAGTCTCCCCCCCCCCCCCCCGCCCCGAGCGTAAGTCTTGGAAAGCGTCAAACCTTATTATACTATATATCATATCTGAACGCTATATCTGAACGCTTCTGAAGAGGATTCCAACTTATGAAGTTGCAACCGAATTCATGAAGTTCTGTCGAAGTTATGGCCTGTTTCAACAACCTAAAAACCAATTTCTCATCCTTTCAAGGACCTGGCTCTTGACGATGTTTGAAAAGGTCAGCACGGCTAAGGGCATTCTTTGATAGGGCAAACCTTACACTGCAAAACCTATAAAGTCGCAACACCCAAAATTGCGTAAATTTCGAAATTTTGGTTTTCGGCGACCAATTTTCAAATCAACCTGCTTCGTATTATCTGCTAGAATAACACTTACCTTTCAAACCTTTGAAGTCGCAGTTGCTGACATCTTCATACCGGATCTATAACAGTTACAGTCTCACATGATTTTCCTCAATTTTTTCATTCAACATTCTGGTTCTCGGCGGTTACTTCCTTCGGCCTACTTTCTTCACAATTCGTCATTACTAGATGTACTTGATAAAATCAGTAAAAAGTCGCTTTGTTTTACTTCCAAATACAACATTAATATACACGTTTATTCAAATATTTGTGCTGCTCCATTAATCGTATTCGTACTTCTAAGAAAGGCCGTGGGGTCAAAGTTGTTGGCCCTAATGAGGACCGTTGGGTACAGCTTTTGAAATCATCAGAAGTCATCAAGAAGTTCTGTTCTCCAGAAATCGTAGGAAGTGCTGAGGCGTAGATGTCTTCATAGCGGGATGATCTTTGAGTGTGCTATAGGTGACGACGAGTTTCTGATAGTAAATTGCGCGAGAATAAGCTTTTATTAATCTCCTTTGTATTGGTTTCGCTTATCTTCCTTCTTCTCACATCAGTTCAATAAAATTGTTCAAGGCGCAAATGTGTGGGGCCACCCTGCACCAGCTCAAAAGTGAAGATAGACGTAGAATCGGCCTTTCACAACGGCGCCTCTGTTGACAAGTCCAATTTTCCGAAAACACAAAATAGAACCGGTTACTACCACCACGAGTTTTACACGCAAAAGGCCAAGGCAGTATGCCATCTCTCCATAACAGCTATTTTGCTCCTGGGGCGCATGCTATTTCATGAAAGATTTGCTTGTTCCTTCGCAGTTCAAAGCTAAAAAATAGTAATGACCAGTTTTACTGTCTAATGAAGTCGGGTTTTTCGTAGCGAGAAAGAAAGACAAAACCATAAAAATTGGCTTACTCACTGTTGCTGTATATGTGTGGATGATCAGCGTTGGCGTGTGAAGTTATTGTTGACGCGGTAAGAAGGGATTTTGGTGTAATCCTGTCACTAATATTTGAAATATAAAGGAAAATTACTCGTTAACTTACTCGTCCACACTTTTATATTAGTACAAGATTAAACAAACTTTGAGAATTCAATGGAAGTGTATTGCAACTTCATTCAAAAAACCTAGTACGGAAGTACAGACAAAATGTAGGACGGAGCGTATTTTTATCTGAAACGTTATGATAGCTCGTGGAAGATTTAGCGTGACAGCTACCACTGCTTCTTCCTCAAAATTTCAAGACCAACCACGGTCAAGCTGGGGACAGGCGTGACCAACCAGGGGAGGGGGGTTCATTCGGGGAGGGTATAGGAGGGGGGGGGGGAGAATTTTAGCCAAGAAGCGATTTTTTTGAATGGGTAATCCACTTGGCCTAGGTGAAGCACAAAAGCGCTAGGTCGATAAAACGTACTCTCATGAGATATCACTTGCAAAGACTGAATTTGCTTGTGAACAGTAACGTACAGGGCTTATCAAACGCAGTGTCGCTCGCATCAGCACCTTCACTCCTGCGATGGACTCTGCGTCTCTTTCGCGAACCTGATCTTCAATCACTTCCAATCGATTGAGGCTCCGCCTTTTCCACGCCCGCCCTGGGAAAGTGATCAGAGATCATGTTCGTTGAAGAGACGCAGAGTCCAGAGCGGGAGTGGAGATGCTGAGGCAAGCGACACTGCGTTTGATAAGCCCTGTAATAGCTCTAATACCAATTTCAGTCAATCTCAAAAACCTACGACTGATACCGATGTTTTAGTCAATCTCAAAAATCTTCAGGTGCTAACGTACACTTCCCGTAAGCTACCAAAAAGCGTCCACCATAAAATAGGTATAATTTCCGTAATTAGCTGTCAATTGAAACTTATGAGATTTAGAAAATATCCCCTGCTACGATTTCAGTACTTCCCATCTTCTGAGAATTTTCAAAGTATAGGTCAGTTTCTAAGGCTAAAATAGTCAGCTTCTTTGTACTTGTAACAAAGGAGTAACCTTTACTACACTATGCTGAATATTTCATGTCGTTCCCATACAGTGGTTTGAAAGTGTCCTCAAATCTTCAACCATCGTGTTTATCACATTGAGCTTTCGTTACATGGTTACCACGTAGCCGAAATAGGTCGAAAAATGGTCATACACTTGGTCTAAAATGTAAGGCATTTGATCTATGTGTGATCTAACATATGATTACCCTATTTTCCGGCGTATAGGCCGCAATTATTTTCGTCGTGCGCGGGCTGATGCGAGATAATGGTCGCGATGTGCGAAGCCGCGCAAGCATCCAACCACCTATTTTACCTAGTGAACTGATTGTAATTTTCTGCTTTCGCTCTTTCTTGTGGAAGCATTGAAAGCACCATTGAAACATCAACATCATCATCAAAAATCATTAAAATCGAATAAAATAGCAGCAGCTTTAACCTCAGTAACATCTTTAAAAACAAAAGAAAACACGGACAACTCCATTGTAGTATCCTTGAGAAAAACACAACAACACCCCAAAATCGTCCGAATCTCTGGAAAGAGATAAAGAAATATCTGAAAACGTGAACATGCGCACTGAAAAGCAGTCACATAATGCAGCGAGTTTTCAGTTGTTAAATCAAAACTTTCTTTTCGAAGGCTCTTTCGCGCCATTGTTCGCTGCGGCGGGTGTGGCTTATATAAGGTGCGGCTTATAAACCGGAAAATAGGGTAAATAAGGGAAGAATACGTGATCGCAGTGACAATTATGTTAGCCTTGCGTATCGTTTATACGGTCTCTCTAAACCATGATCTCAATCTGATCTTTCCAAACATGCTAGGCCGTCATTCTGAAAAAGTTATAAAGGATTTGGTGCCGAGGCGCGTTCTATCGACACGTCATCCAATAACGCAGATGGCCGATTGGTGCAAGAACTAATGGATTGACCTCTTTAGCTGGGCTTCATGGGTTCAATTCCTCTGGTATCTCAGTCGTTTTGCATTATAGTAACTCAGACAATCACAGGCTCTCAGCGGGCCCCACCAAAAGCGTCGTTGCCTTATCGCAGCCACTGTCGCTTCCCGCTGAGAGCTTTGTCGGAGCTTTGTCGGAGCTTGTCGGAGTGGGCTCGCTGCCCGCTGAGCCCGCTCCGACAAGCTCCGACAAAACTCCGACAAAGCTCTCAGCGGGAAGCGACAGTGAGGCGATGAGGCCACCGCGCTTTTGGTGGGTCTAGGCGGTGGCTTTGTGGCTGCCGGCTGAGAGCATTTGATTGTCTGAGAACTTATAGAAGGCAGTGTGCAAAGGCTGTTGACATCAAGCAATGTTCAGTGTTACGATGTGGAGCGATAAAATTACATTTATCGGCAAAGAAAGCATTCTCAAGGAAACGTTTGTTTTTTACTTATTTTTATTAGGTCGTTCCGAAAGTAATGTCGCTTTTTTCAAACGTACGCCACATTTCGTGGAACAAAGATGTGTAAGAGATTCTGGCAGCATTTGATACAGCATTTCATTCTCTTTCTAATGGTTATGAAGATGTTGCAATACAGTCAGTGAGCTTCCAGAAAAGAGTCAAAATCTGCGACCTATGCTTTTTGAGATGGCCAAGTTTCACAATTTTTCTAAAATTTTATAACAAACTTCAGAAGGAGTCCAAGTAATGGATGGATAGGGCAAATCCTACAGGAAACAGCACAACTTTTTTCTACTTTTCAGAGCTTGTCATAATTTCTGTATAGATTTTTTGATGGAATCACCGAATTTTAGCAGGCTCGTCTCAGACACAAATGCATCAAACTCCAATAAATCTTCGGATTTTGAGACTTAAAAAGTATGAATTATGGTTTTGCACTAACTTTGCAAAGCAAATGAGCGTTTGCCGCTTCAGATTAGCAACTTTCGAAAATTCCGGGTACAGCCCGGAGGCGCCCTGGAAAACCTTAATTATGATGATTCTACCTCGGAAAACTTGATGAATCGGAAACCAAAAACAACTGGTAAAAAGAGGAGAAAAAGCTGCGTCGAACGACACCCGAGTTGCTTGCCGGTTGTTGTTCTGTGAGGTTTGAGTTGACCAAATATGGAATTTGATGGCATTTTAAAACTGATTCCAGAAACTTTAAGAAGCAAGCTAAGGAAAAGAAAAAATTACTCTATGTCCTATAGGGTTTGCTCTATCTACCTGCCACTTGTACTTTTTCGGAGAATAGGTACAAAAATTTTAAAAAATCGCCGAACTTGACCATGGCAAAAAGCATGAGTTGCAGATGAAGATCATGCAATGGTATTACAACCATTAGAAAGAGGATGAAATGCTGCTTCGAACGCTCCTAAGATCTCATCAAAATCTTGATTCCATGAAATGTGGCGTTCATTTGAAAAAAGCGACGTTACTTTCGGAACGACCTAATAAAATATTATGCTCAGTAATCTGTACAATGTTTTTGCGCCTTGTTCAAGCCTAGAAAGCAAATGTCCGCTCAAAATACACATTTTGACACCTCGTATTTTGAAAAATTGTAAAAAAAAACACAAATTTGTTTGCTTAGGTTTATTTCATGTTCGTTGAAGAATAGATGGCAATATCACAAACTTAACTTGGAAAAACGACTGAAGGTGTAGCTTTATATCACCGAGCATTGTACAGTGCTCACTGATGAAAAATTCAACAAACACTTTGGCAATGATTTTCAGTGCATTATAGTGAAACGACATAATGAAAGTTGCAGGGTGAGCAATCAGGAGCTTCCGAGAGCACATGTTAATTACTTGCACTCTGTCTTTGTCATCGTTTCTATCGACTAGACTCTCTATATTTATTTAGTGGTATATCGGCTATGGGTGCCATTGTGGTCTTGGAGGAAATCCCAACCAGCTTCCAGTGGATGTCATTGACGCGTACGTGCTTTGAACGAACGCATTAAGCTCCTACAGCGATCTACTTGCAGATGTTGCTATCATCACGATCGATGCTTTGGATATATTGAAGGAAGCGAATTTGAAAAGTTCTTTGGGAACTATTATTGGGTGGATAAGAACTGGGAGGCCGTGGGAGATAAGCATGGCTTCAATCTCGACTGTTCAAGTAAGAATCCTTCATCTCAAACATATGGGGTTTTCTAAAATATTTTGTTTCTATCGGTAGGTCGGAGACAGACACGTCGAAACAAATGATACTACTTCATTGTTTTTGTTGCGGTGACGATAACAGTTTTTTAAGTAATCAAATAACCGTTGAAAGAGTCAAAATACTCTTACCAAAACTTTGAATGTATTGAAAGCATGATCCGTGTCCTAGCGGTATTTTCTATATCCTTTTTCTGTAAAAACGCATCAGGGGCATTGAATGAGCTACGCTGTGGTGATGCATGGAAAGAGATTGAGTACGCAAATCACGTGTCCATCAAAAAAAAACTCATTCGAATCAAAATGTGGCTTTTGTTGATCTTCAAAAAGATAGTTTTTTATGTGCTAATTAAAAGCTCTTGAATATCTTTTTCCAATAACATACAAGCTCTTGCCAAACTCCATTTTCAGTATGAACTTGTCAGTTTTGATCTGCACTTTAGCACTTCACGCCACTGCTGCGGGGCCTTTTGTCATTTTTTTGAATTTTGAGACACAGCATTTTGGAGCTGAATTTTCAATCTTTTGGCGTAATCATCCGTTGCAAACTCGTTAACTAGTTTCAGGGAATATGCAGTGTTGTTTTTTTTGATTATTTCTTGATTCACCCCGAACCCTTGATTCATTGATAATTCTGTCTGAGATTTTGCTGCTTTGTGTGTTTGTGAGAGTACCATCGCCATTCAAAGCGGCTTCCATCATTAGTTTTCTTCAACGAGAACTTAAGAAAAAACTGAGAGCCTGTCCCGAAGCTAGACCCCGTCATTATTTCACTTCCTTCTGCATTCCCTGCTTGCATCATTTCTCAAACCTTTTGCACTTTCATACTCCGAAAGTGTGGAACATTTGCACAACAAACGGGTGCTGTCACTATTCAAAAAAGAAAACTTATTTTTTTATTGGAGCTGCATTCAGAGTTAAGCAACCCTTAGCTAATACAAGTACTTTCACTGTTTATGCTTGCTCTCTTTCTTTAACTGACCGCTCAATGTCATTCTCTCAAAAGTCCAGAACAAGGCTTTATCGCTACGTCGTACGTCGTCTAGGTACTTGCGCTGAACTTCTATGATTTTCAGTCATATTTATCGTTTCGTATTGTTGTTTATGATACTGAGCCGTGACCCGAGATTGTTAACCGTTTATTGGCTGACGTTTCGGCAAGTCGCCTTCTTCAGAGCCTGGAATGGACAGAACAACTTGCAAACAGTTTGACCAAACGTCTCTGCAGCTATGCAAACAAAACTCTAAGACTTTGGTAGACCGATAGTTAACTGCCTGACCAAACACGCACCTTTTGAAACGCCGATGGAATTCTGATGCCAGAGCGAGAGCAATATGGTTAAACGCTAATGGCACGGCTATTTATAACGTCTCCGCCGGGTCAAAAGATCATCTGACCTGATGGATAGGCATTCTTCCTTACGATTATTTTATCATTTCGTAGTTACAGACCATCATTTGTGTCCATTTTTGAGTTGTCAGTGCGACAGCCTTTAGATGTTTAGTTGACGCCGACAGTCTTGCACAACCTATCACTAATTCTCATGTTAATTTTTAGTAAGTCTTTGATTTTGTTGAGCAATCGACATTGAATAAGAATCATGGTCATTGTTCGTGTTAACCAGCTCAGAATTATCTTTGCCCACAAAATTTATAAATAAAGACAACAATAGCACTTGCATGCTTTTACCAAACACTGGCTTTGCAAACACATACCTAGTTTTCCAAGAGAACATGCAAGGAGAGAAACAGCGTGTCTTAGCTTTTTTGTCCGGAAGATGCATGAAGTAGCCATTCTAAATTTATTAGGTGGTCCCATAGGTCTTATCGTATCTGAATTTGCACTGCCATAAATTAGTTCTTCTTTTTCTAGTAGCTTGCGGGGTACCATTCGGCGGATCAAGGCAGGCTGTACAAGAGGCGTTCAAGAGTTCGCATCAAGCTTGATCCGCCTTGAGTTTTAAGCCAAAATAATAATATCGTAACTCCCGAAAAAACGAAAGTAACCGTGTCTCCGTTTCAAACTCTGCAAATTTTCAACTACCACCTATACTCTCCCCCGTCGAATACTTACATCTTGCTGCATTTTTCTGATAGCTAGAAGTCAAGGAAAAATGATAAGCTGAATTTTCAAGCTTTGCCTGTAGCCTGTAATTTTGCTTGTTCTGTATTCCTCGCAAATATGTGATTATGTAGCTTATTCACACTGAAACCCTGACAATAATCTATAGTTTTGTGAGTGCTCTAGTTCTTGAGAAAAATCAATTTGAAGGTTTATTGAACAGACTCAAAAGGCACCCTAATATAACACGATACGAATCTATATTACCTAAAATTTTGAATCATCTTTGATAACTTGCAATATAAACATGTGACTTGTTTGAACTTATGCACAAAATTTTCGAGCAGATATCAGGGAGCGAAGGTCATCCTTCTTTTCTCCCTTTTCTTCGCCGCTACATATTGCAAGGAAATGGTCAGATGTCAGAGCGGCCAATCCGAGCAAGCTGCATACCATTAGATGCAGCATAATACGCTGAACCTAACTTTGGCCATCTATTAAATGGTTTTGTGGACGAAGCCAAGTCATTAAAAGTCCTTATATTACTGGAAGGCGCACATTGCGCAAATGTGGCCTTGAACATGTTCGGCTTACTGCTCGGCCAAAGCATGCAGCTAGGTTACAGCCCATACATAAAGGTAAGCTGAAAGAGCAGTAGTGCTTAATTTCGTATTTCTTAGGACGATTTCCTCGCGTTAAGCTGCCCAAAACTTCACCTACAGAGGGGCTTAGCAGATAAGGAAGACAAATTTATAGTCAGGTTTCTATGCTGCATTGGATGGTAAACAGCGTGTTTGGACTCTCTCGACTTCTGACCATTCCCTTCTTAAAGTCAAATTACTTCACGTTTTTTGAACTGATAGCAATGTTAATGAATATAAGTATGTTTCGATAGCTAAGTCACTGTCAACACATATTTTATGCCTATTTTCTTGGTTTGGTGACAGCCAAACTTCCGAGTAAGAATGCATAGCAAGGATTGGAGAAAAGCATAAGTATCTACTTTGTTTCGCAGGCGCACGGAGTTTTCTAGTCAACCATGCCTTATTCATCGAAGTCTTTCGAAAAAAGCTTCTTTTACTGCGGCATGAGTTAGCACATAATTGTTCAATCTGAGTGATGTAAGTTGCGTTTTTGGGTAAAGTCTGGGAGCTTCTCATATTGATGCAGCTAAAGTACACGATCTTTTGTACATGTTGTATCTTTCTCTAATTATGGACGAATACAGATAGAATACGCACATTTTCACAACTCGCTTTGACCATTCTTTGAAATTACATCAGTTTCATTGTCGGATTGCTCTCTCTTTTACAGGCACTCGTGCATGAACTACTGACACCATATCTTAGCGGATATTTATTTTACAGAAAATTGGACAAGTTCGCGGAAAAGCTTTGTAAATGTGATATAAAACTTGTTGACTGCTGGGGAGGACAGTTCAAAAAGAATTACCACGTTGAGAGAAAGCAGTGCAGGAACAAAACCTATTATGGGGTCTGGTGGGGAGTGAATGAAATGGCAGTTCACGAAGACGCAGTGTGAGCGATACTCGTTAATCCTAATATCAACTGAGACCTTTGTGCTTTCAGAGGTACAATTTATGACATCGAGTATCTGGATTGGCGGAAAAAAGAATATACTGTCAGTAGCTTTTACAATCGCTCTTGGGATAAAATGCTGGAGAAAAAGTGGTCATCTGACGATATCAAAAAAGTCGTACCCCAGCACACATGAGCTCTGCAAGCTCGTCTCTATGAGGTGATTCTATACAATGACGTTGATGCTCTTTCCATGTGTTTTTTATTTCATAACAAAAGTGATTTGAACCAAGCAAGAGTGTATTGGTCTGTCTTTCTGGATTGAAAATCAAATGCGACACTCAGTTTTATTCCATATTTTTTGCAAATCGATGCAATAGGTCAGCTTAGCATAGTTACATTTTTGAAACTTTGCCTTTGGTGTTTCAAAGCTCAAGACAGAATTCGAACAATCAGCGTATGTAATTAAGAGGAACCCAACAGGCAACTTGCTTCCTAGCAAAAAACCTACAGATTCAATTAAACAACCGGTATTTGTGAGCTACTCATAGAATTTGGGTTAATACATTTCCGTTTTTCTTCAAATGTTCTTTATTTACTGCCATCAGTGTTAACCTGTTGACCAACAAATTAGAAGATCGACAAATTCTGTCGTCAGTACGATGAATACTTAGATAACTTATAACTACTTATACTACTACTTAATACTTAGAATCCTTTCGGAAGGCTAATGCTGAATATTTGGTAAAACAATCGCGAATGTTTGGCAGTGGATTATGAATTGCTGCTCCCAGCAAACCTTTTGCGATATATTGCAGAACTCTCCTGGCATTCTGAGATCTGAGGATATAAATTTTTGAGTCTTTACTTTTTTAAACTTATCAAGAATGCAATCTGGAAATGGCTTCAAAGGATTTGGGGCAATTTGGTACAACACGATCTTTTCTTTCGCCACATGTTAACCTATGCAGATTATAGATATTCTAAGAAAAAAACTATGTAGCAGAAATTGCAGGCAAGATTTTTTTGTAATGGCTTTGTCTCACAAACTTACTCGCAACCTGTAAATATCAAAGACATGCCTAAAAATTGTTTTATCAAAACTTCTTTTCCCTCTTTTATTAGGAATGAGCACGGACATAGACAAATTGAATAACGTTTCATCTTTTTCATACATCATCTACAAGGCTAATGTAAGGTCGTGGCACATGATCTAAGCAAGCTGTAATAGTTCTTCTAATTCAAAGTACTATACATCGAAAAGATGAAGTGCACCTTTTACATGGACAAGCATACTTATGCACAGCGTTCTTGTACATCTAGTCGGAATCATTGTTCCGCAGCAGCCTAGTACTGATTCGAACCATACTTCACAAGGTTGTACGAAGTTTTCTTTCCTCTGGTTTTACTCTGAAGTCAAATTTTCGTAGCGAGGTCAAAAGGCTTGCATAAGCAAACTGACATCCTGAAAAAGTCACTAGCAGCAAAGGCAAAGATTGAGATATGTTCTCAATATCAACTCACTATATCTAAAAAATTGACGTCCAATAAAAGGCCAAGAAATCGTACGGTACCAACATGTGGTAGCATCATCTTTATCGATGCGCGAGTTGGTCAAAGAATTCAATCGAATGTAATCTCAACCTAAAAAACATTTAGAAACGAACCATAGCGGTCAAAGTTGTAAGGCAAAGTCCGGCACAGGTGGCCTGGAATCAAAATAGACTTCGTTCTAGGGGTCAAACAAAGGGAATATCGTTTTTGCAGGGTCTGGGCGGAGTTCCGGAAAAATCCTGCAAATATGCCAGGTTTCACGCGTTGAACGTGTTCTTTCGCTAGCGCGCGAATTTCAAACGCAAGATCCAAACAAAACAGATGGCTTATTTGCGACACACAAACAAACACACGACACCAGTTTGGGCTATGCATACAATACTACTTTCTCTAAACTACAGTATGTTTGAAAAGAATTCAAAAATCTTGTATATCCTAGTACTCGCTTCCGAAATTGTTGGCAGGGCTCAGCGTAAGGTAGCTTTTTCATTCCTTTAGAAACGAAGCTTCTTTAAGTTCGCCACAATGTAGACATCACACGCTAACGCTGACATCACACATGAACAAAAAGAATGAAAAAGAATACAAAAACGACAATGAACAGGCGATAAAAACTAATGAATGTTTGTATTCTCCGGATTTGCGGCATGCTATGTCCGCTGCGCAAAACCGCGAACTTGGAGCGGCTTTGCCACCGCCATTTAAATCATTTGGAGGTCTATAACTAGGCGGGGCAGAGGGTTTGGGAAAGTACTAAAACCTATCTATAGTACTTTAGATGTATACTCATATTATACGTGAAAAATTTGAAAAAATTATGTGAAGAGAGAAGAATACATGACCTGGTTTGCCCTGAGCCATCTCAGGTGCTCTTCAGGTGGCTCAAAAGCCACTTAACTCCAAAAAGTTTGCCGCGCCTCTAGTTCACACAACTTTTCATGATTTTTCATACATAGTTCCAACCCCTGATGTGATCTATACACCAATTTTGATATCATATCGTCTCCTTTTCGCTGTAAACAAGCCTTTTGTATATCTCGGGCACATTCTTGAGTTCCAGCGCTTCCACAGGGAGCATACGGAAGCGGGAAAATGCCGTTTTTGCATAGAATGGGATCGTAGAGCACTGAGGAGCACTTGCCAGGCCCCCAGAAGATGAGCTGCGGGAGGGAAGGGGGGATGATTGTGTGGGGAGAGCGGGGGATTGTGGGGTGAGGGTATGAGGGGGGGGGGTAAAGCTGGAAGTATGATAGCGTTTCAACAACTCCTGTGGGATAACTTGTTTGCAGGGGGTAGGACTGCAAAAATTTGTTCCTTGATGGGCGTGATGTTGGGCTACTATTCAAAGGTTTTTTCACTCGTTTAATTTTATATAAAAGTCCGAATTAATTAGCCTTGCGAGACCAGGAGGTCTTCGACTAATTTTTTCACTTCCGAGACTCCGATTTTGCACGAAGCGGTTAGCATTTTTTTGGGTGGACCCGCCACGGACCTCGTAAACGATGTACCCTCTGTACCCCCAAAATGATATCCAGCCTGCTTGGTAAGCGACCTGTGCCGAGCCTTGCTTGTTGGTTTCTGGACCAACAAAAATCTACCACAGATCGGAAAAATCAGACGGTGCCTTTTCTCTTTTTTGAACCAAATTAGCATAAACATAGGCGATGGAGAAGAGCTCCAGTCACATGCTACCGCGGCATTCTTTAAATCATGCCGCGATAACTGTATCGATTAACGCGATAACTGTATCGTTTTAGGCTGCAGAGTTGGTCGAATGTTGTTGGCTTAAGGGGTTTCCGACATACTGAACACGAATGAAGCCCCAATCATTTATCCCATAATAGCAAACTCAATATGATTTCCCGCTTCATTGTTGAGTTGATTCAACAAAAGTTTTACTACTAATTTTGACATCAATGGAAACCTTGTAATATTTTGCGAAGTCATGAAAACTTCGTTTTCAAAAATGCTCCAAACCAACGCGTGCCAGACCCTGTTGTAAGGATCCGGACATATTCTCGCAATTTCACTTTCCACGCAATCTCGCACACTGCCAGATGTCTTCGAATCAGAGCTCGGCACAAGCTGGCTAAGAGTTTTTGAAACAAAGTCTCCTTTAGATTTTCGAAATTTTTACAGTCCCGATTGACTCTTTTGGAGTCTCTCACTCCTATTCACTTTTGTAATTAGATTGTGGCTCAACCAAAGAAAAATTAAGAAAATCCGAAAACAAACAACTTTTATCTCCCTTCTTCCCCCCCCCCCTCACTTCTTCTCCTTTCTCTTCCTACTCCACCCCGCCTTTCCCGCTCCCTCTGAATGACTCCTCAGAGAAGGAGCTGTATGAGGAAAAGAAAAGAAAGTTCAAACTTGATGGTCCCCTGAAAACGATATCCAGCTTGATCCGCTCGCTTCCAGCTGTGCCGAGCCTTGTTTCAAATCCAACACTGGCAGACTAAAAATAAAAGTAATGTATAATTTTGGCAGATTCAAAGTACCCTTTTTTCTGTACTACATTCAGAGGCGCTTACGTCGAATTATGGATAGTTGTGGTAATGCCAAAGGCGACCGAAATGCGTGAAGTATGCCCAGGCTCCAAGCAAGCCATGTACGAGAACAGAAATGTGTTTATGAACAAAATGCAATTGCGAAAGTGGAATGATGCATTTATCTATCATTGGTGCTTTCCTTAGCGCACACGGTTTGCACAACAGCACTGTGTCACCGTAAGATGATGGCCGTACTAAATTTGATCAGAGGAGGTTTGAAGCGAAAATGGAAACTATGAAAATACGTATTATAGCAGGAAATCATCAAAAATTATGTAAGAAAAAAATTGGGTCAACTCGCACAGCTGAGAGATTTCAAGACATTAGGAGAAAGTTTGTCAGTGACTTCACTTACAAGTTCTCTTGAATTTTTCAGTCAAAGTTCGGCGTCTCTCAAGCGCATATGCTATTTGCGTCATACCACTGCGTGCCCGATGTGAACAAGGCATTTCTATTTTTTTGCGTACCAATGTTGATATTATCTATTCGCCAAAAATGGGCAAAACAATTGGTAGTGTAGAAGTCTGCAGTACCAATACGTCACCTCTGCTTCGCAATGACTCGCACTAGTCTCACTACATGCCATCCTCCTGCTCGTGCAAAGAGAATCTGCTTCAAGCAAGGAGCAAGGCAAGGCCACTTACCGTGACACTACCCCAGCATGTTGAAGCGTGCTCTCGTGTTGTCAAATTATAAATGTTTACACGATGATGTCGAACATTGCATGGACTGCAAGAAATCGTTCACTTCCGCTCAAAATCTTGTGGGTGAAATCTTTCGGCAATTAGTTGAGGCTACGTTTTGTGCAAAAAATCTCATCCTCGTACTTGAAATCTCAAGGAATTTAGAAATTGACGTGCCCACTTGATACTTTTGGCGCTATCTTGCAGAAAATAGCCCTTTTGTTCGGATTTTTTTGGATAAATGTGAGTATTGCAAATATTCAAACCAAAAAATCTGTCCTTGTACCCTAGTTTGTTTTTTATGGAGCCAAGGTACTCATCACTATATCAAACACTCACTGCTGGAATGTCTTTGTTGAAGAAAAAGGCCCATAACTACTTTTGGAAAAACCTTCGCAGGCAAATAAAACTTGATCAACAATTTAAGAGCTGTCCATACAAAAGTCCGGACTTTCTGATCGACTTTAGTCGCCTTGTATTAGATTGTCAAGAAAGAATGTCGGTTTTATTTGCTTGCTGTGATACCGCAAACAGGTGAACCCACAAGAACGAGTAGTAATTCGTTAGAGCAAGCATGCCCTACAAATTGATGTTGATGCTTCCATGACAAGATTGCTCCACATAAAGTCAAAAATCAAAATCCGAAAAGTTTCAAATGCCCAAGAGAAAAAAATCGATGTTTGTTCAGAAATTTTCTACGAGCCTTCCACTTGCACAAATTTATACTATCGACATCAGACGTTCATATGCACAGTTGCTATTTTTCTTCTTTGACTAGAAACTGAGAAAATAAAAATTGCCGTGTTTTCTCAAGGCATTGCTCGCAGATCTGACATAGGTGTTCTTTACTGCAAGCCTTCTTGAGTATGACTGTGAATTTTCAGCTTTAAGCCTTACTTTTGAGTTGGGCAAAAAAAGGGCTAAATTTGATATTTCTTGAAAACTAACGCTTGAAAAAATCTGAAAGTTCACAGTTCTACTTATTAAGACTTGCAGCAAAGTATAATAAGTTTCAACTCTTGTCAGTTTAGGCGAAAAATGGACTGGCGGGAGTTCGCTTTGCAACAATTCGCGCTGCTTTACTTTCTGCGTCTCTTCATTCTAATTTATCTCGCTGAGCCAATGGCCATGCGGAAGCACTGCTCCACTTGAAATGTTTCGCCTATTCCGGGTTTAAAAAAAATTGTATTAGGTTGTCCGGAAATTAATGTCCGTTTTCGTTTTCAATCGTCATAATTCGTAAATTTTTCATTTCTGAATAGGCTTCAAGATACCATTCGATAGAGCAAAGCAAGCTCTACAAGATGGCGATCTTACTTTAGCAACAGCTCTGGTCCACCTCCAGTTTCGAGCCAAAAACTAAAAAGATTCAACTGCCCGAAAAATCGAGAAAAATCATAACTCAGTTCAAAAGAATCCTACAAAAATTCTAACTTGCTCACGTAAACACTATCCACATAAGATATATATGTACGCCGTTGCCGTATTTCTTCCTCTGTTAGAAATCAAGAAATCGAATATTTCCATGCTTTTGCCAAAGTCATGCTGTGTCGTCCCCACATAAGTAGTTGTATACTACAAACCTGTAGAAGTACAAACGTAAATTTCCAGCTCTCTACAAGCTTTAGTTCTCGAGAATTTTGAATTTTAGCTTGGACTACCTGACTAATGAAAGCTATATTCGATATTTCTCGAGAACTAAAGCTTATGGAGAGCTGAAAATTTACGCTTATACTTCTACAGATTTGTAGTACACATCTACTTATGTGGGGACGACACAGCATCACTTTGGCAAAAGCATGGGAATTTTCGTTTTCTTGATTTCTAACAGATGAAAAAATACGGCAACGGCGTACATATATATCTTATGTGGATAGTGTTTACGTGAGCAAGTTAGAATTTTTGTAGGATTCTTTTGAACTGAGTTATGATTTTTCTCGATTTTTCGGGCAGTTGAATCTTTTTAGTTTTTGGCTCGAAACTCGAGGTGGACCAGAGCTGTTGCTAAAGCAAGACCGCCGTCTTGTATATCTTGCTTTGCTCTATCGAATGATATCTTGAAGCCTACTTAGAAATGAAAAATTTACGAATTATGGCGGTTGAAAACGAAAACGGACATTAATTTCCGGACGACCTAATACAATTACCCCTAATTACCATTTGCCCTTCCACTTAATAACAACGAATTCATTTTTAAAAATGTGCATAACGATCGCGAAGCCTTGTGCTATAGAATACTTTTGAGTAAAATTTTTGAAAGATTCGGATTAGGAAAACTACTGTAGATTTGAGCGGTCGTTATGATCCTTGCAAAAATCTAAGCAGAAAGCGATCACAAACTTTCTGCACTATACAGCAAGGGTAAACCTAATACATTTAGCAGTGGCGTACCGAGGGGGGGGGCGGGCGTGGCGCCCCCCCCCCGGTCGGAAACGGGTCGCGAAATTTTCGAAACTTACATGAGTTATAAAAGTGTGCAAGCGAGTTCTTTATTTTTGTGAACAATCAAAATAACTTTTAAAATTTTTTAAAAATTCAAATTAGTTTTATAAAAGAAATTCTTCGGGGGTGTGGCTGACGGCACGCCCCCTTTTTCCAGATTTTAGGGGTTCGGGGCTCGCAAAAATTTTGAGAAGCCCCCCAAATTTGTTTCGGAGTGCGTGGCTAATGCCACCTTCACTTGAAAAAATTTTTTTGCCCTTCCCCCCTCCCCGAGCCGAAATGGGTACGCCACTGACATTTAGTGGTATGAAAACGCAATTTCTCACTTTACGGTCAAAGGAAATTTAAAAGAATTTCAAAAAATTAGTTTTTAAAACTCACAGAAGTGCCTCAAATTGTGAGTAGTTCCGAACATTTCGCAACATTTCCCGCCAAAGAGATATCGTGAAATCTGAGCTTGGCACCACTGCATATTGGACCATTACTAATAACGAGCAGAGTGCGCGCCTACTACCTTTTAGAGAAAGTTACGGCCTCTCAAACTAGAGGTTTCCAAGGAGTTTTCTATTGAACCTTTATGCTAGAAAATCTTTCTTGTTATATTTACAGTTACACAAAGACGTAAATTTTCTAGTCAAGAGTTTGCTCTTTAGAATGTTTTTGTTATGTTAAGAAAGAGCGTCTGTTCTCTTGTGAGCGCAAAAAGGCTATTATCTACATCGCTTTATTCAACAACAGAAACGCAAACTAGAATTTAACAATTCCCTGAATCCAAGTTAGGTATGGAGCAACCATAGTATAAATTCCTGGTTGTCCTTTTTGTGCGCATCCATCACCCCAGCTGATTACACCCGCTAAGACGTACGGTCCTAAACAGAATGCTAAAAAATGTTTTCATACAATAAGATTACTCACCGTTTTCATTTTGGCAAGCTAACGGACCACCCGAGTCACCTTGGCACGAGTCGACACCGCCCTACAAAATTTCGATCAGCACTTTTTTCTACGTCACTTTCAAACAGTTGAGTACTTGTGGCTATGATAACTTACCCTTTGATTTAACTGGCCTAGTGGCTGAAAGGCGGGGCTTCTTCACCTAATTAAGGCTAGGTAATGGTCAGAAAGCAAGCGTGCGGGAGAGACGCAGACTGCGTTGCAGGCGCGGACGGCCTTAATTAGGTAACAAAGTCCTGCCTTCCAGCCGCCAAGCCTGTTTAATCAAAGGTTACAGGGATCTATCACTAACAGCTAAGGGCCGCATGCACTAATATCCTCGCGGGGAGGGACAGCTTAAAAGAAAGCTTTATATTTCGAAACTCCAGATACCTGGATTTTACGTTGTGTACCTATCCGTAAGTATTCCTACTACCCTTCACTGTGAACATGTTGAAGAGGAGCGAGAAGCTGTACGAACCGCATTTTCCAGCTTTTGTATGATCCCTGATGATCCTCGGCGCTTTTCTTTAAAGTCATTTTTCTTTCCCCGAAGTTAACGAAAAACTTCCACAGTTGTGCAGATTATCTAACCCCACAGTGCTAACAAAGGAAGTCACTTAACTTAGGTCGGGCTTTTGAAATGAGACACATATATTTAAAATCAGCTCGGAACGCTGATTCCAAATATGTTTCTCTGAAGCCAGTTATGAGCTTTTTTATTATGTGTCATTGACATACAACTGAATATGGAAAGAAGGTCTTCGGATGAAAATCTGCCCAAAAAGTGATGGAAAATCAAAATAACAACAAATTGAGTCATTTGGCTTTGATAGGGTATAATATGCATTTGATCCACTACCTAGATGATGATACCGTTGCATGCCTAAGTCGGTCAACACGCAAAATTTGCTCAGAAAAAAGCTCATAACTCGCTTCAGAAGCTAAGGAAAGCAGATTTGAAATCAGCGTTTCAAGCTGATTCCAACCATATGTGTCTCATTTCAGAAGCCCGACCTAAGTTAAGTGACTTCCCTTAAGCATATTGCTGATGAGAACAAATGATGTTTTGAAGTCATGAAATTTCCGATGATCCACAGATCGAAATCTGAGGTTTACAGAAAAATTCGACTTTTCAAAAACTCGTTTGTTCTCATCAGCAATAAGCTTATGTTAGATGTTCAGTACAACTTTGGAAGGTTTTTGTTTTGTCGTTAACTTCGGAGAAAGAAAAATGACTTTAAAGAAAAGCGCCGGGGATCATCAGGGATCATACAAAAGCTGGAAAATGCGGTTCGTACAGCTTCTCGCTCCTGTTCAACATGTTCATAGTGAAGGGTAGTAGGAATACTTGCGGATAGGTACACAGCCTGAAATCCAGGTATCTGGAGTTTCGAAATATAAAGCTTTCTTTTTAGCTGCGATCCCCTCCCCAGCGAGAGGTTAATGCATGCGGCCCTAAGAGACACGAGCATGCTTTGCTACGTCTTAACTAGTTCAAGTATGCGTTTCAACACGTTTTGGTAACTTTTTACTAGTATTACATGGAAGAACATGTTTAAACTCGGGTTGTGCAACAAACTTGAACATGTTTTTAACCAATTTCTTATGAAAAATCACTAGAACGCGTTAAAACGCACCATAAACTTGTTAATCAGACGTACGCAAAGCGTGCTCGTGCCTCTTGATCAGAAAATGAAGATTATTTCAGAAACCAAAATCTAACAAATTGTAAGGGGAAAAAGGTACAATGTGTGGCATGTGGAGTACGGTAAGATCATTGAATTTATCAGTGATATGAGTTTCTTACACAAAAAACATACGTGAAGATATCCAGCACAAAAGGCCGATCGACTCATGGATGCGTATATCCGAGATGAGTTCATGCATTCAGCTCTGTCAATTATAGGAAGGACTGCGGCTTGAAGACGCGATGGATATTCTTCGAAACATCGTTTCTTGGGTGCATTCCTTCTTGATTACCACACTTACCAAGTCCCAGACTACCCCATCCGGAAACTACACATTTTCTCCCCGTTTGATAAGTAAAATCTCGTGGTGGAAGACAGATGGGTTGAGTCCAGTCGTCAAACCTCATTGGAGCAGCGACTTCTATGATGGCGAGATCATGAGCAAAAAGATCTAAATAGATGCAAATAGCGCTAACACAAGAAGCCAGAGTGGTAAGAGAACCTTCATACAGTGGGTAGAAGTTGAACCGTGAGATGTTGAGTGTTTGTTCATGTCCTTCGTTGATGCTATTATCCCATTCACCTACTACGACAACGTATGAGCTAACACGACGATCCTCTCTGAATGTAAATACATAATTGCTTTTAACATGAAACTACAGGAGTTTTTCTAAACACCATCTTCACAATAATTATTATATGTATATTTTTTTCAAGGAAAATGGACGAAAGGACTTTTGTTTGGTCATTAATAAATATACTCCTTTAGCTCTTTCAAAAATGCATAAGGGCCGACGTCGGAAAGGGAACCGAAAAGTCATATCCTGGAATTCTAGAGTTCTAATTTTCACATTGTATATCCACTCGCAACTGTTTCTAATACCCTTTGGTCAAACATATTGAGCCAAAGTGCACTGTTGTTTGAGCCGCATCACCGTTTTGTATATACCCTCATGTTCGGATGCTGACCATTTTTTCTTCAAAGCCATTTCTTAGTTTTAGTCAATGAAAATATCCAAGTTGAAGTGATTATCTAATTTGCTTAGCAGTGCTAACTTAGCACTGCTAAGCAAATTTCTAAAAAGAACAAATAATGTGAAAAGATAGAGGTTTATCGTTAATATTGCAATAACTGATTTGTCCTTATCGGAAACTTGAGAAAAGCGGGAAAACTTTATACAACCATAGCAGTAGCGGCGGACCCCCCGAGAATGGGTCGCGAAATTTTTAAAACTTACCTATATGGGTTATAAAAATGTGCAAATGACTTGTTTATTATTGTAAATAATTGAAATATTTTTTTGAAATTATAAAAAAGTTCAAATTAGCCTTATAAAAAATTTTTTTCGGGAGTTGGGGACCCGCAGAAATTTTGAGAAGCACCCCAAAAAATTTTTCGGAGTGCGTGGCTGACGCCACGCACCTTCATTCAAAAATTTTTTTTGTCGCTCCCCCCCCCCCCGGTCCGAAATCCTGCGACCGCCACTGAACCATAGCTCTTGTCCATTATACTTCCAGTAAAAGGTGTATAAAACACCTAAAACTGGATAGACATCGTAAAATCCAGACGTCTAGAATTTTGGGATTTGAAGCTTAAAGGCAGTGCCCACTCAATTCGCCTTCCATGTTTTTGTCATACTAAGTCCTTTCCTGGTCCAGATTAAAGTTGTAAAGTTCAAATTGCCCAAATTCCACAAAAAACCGATTTCTGAGGACTCTTTCTTTACGACGCGTAAAGGGTGGATTTTGGGTGAAACGCTGTCTTTAAGACAAGAAACTTTATTTCAAGCTGCGTTTCTTCCCCCGTGAGGCAGCGCAAAGGAAAAAAGCCAATGTCATCCTTTTCTGGCGGATGAAAGGGTCTCGCTTTCTCATTCCAATTGTCTTTGAATTGAGCAGTACCAAGTTCATGTCAAATGTTAGGAGCGGTATTTATCAATCTCCCGTACATCCTCTCATTCGACAATTTAGGCCGTATACACGTACATCCCCGCGGGGAGGGGAGGGGATCTGAGAGGGGAAGCGTCATGTCTCGTCTTGCTTTTAAGGTTCTTATACACTGATACCTGCGCATAACGGATGCCAGGTTATACCATACAAAATTAGATATTCAGTATTTCATCTGATCCCCTGGGGATCTCCAAAGGATCACCTCACATTTTCAAAGTCTTTTATCTTCCTGAAAACTCAATGAAAATGCTCTAAAATTGTACCGAGTATATACTACAGCAGTGCTAAACATGACTGTGGTAGAAATGAGTAAAATCTCAAGACAACAAAATCTTCGATGAACCGCTGCTCGCGAGGTAAGAATTATCGAAAAAATCAAAATCTTCAGATTCCATTTCTTCTGTCGAGAACATGCTCAGCAGTATCGTAGTATATCTTTAGTACATTTTACAGCGTTTTCTTGAGTTTTCAGGAAGTAAATGACTTTGAAATTTGAGGTGATCCCTTGGGGATCCCCAGGGGATCAGACGAAATGGTGAATATCAAATCTGGTATGGCAGTAGCCCGCAGTGGCGTACCGAGGGGGGGGGGGGCGGGGAGTTACTTATATGGGTTATAAAAATGTGTAAGTGACTTGTTTCTTTTTGTAAATAATTAAAATAATTTTTAAAAAATTTTTAAAAATTCAAATTAGCCTTGTGAAAAAAATTTTTCGGGGGCGTGGCGTCAGCCACGCCCCCTTTTTCTAGATTTTAGGGGTCGGGGACCCGAAAAAATTTTGGGAAGCACCCCTAAAATTTTTTCGGAGTGCGTGGCTAACGCCACGCACCTTCTTTAGAAAAAAATTTTTGCCGCCCCCCCCCCCCGAGCCGAAATCCTAGGTACGCCACTGGTAGCCCGGTATCCGTTATGCGCAGGTATCACTGTATGAGAAACTTCATAAGCAAGATAAAGAAAGAAGAAGAAAGATATGTAGACTGGCGAGATGTGACGCTTCCTCTCTCAGATCCCCTCCCCTCCCCGCGGGGATGTACGTACATACGGGCCTGAACTGTGGAGACAGCCTCCAGCAGCGCGAGCGGGCGCATATCAAAAACGCCTGCTAGCGTAATCTTTGCTTTTGCAAACACATAAAAATCCATTGTTTTTTGTTTTGTTTTTCCTTTCTTACGTCTTCGACCACGTTTTTACATTTATATGCACATTTAGTGATCACATGACAATTGTAAAGTATGACAGAGGGATCAGGGTCATTTTTCTCAGAGAGTGCTAAAATGGTCACATTTTAAACATCAGCGATTAATTGAATATTTTCTATTGTAGTACAACTTTTCATAGCAATGGATAAGTTAGAAATGCAGCAATGTTTCAAAAAGTCTTTATGACTTAACGAGAACATTACATAGTGAATGGTTTGAAATGGAAGACTGGATTGAACCACATTAATCATGAGAAATCCCCATCACAATCATGTCTGGATCTCACCTAGGACAATGTGTGGATTCAAGGGTCCGATCTGGCAAGTTTGGCGTTGGGCATGGCAGACCCGTTCTCGACAGATCGGGCTCTGCTGCCCGTTCAGGCTATGCTAAACAACCTCACAGAAATGACTTTTTGGACGCTTTTATCTGTCTGGGCCGTGTATAACAATGGAACGCCCCCCCCCCCCAAACAGCGGGAGATCGATAAATACCATACACCCCAGAATGAAGTGTTTTTGCATGAACACTTTTTAGAACGCGAAGAAAAATAAACGGACTTATTTTCTGTACTTTGCGAAGATTTCATCGTAGAAAGCAAAACGTTGAGGTGCTATTTGCCGCTAACTCATTTGAAAGTATTTTGTAATGTGAGATCATCTCGACTATTTGCTACTTCCTGATATAATAAAGTTGGTATCCCTTTCCCCTTCACTCCCCTTCCCCTCTTTTCCCCTTTCCTCTTGTCGAAGCTGAGGCTGTCATAGCTTGATATTGCAAAAGCTGCACCTTTTCAGTTGCATAAATAAAGTTATTGTTTCTATCAAAGTCACAGTATTCTCTCTTGATGAGGTTTACTAGATTAAATCATGTATTCATGTTAGTTATTATACACCTACCTTCAGTGTCTCGAGCTTGTGTCTCAAATATATGATTGCTTTCACTAATCTTTTATGCATACAAAACACAAGAAAACGCAGCGAAGGGCCTTACAAATCATCACCAAAACACCCGCAGGCTAGCCATTTTTTGATATTCGGATGTTAGGTAAACTTCGCACTAAAGTATCTGCCATATTTGCAATTTTATAAATGGAGCATTTGCAACTCACTCGAAGCAATGAGCCGCTGTAATCAGATGCGTTCGGTCGAGGACACTAGCTCCACAATGATGAGCTCCAGTCTTCAACGGATATTGATATGTGATGCTACGTCATTTCGACTGCTAACTCACAATTTTATTCCTGATCGCAGCCGTCCATGGGAACGCACCTGAAGCCGTCTCGAAACCACCAACAACTCGTGCGTAACGAGTGACAATTGGATCGCGAGCTACAGTCTGGACACGGCGAAGACCACAAGAATGAAAGGTGTCTTAAGTGGAAACGTTTTTGTTGTCATAGACTTTTATCAGAATCTTGGATTGCAACCCTAACTACAAAACTGCCGAGAAATAAAGAAACTTACTTGGCTTTGCGGAATGACAGCGAATTCTTGCGCTATCCTGACAGTAAGTGAATCCACTTAGTGAACAACGCACATCACACCTAAGTTGCCAACCAAAAGATCTCAATACCCTTGGCGTCAATACGTTGGCTGGAGTCCTCAAACATTTTGAATAAACCAATCACAAAATGGCCAAAGATTCAAATACTAGCCCCATATTCATAGCACTGCAAATCTTATCAGCGTGATCTTGTCCAATATTTTTTGAACACACTGGTTGCCACATTCCTTTGAAGGAAACTTGTACATCTCCGCTTAGTTCGCTGCCATCGATAAGGCGGAAGGAAAGCTCTGAAAATAGCAAAATCGGTATCAAAGTTTTTGGGAATTTTTACAGTAATTTTGGAAAAGAAAGCTAGCCCCTTTCCAAAATATTGAAGAAAATCATTATATCCAGTCATTCACTTACCATCGCAGTCATTTTCATCCGAACCGTCACGGCAGTCTCTTCTTCCGTCGCACAACTGATGCCGAGACAAGCATGTTCCATCGGTGCAGACAGCTTCCGAGCAGGTAGAACATATAAAGCGATAACATCCGAGGGAGTTTTGGCTAACATTAAGAGCTTTTTAATCTAATCAAAGTTCTGAAGGACATTATGTATATATCGATTACCAAGTTCGGATGAAGGCGGAGACGCGACAGTTCAAAGCTTGACGACCTTAGCTAGAGAATTCGAAAAACAATAGTATAAGATATATAGATGATATTACATGTGACACTACTTGTAACATGATTATGTTCAAGGCGTTGTTCTATAGTTCTACTATCCAGTCAATCGCTCTGCAATAGTATAAGGTGGAGTCACTAGCTTATCAGCATCATTAATAGTCTAAAATAATCAGCCACAATCGCAAACGATAGATGATATTACATGTGACACTACTTGTAACATGATTATGTTCAAGGCGTTGTTCTATAGTTCTACTATCCAGTCAATCGCTCTGCAAAGCGGCGTTATTAATACCATCTTTCAGCCTCTGAGGAAGGCACTGTTGCCGAAACGTCAGGCTGAATGAATAAAGCTTGTAACAAACCTGTGTAGCAAGACATTACGGAAGATGAATATCTATATCTTTATTCTATGCTATCGCTATATGCTCAAGAGAAGAGTAGAAAAATTTTCGTATACGTAAAATTTCAGTAATAGATCCTGATAATGTAATACTAGCTCTGTACTTTGCATTGAAGCTTCGTCAATATTAGTGGTGAACACAGTTTCCGAAATATTCTGTCCAAAAGAAAACTACGAGCATGAGAGCCGTGCCGCTACTTGTGTTGCGAAAATATCAACTTCCGCTGGAGCTTCCAGCCAAGAAGCAAACCCCACCGGTTGTGATCCGCAACAATAGCGGGCTTCCCGCAAAAGCTCCCATTGAAGAGTTTGACGGAATAAGTGAATGTCTCGCACATTATTATATCAATTAAGACACAGAAAACTTCATTTCTGGGATCTATCTACTTCTGTAGCTCAGCCATTCTGTCGAAAAATGGAGTATTCACTAGCGGGGTTATTCAATACCAGTGCGTCACCTCTGCTTCGCAGAAGCTCGCACTGGCCCTACTTTATCTATGCCTTACTCATTCCCGCATAATAATTGCATTGAAACTCACCGCCCTGTGTAGGCTATTAGGAATGATTCGTAAACAACTACTCATTCCTAGAGGTTTTTCGTGTGAGATCGGTATTTTCGCGTAGATGAAACTTTTCCCAGAAGAACAGAGCAAATTTGAAAAGGTTTTTTGGAATTTTTATGGCTTCGTAGTCGCATAAGGACAGTAAACATTGTGGGCTACATTTCTGTGCAAAAATCTTTTCAAATGATCAGGTAAAATCTTGAAAAATTGACGGTTTACACAGTGGCGCTGTATTCGTAAAGTAGTAGACTTTTCATCACTTCTTTAGGCTAGCGTCCATGGCTTGCACATTAACTTGTCAAATATATTCATAACTCTGCAAAAAGGAGTACTACGGACCCAAATTTGCTGGCCATAAGCCAAGTGGATGGAACAGCTCTACCAATTTTATAACGGACAGACACACACACACGGACATACAAACACACAAAAAGACGTAAACATCCTTAGCCGCTTATTATAAGTCATGACCTTTGCATTGCAGAGGTCATTGGTTCTTCTATCTATATGCCTTAGTTATTCCCGCATGAGTGGCACTGATACCCACCGTGCGATGCTGACTATCACGAATGAGTTGTAAGCAACTACTCATTCCACAGACCTTTTCCCGTGAAATCGGTAATTTCCGTGGATGAAACTTTTCGCAGAAGAACAAATGCAAGTTTTTTCTATGGCTTGATGTTTGTCATAAGGACAACAATCGTCGTGAGTTATGATCGGCTTCCAGATTCGTGTGGAGGTGTATTGCAGAGTTGGCCCGATAACATGGATAAACTTGTTAAATCTCTACGTTATAGCATTGCTTTCCGTACTCCCTCGCTGGCAAAAACCGCCACGCTTTGAGTTGGCAAGACTCCACCTCTACACAAATCTGAAAGCCGATAATGCTCTCTGTGCAAAAATCCTCTCAAATGCTCAAGCAAAATCTTGGCAAATCGACCATTTACACAACCAATTCTTTTTGGAGACGGTTCCGTAAAGTAATACTTTCAAACACTTTTTTGGGCTAAAGTCTATGGCTTGCACATTAATTGATTTGTCGAATATATCCATGATTTTATAAAAAGGGACACTACGGACCCAGTTTTCCTGGCCAGAAGCCGAGTGGATCCGTTTGACGCGCAATTGAGAGAACACCCAACGAATTCGCTCATGAATTTGCATAGTGGACTATCATGTGGGTAGCATGCAGTCGGCTCAGAACGTTGGCTGGAACACAGTCTACGAGTTTTAATTTCGTAACGGACAGACAGACACACAGAGACAAAAACACGCAACACCCTCAACCAGTTATTATAATTTACGATTGTCAGAGTACCACTGTGGTATGGCTTTGCTATAAAAACACTGCAAATGATGTTTATTTATGGAGCTTTTCCCTCACGGGCGGTTTGCAGTCTCGCGAACCAAATAGAAAACCCATAAATGCTGACCATAGCGAAATAAGAGAAACAACACTGTTATTTTTGACGGTGTTTGATTGGAAGGCTGCGGTTGGAAACTTTGTGAAGTATGGTCGTAAGTCTAGGAACAAAGAAGGACGTCAGAGACACCTCCACATCCCCCTCTTTATAACAACTTCAAATGCGAACTTTGTAACTGTGCCACACATCGACTGCTAACACTCTGCATGGTATGTAAAAAGGGTCCAGAAATAAGCAGTAGTACCACAGAGTTGACTCTCAACCGTATACTTGAGCAAAACACCTCACCATGCATAGCTGTGTCTCAAGTAGACTTATATCGCAAGATCTGGCCAAATAGGTGTTATTGGTAGTCAATTAACAGATCAGAGCGGTGGCATCGGTAAGTTCTCAATTCATAGCGAATGGAGGTACGCATAAGGTGTGTTGTGCTCGCCACCACCTCCATAAACATCGTCACCGATTGCAATGCTAACTGATGCAGAGTATCTGCAGGCATCCTGACAACTAACTAGGCGACTAGCGCGCGATTATGGTCATGCCCTTGGCAGTCTATCCACCGCTTGAACATAATGTGTAAGTTAAGTGTTGTTCAGATCTACCTTAGCGGTGAACATGTAGTAAGTGTTTTGCAGCTCGCGTCACGAATACACTGTACCGACCAACCATCACCATATGATGATGAAGTCGTTGAAGAAAATGCCACCACTGCCTCCTCCACTGCTGGACGACGAGGTCGAACAGGATCTTCTGCTAATGCCAGCCTGGAAACAGACAAATGGACAGGAGATTGTCTATGTGGTAGGGTCAATTTTCAAATTTGTCAGTAGGGGAAAGACATCAAGACTAGCAGCTCGAGTAGAGGAGGAATTGAAATTGTGTATAGAGCTGTCTTAGGTGGAATGTGAACTCAATGCAGTTCCTTGAAATAGCCAGTAGGATTAATCTCGATTTCGGGTGCAGTCTGATTCTACTAACTTTGGGACGTCTTTGACTTTTGATATTTTTATTCTCGATAATGTTGCATTCACATACTAGCTGCTCTTGTTTTGGGACAGCTGCCTAAATTGGCTCATGGAAGAGACAAGTGCATTTCAAAGCAAGGACATTACTTTCCTTTCACCCCTCCTGTTTCTCTATCCTAATGCTTGACTGCACACCTGCTGTATTCGCGCTTACCTTCAAAACATTCTAATTCTACACACCACCACATTCTACGAGAACGTTGGTTAGAATGAACAGCCCAGTTTACACATAGTGAGACTAAGACACTGATAAAGATTTCATTTTGGCAAAACAGCCTATTCCAGCAGAAAATCTTACAAGGGAAGCTATCTACCAACTCAGCTCGGCCTTTTGACAAGGGACATACACAGTCTGAATCAGCTTCAAACGCTGATTCCAAATATGCTATTCCTAGCTGCCACGCACCGTTCCAAAGCAAGATATGAGCTTTTTCCTGCGCAAAATTGGCATGATCATCAACTCACGGGCATCACGTCATCATCATTTAAGTGCTGATACACCCCTGCGTTAAGCTTTTTTTAGTAAGAAAAGATTGGATTTGTACTATTTCGATACCCCAGCACCTTTTTCTTGCAGATTTTTATCTACAGGCAGTCTTCTCATGTTCAGTAGTATGACAATTTTGCGTAGAAAAAAGACCATAACTCGCTTCGGAATGGTGCTTGGCAGCTGGGAATAGCATATTTGGAATCAGCTTTCAAAGCTGATTCGGAATATATATGCTTTCCACCAAAAGGCCGAGCTGAATTAGGTAGCTTTCCTTATTAGGAGCACATAGAGGTCACCTCAGCACTTCTTCAGCTTCGTCTTCCTTGAGTTGCATCTGATATCTTGGCTTGCCTAGAGTGTTTTGCAATTCTGTTTGCTATCTGACCCGGATTGAATACACTCGGATCCTGTCCCAAATCATTTTCTTCCAAACAATCTTAGTATTCTTCGAAACGCGTTCCACCTTATTCACAAGTCGTTAAGGCGCAGTGTTTCTCAGGCTTTCAAACTCTTTGATAGCCAGTCGTAGTCGCGCATTGAGTCTCCTTGATGCGACAGTATCGAGTTGATATGAGCTTCTCCAGCCTATGACGCCATAAACGACTTCGTTTCCTCTTGCGATGCTACATCCAATTTTGTTTTGTCATATGCTGATGTTGATGATAACAGTTGATATGCTGCTGGTTTTCTGACGTGGAGGATATAGACGCAGGATGACGGAAATGATAAGATCTAATGTGAATCGGCAAGATGGACAGTAGACCGGACGACACAACGCCTCCCAAGCTTTCACGATGGAACTTTCTCGACACATGATGATGGGGGTCCCATCACTTACCACCGCATCCATTTTCATGGCCTTCTTTTCCTGCAGAGCGATGACATGATACTTATACACTGCAGAGTCGAAAAAAAGCTTAAACTTTGTGGACACTGTCTCAGGGTCCTACGACGTATGTTGAAGACGTGTCGAATTTGTCCAGATACGCCCTTGAATGTGGATGCAACCGCCAGCGATTCTTACCTTTAACCAGACTGCGGGGATTTGACGGGGTCTGCTCTCGGCTAAACATCTGGCGGAGTCCAAGATGAGACGCCAAAAACCTCCACGGCTTGGAAGACCCTGCGACACCGTACATTCGCCTGTACATCGCAATTCAAAGTCCGTGTCACGAAGCGCCACGTCAAAGGCACCGTCCACCCAAAATTTCGACTTCCATGTTTTTGCCGTTCCGGGGCCTTCTCATACCCCTGATTCCAAATATCAAGTTGAAAATCCGCGAAAACCACGAAAAACCCCATTTTCAGAACCCGCAGAGCGATTTCTTCGGTACGGTGATTGGTTGGGCGCGCACGGATGGGCGGGACGAACGTCACGCCCACTCCGAAAGGGGAGGAGCCAGCGTCGCGAACGCGGCCTGAAGCGATTTCCGAAGCAATTTTCTCGATTCGAAAGCAACTTCAGGCAGCGCGAGTTGGGCAATCATACAGTTGGGGGCCCCGCATCTGCTAGGTATCATAATCTCACCAACCCCAATTTGGGTGGACGGTGCCTTCAAGGAGGCGGCGTACGGTAGTGAGGGATTCGAAGTTGTAAACAAGAAAAAGCGCGAAATTTTCGGTTCCATTTAGGTGACCAATTTTTGCCAGATCCTGCAAGAGTTTACTGCGCCAGGTACCCCTATAGTCATAATAAGAATCCTTGTGAAAGACTCTTTGCTTGCCTTCAGTAGTAGGGCACTTTCTCAAGGGCATAGGTGGCATCGCATTATGCGTGTCTTTTCATGACTGTTGCGCTTTCTTATAGGTCCACCGGAATCGTGCCGTTACTCGTGAAGTTTACGAAGATGGAGTAAAGAAAACAGCGCGTTACGCAGGCGAATTCACAGACGTAAACTACGAGCCGTGGATAGTTTTCGTCAATCATCTTCCTGTCGAAGATAACGTGAGTGATCTGACCGATAAAGACCGAGTCAGTTATGCGCTGATTGCAGAATATATTCGAAGAAATGAAGTGCACGCAACCTGCTCATCGCGGACATAGTCCTCAGTATGGTTATCTCCCAGAAGATGTTAGTCAATTACGCAAGTATTCTTTCATTTGACAAACTGCACCATTACAAATGCAAAAAACGCAATCGTGACAGTTGAAGGCAGTGACCGGGCAAGAATTCTACTTCAAAATTTTGTGCTTGCCTGCGCCTATTCGCCATACTGAATCCGAAAAACCGCATTGCAAAGCGCGAAAACGGCGAAAAAGAAATCTAACGCAGGAGGGAAATCAGAAGGTGGGCGGTGCCGTTCACTCTATGAAGTCACTCTACCAACTTTAAGAGCGATCCTCTCGCTTCCGCTAGCTGCCCTCATATCCCCACCGGTCCTGTGCAAACGCGTGACTTAAAATCGGAAACGAGAAGGTCGCCCCTCAAGCTGGGGGAGTGACCTCACAGAGTACACGGCCCCGTCCACCTGCTAGATTTCTCTACTGCACTAAAGACCTTTTTCACCGTTTTCGCGCTCTGCAATGTGGGTTTTCGGATTGAGCATAGCGAATAGGCCCAAGTAGGTACAAAATCTGAGAATCGATTTCGTGTTCGGACACTGCCTTTAATAGCTGTTCTGTCCCCTGTACTCAGTTTCCCAGGTGGGAATGGGAAGAATGGCTAGTTTTAGTCAGACTCAGCACGAAAAAACTCTCACAATTTTTTGGAAACGAAGTTTCCGCTGACTTCGCATCAAAGTTACGACATTTGTTCTCCGATCTGGCGGCATGCTGCGTCCAGCGTGCTACACCGCGCGCTTAGCGTAGGTTTGCCGACGCCATTTGAAAATTTCGAAGGGGTGTAACTAGATGGAAATGGATGTTTGAGGCTACAAAATTATTTTGTGGGGACTTGGATGTAGATCAAAGTTATGCGAAAATGTGAAGAAACCATGTGAACAGAGGAAAACTGAGATTTTGTTTATTCTGAGTCACTTCAGGTGACTCTACAAGTGGCTCAAAAGTCAACTAACTCCTAGAAGAGTTTTCCACCCTTCAGTCTAAAAGCTTATCAAGCAGAGTCGGGTGCGCCAGCATCTCGCTCGCATGGCCGCCTCGCCTGGACTCTGTACCTCTTTCGCAAACATGCTCTGTAATCACTGTCGCACGCTAATTAGCAATTGAAGCCCCGCCTTTCCCACGCTCTGATGGGAAAGCGATAAAGAAGCAAGTTCGAAGAATCCAGGCGAGGCGGCTGCGCGGGAGCGGAGATGCTGGTGCACCCGACTCTGCAATTGATAATTCCTGTATAGTGCATAACTTTTTCACAATTGTTCATACATAATTCAAACTCCCTATTGCGCATTGCTCTACGCAGCAAATTTGGGTCATATCATTTCTTATTCGCTGTAAACAAGCCTTTTATGTTTTGGGGTCTTTTATATTTTGGGTTTCCGCGCTTGCACTGAAAGCATATTGGAGCGGAATTGTTGGTTTTGCAGAGAATGGGATTTGAAGGGCGCTAATAATCACTTGCGACGTCTTCGGAAGGTTACGAAGAGGAATAAAATAAGAGAAGGGGGGGGGGGAGTGATTCTGGGAAAGAGGATGAAAGTTGAAAGAAGGTGTTTGTACGACTCCTGTAGGGGGGAGGACAGGGGCTGAAGGGCGGTAAAGTAGACAGACTCTTTGAAATTCCTATACTCCGTTATACATGTCCTACAAGCAGGAAATGTTCATAACTCAACCCAGCCGTACCAAAGAAGTTATATATCATCAGACTCGCTTTAAAACGCTGATTTCAAATACATGTTTCTTATTGCCAAACGACTATTTGGACGGAGTTATGAGCGTTCAAATGTGCGATCTGTCAGTGTTCTGTCACGCACATTTGATGAAATACGTTCCAGAAACACTTGCTTAGGTTTTTGGTCAGTGTGCTTTTTCCTTATAATTAAAATACCCATAAACGCTGTAAATCCGCGCCATCAGGCTGCCTTTCAACGGGCAGTATTCGTTGGAACTCCAGTAGTTTCTCATATTTTACGTTCAAAGCTTCGTCCAGATAGTAGCTTGGCAGATAATAAACATATATTTGAAATCAACGTTTCAGTTATAAAAATGTGCATGCGCTTTGTCTAATCTTGTAAAAAGTTGAAATAATTTTTAAAAATTTTTGAAAATTCTTAGCCTTAACACGTTTCGGACCGGTGCTGCACATGGTGCAGCACGCTGCTTTAAAGGTTCTTTCTGACGTTTCTGACGCAAAAGGTTTTCTTTAAGTCCGAAGTTATTGAGTCAAAGGTCTAAGCTCTTACTTCTTAAATGACTCTGTAGAGCTGTGCCGCCGATATTTGTTTACGAGATGGAGGACAAATCGAACAAAAGTTGCAACGAAGTGGGGCAACGCGAACGACGCGTGCGACGTCGCAACTTCTCTTTGCTCCATTTCAAAAAGATAAACCGTAGTTTCAATAGTGACGAGTACAGTGTACAACATAGATACTTTTAGATACTCTTTGAAACCGAGTTCTTGCTCCCATCTTCAAGAAAGCACAAAAGTCCCTCTCAAACGACAAAATTCAAACGCTTCGAATTCACCCAGAACTTTGGGTATGATGGAGCTTATCTGGCATGCTGATTACAAATGTAGTCCACAGTCTGCTAAATAAGGTTCCTTTGCTGGCTAACGGCTCAAAGTACACTCTTTCTCGCCGCGCGCGATTTCGCGGTCCGATCGCGCGCGGCGAAAAAGAGTGTACTTACAGCCGTTAGCCAGCAAAGAAACCTTACTAACACGTGCTAACACGTTTCGGACCGCGAAATCGCGCGCGGCGAAAAAGAGTGTACTTTCAGCCGTTAGCCAACAAAGGGACCTTATTTCGCAGACTGTGGGCTACATCTGTAATCAGGATATCAGATAAGCTCCATACGCAAAATTCTGAGTGAATTCGAAGTGTTTGAATTTTGTTGCTTGAAAGTTGTTTTTATGCTTTTTGAAAGATAGGAACAAGAACTCAGTTTCTAATTCTATTCAAAAGTATCTATGTTGTATACAGTACACCCATTACTGAAACCACGGTTTTTCTCTTTGAAATAGGAGCAAAGAAAAGTTGCGACGTCGCACGCGTCGTGCGCGTTGCCGCGCTCTGTTGCAACTGTTGTTCGATTTGTCCTCATATCTTCTAAACAAATACCGGCGGCACAGCTCCATAGAGTCATTTGAAAAGGAGCTTAGACCTCCGACTCAATAACCTTGGACTAAAAAAATTTCCGACAAAAGGTTATTGCATAAAGTGCTCTTATACCAAAGACTAGACAATTTGACCTATCCCTGAAGATTCTGTACCAATTGCGCTTTCTTTCTCGAACCCGGAAAACGCTCATAACTTGGCGTCTAGATTTGGCGACCGAAAACAGATTTGGTATCAGCGTTCGATGTTCTTCAGAATAAATGAAAAGATTTCAATCGAAAAAATCACTTCGAAAATAGGTGCGATGGGCGGAGGAGGGTGTCCCCTCCAGGTGAAGGGGGTTTTAGCTATTTCAGATCTGGAAAAATGAAGGGGGTAACTGAGCCTTAGGATGAATGCTGACGCAAGCGTACATGCCCAATGGGAGCGGGAGTTGAAAGAAGAAAAATAAGTACAGATGTGTAATATGAATATTTTCTCAATGCTTAGGCTTTGGTAGGTCATCCAGCAGAGACTTTTTTGACTCAGGAAAGCTCTATGTTTCATAATTCGAAGTGCCATTCGAAAGCTCGGAACATACAGAATCGACGTGAACCGTCTCTTTTTTTTTCAGCTTTCCTGTGAATTCAGATATAAAAAAATCATATCTAGCTAGCTTCAGCATCAGCTGATTTTATGCAATCACAGCTAGAAAAAAAAGTACTGGCGAAGTCTTGCTCTGTCACAGAATTAGACAACTGGGCATCTTCCCTTGCATAAAAGATTTCCTCACAAAAACACAACACATTTCCTCACAAACTGTTTTTAGCTAAAACGCCATGTATCTTCTAAGTAGAGGGGAGCTAGAGAAGAAGAGACGATCTACCTTAAATTCCTGTTTCGTGAGCTTTCCGATGGTATATAACTAGGTTGTTGGGTGAGAAAACTCGCGGCTTTTCAAAAAGCAGGTGGAGATATTTACTGTTAGCCTGCTCCACTCCGCTCTTGGCTTCTATGAGTCGCCGGAGCAAGACTTTTTGGACTGAGAAAATTGTGTGACCAACACTTTGTATACCATTTGATAGTTAAGAACACGAAGATCGAAGCAGACCGTCTCTTTTTTCCTTGCTTTTCTGTGAAGCGAGATACGAGCAGTTTTATCTAACTACGATATCAGCCAATTCTGGGTGATTATCTCAAGCTTCCATTTGAAACCAAGAAGGTCTTTTTCGAAGTTTTATAAATGATTCAAAAGCTTGAGAAACTTATACTCTAATTGTTCTTTTATTTGTTATTATTCTCTCTAGTTAAAGGAAATATGGTACGATTCTTGTCAGTAAACATGCGTCCATCACTAGCCATTAGAGATTTTCTACTCTTGCTCAACTCTTTCTTGTGATAGTGTGTGTTCATTGATACAATGTTAATTATTCAAAGAGACATCCTTTTAGTTTTTGATTATGTTTCGTTATCAACGCCACTTTGAGGGCGTAGGAGGTCTCGAGCATCCGTTTTTTCAACAAAACGCTGTTGCTTCGATGCTCTCTTGCAGTCTTGGGAGAAAAACAGGAGAAGAGCAAAGGGGTTTCCTTTCCAAACAAAAAGTGCCAGTAACAGCTGTTCAATTCTGCCGTTATACCTTGATTCTAGTCCTCAGGTGGAAGGGATCAGCCGGATGCTGGCCCTAAAGTGCAGAGGGTCAGAGAAATTTCTCCACCTATCGCATTTATGAAATCGAATAGAAAGGCTTCCCTCGTAAGATTGCGCTATTATGAGAACAGAGAAAGACAAAGGATTATTGGCTGTTCGTCAAAAACCAATCTTTTTTGAGACATGGCTACATCGTACGTTTGTTAAGATTACTTACTCGTCACGCAAAATGTATAGATTTCAGTACGCTGGTGGATACTTACGAAAGAATGTTGCCATATTGGAAACGAAACTCACTGAGTTGGCTGCAAAACGTGAAAGCCAGTGATAACGTCGTTGAAAGTTTCTTTTGATGTTAAGATTTCTAATAAAGTAAATCTTAGGCAAAAAGACTTACCCGAAATTGAAAATTTTGCAGATTGACGTCGCATATACGGAAGAGAAGCCATCATCACAAACATGAGCCCATGTATTATTTTTTGCCACCCGCAACACAGAGTTTACTAGTTCATAGTGCACATCTTCTGAACAGAGTTTACTAGTTCATAGTGCACATCTTCTGAAATGAGCCTTCATGGTAGAGGCGTTTCTTATTTAGGATTTAAGGATTCCCAGCTCTGCAGCCCCCGCTCAATTTGATGGTTTGTCATTCGGGCATAGGATAGAAAGTGTTTTCAACTAACGGCTGGAAAAAAATTGCAACGAAGTTAGCTTGGATGCATAATGAGCTTCAAATGCAAGATTTCCAGAAAACAATTATTCTACAAAGTTCAATTGATGTGCCGTGAAGGAAAGTTCTACGGATTTTTTCCTTTCTTTTCTTTTGTCAAGAATCAGGGTAACTTACTGGTAGAAAATTTCCTTCTGTAGTATTGACTAGTGAGTTTTACGGCGAGGTTACTGCTTACTTCGGAGCTATCCGTAAGCAGACATGTCTGGAATTATCATATACTTTCTTCAGACAAATGCTCACATTAGGAGGACCTCAACGATTCCAAAATAACGGATAATCTGGCTCCCTTTCTCAATGTAAGAGCTCAAAAAACTTAGTCTCACCTGAGTTCTTGCCTCGTACGAAAAAGCCTCGCAAATTAGTGTACTTTCGTTGCAGCGTCGAGCGCACTATAAACGACAATGAATTTTTTCTTGTTGATTCAAATTGTGTTCCTGCGTTACCGACAACTGTTGCGCGTCAAAAATGACCAGTACGAAGTATAAAAATAGACAATAGCCGGTCATTTTGAGGCCAGCCTGCTGTCGGGACCGCTACAGCACTTGTTAATTGTCAAATCATGTAAACTATACCCCTTGCACATGTGGTATGTATGTCCAGATTTCTGTGATTTTATCTGCGATTTTTAGTGTTCCAACCAACTCAAAGTTCTTGAGGTAATCTTCTGAAAACCTTCTAATAATCAGAAGTTTGACACGGAATATCCTTGCCTAATACCGTATGATTGCGATTTGAAACAAATACTTACTTATCGGAAGGCACAAAAATCTTAGAAAAAAATAAAATACATAGAACTAAAGATGACTAACGGACCACAGTCTTCCTCATCACTGGCATCACTGCAGTCGGGTTCAAAATCGCAGCGAAAATCGTCCGGTAAACATTTGCCCGAGTCTCGGCAAGCAAAGAACGCTGGTCCACATTTTGAAGCTATAAAAACTGATGGTTTGATTACGGAATGGTCATCGCCAAAAATGAAGTTTTTTGTCGACTTATAGAACAAAAATCAGGATATGGTCCATGAACATTCCCCCTTTTGATATGGACGACTTAAATGTTTGGTCAAAGGTCACTTTTCACAAGGAATTTCAGTAGAAGTAAGCGCGCTTGTCTTTCATCTTCTTGTGTCACATCTGATGACCTTTCTCAATTTTTGGGGTTTTTTTACTATGCCAAGGATAAATATTTACCTACATAGGTCAGCTTTTAGCTCAAGTCTGCTAGATGAATCGGGACAGTCTGGAATCATACATGGATTTCGTATCGTAGGCGATGAAAAACAGCTTGGAGTGCTGAAATGCGCTTTATTATACTGCTGGCTACCTATGGTAGATGTGCAAGAGAGTCACTCTTCGTCTTCCAGCATTCTGCAGAAATTATGGTTCCATGTGGCTTGACCAGCTATAGCATCACCATAATACAAGACAGATGGATCATTCCATTTCATGCATGGCAATCCTAGAATATGATTCTTAAAGAGTTGGAACAAAAATAAGATTTGGAAGAATTTAAACATCTTGATTGCGTTGCTCCTTCCCTGCCCCTTGCTTTTTGTGATTCTTATACCCTGAAAATTTGGTAACACTTACCATCCTTGGTAGTATTCTTCCTCCCATAATATTCTTCATGATAAATACATTCTCGTGGCACTTCGCACAGTGCAATACCGGGTGATTCACATTCGACGGCACGGAACTCGCCACCAACAACAGCTAAGCATCTTCCGTGGCCATAAACAGGAAACTATAATGAGGCACTTAAGCGAAAATTCTTGGCGAGAAAAATGTGGATCTTGAGGAAGTTCAGACCTAAACGCACTTTACTGAAATGTGGAAGACTCGAGCTCGAAAAAAAACAATACATTTCTTTGAGCAGTTTTTTTTGACTCAGAAAATACTCAATTGCAGATGTAATTACGACAAAAGGGCAATATGTGCCGTGCTTGAGAAATGTCATTCTCTCCTTTGTATGCTAAATTAGAGTTGAAAAATTACTTAGTACTACCTATTCCTAGATAGATGCCCAAAAAAATTTTCTGAGAGAGCGGAAATACTTTTTTACTTTTTGAGTGTGCGACGTTGGCTCCTCTCATTATCGAAAAACTTACAGGTTCTGAGAAAAAAAAGCAGTATATGAGAAATGAACTCTGAAGAGAAAAATTTTACAAAGCTAGTTTAATTTCAAAAGATACTAAAAATTTCATTAGCTTGCTATATGTCTATCCAAACACCATGCTAGCAACAATTTTGATCTTGCGTAATCTCTTGACGTTTGACCGCTTGAAAATGAAAGTAATTAAAAGGTAATGCGTAAAGAAAAGAAAATTTGATATGATTTGTTTGACTTGTATAATATTCCACATGGACATTAGAAGGTATATATACTCAGACAAATGACTTCCGCAGAGCGCTTGCGGAAGTTCCGCCGTATCACCTGCGGAAGTTCCAAAAACGTGCTGCGAAAGTTCCGAAATGAGACCCTGCGAAAGTTCCGAAGAATGCCAACCACACACACCGAAGCGAGATTTGAACCTCACTCTATTGACTGTGAGACCCACCTACTATCCTCTACGCTACGGCTTACATGTTCAATAATGCACTCTAATTGTTGCCGAGGCAACATCAAGAGACAACACATTCAAAGTCCTGCGGAAGTTCTGGCAGGCCAAAGTGCCGCGGAACCTCTGGCGTTTTTCGGAATTTCCGCAGGATTTTGAAGAAGGCTCCGCGGAAGTTCCGGTTTTCAACCAGTTTGGCATGAAGTTCCCGGTTCCGATTTTCAATGTTTTTCATTTTTGCACTAGTGAACAAAATCCTGCGGAACTTCTGCAAATTTGGCTTGTCCTGCGGAAGTTCCGGTGATTTGTCTGAGTAGATAAAAGGTAGAAGAGCAGAGCAAAGCATTCATTTGTACATATTTCATGTCCTGAGCTTAAGATTTCATAAGAAAAACCAAGGGGGTAAGATTCAGGTGGTCCTAAAAGCTTGCATGGGCGGTGAGTGTGCGTTTCAAGATGATAAGTTGATTATTAAATGTGAACATATCTCCCCTTCATATCTTCAACTCATCGATATCGTTTATTCAAGTTGAGTAAAAACACAGTAATATCATATCAAAGAGCGATACGTTTATATGAGACTTACGTCTATTGGTGTGTCATCCTCCCATAACCACTGAGATCCTCCTCTATAACCCGATGTGAAGTATATTTTACGTTTATCTACATCTGAAAGAACATTATTATCAACAGTATTTTTTTCTTAATCGATTCTGCACGCATTTTTGTCTCATGCCATAAAATACGGCAACCGAGAGAAAATGAAAGGAGCGGGCAATGGCGGAGTTGGCAGAACGACGACGCATGAAATTTTTTGGAAGAAAGCAGGAAGAAGAGAAAGAAATTGAAATTCTAAAAAAATGGAATTCTAAACTTTGGAAACTAGAAAAAGTTTCAGTAAAACCATTGCAACTGGACAAAAATTATAAGGTTGCCCCTAAAGTAAACCCTTTTTCAAATAAATCAAACTGCTTCTTTTCGTAGCAGAATTTGGGCATCGTTCGACCGAGCAATGCAAAGTTCACAAAGTGACCACTTGAGATCCACCTGAGCTGTAAACTGTTTTGAAGCCGAAATCGAAAAATTTGGAAATCAGAATTTGCCAAAAAATATCTTATGAAGCTCTAATTTGGTCGTCATACAGTAGATACATAGCATTATTCGTAAATGCACTTGTCAAAATTTTTCCCGCATAGAAATCAAAAAAAAGATAGTCCAGATGTCAGAGTAAGCCCCAGCTTCTCCTACATATGTGATCGTATACTGCAAGCCTTCGTAAGTATAATCCCAAGATTGTACTGTGTATGTGCTCTGGAGTCAAGAAATATCAAATTCTATACACGAGAAACAATAAAGCGACAACTAGGCATTTTCGGGCTATTTTTGTTCCCTGATTTTAAGTCGCACAAAAAAAAAATCCGGCTAATGCATTTATTGATATCAATATGCCTACTGTGACCAACTCGGAGGTTTGCAGAAAATTTTCAAGGGGTCCGACTATCAGATTAATTGAAAAATTGGAATTTTTGGCTCCTTACTTTACTTAATTTACGACTTAGATGAATATTTGGTTGTCAATTTGAAGCATGTGTTGCTTTATTGGATAGTACCGCTAGTCATTCTGTTGGAAAACTAGGACAATTTGACTTGTTCAGAGAGTTTTAGTTCCGGCACAACCTAATAGATTTCAGCATTATTTCAACTTTGCAGCACCTGGGTTTCAAGTCCACCGGCTAGTGGACCAGTTTTAAAAATACATGGAAAGTTGTTCTCGCCCTTCCTGTCTGCCAATTACACAAATGTCTGCTTTCTCATATAAAACAAATAAACATGTTCTCTTTTTGGTACCTTAGCTCACAATAATTCTATAGAAATACCAATGCGCACAAATATCGCGCAAGTTCATTTGAGTCATTTCGCTATTTGCACCCGTTGCGTCATCGTACCATTTCGTGATGGGTCGTTAAGCCATACTCCAAATAACCTACCGAAATTTGTGGATATCAAATGCGTAAGGGCAATACGATCTGAGTCGCGAGGTATTGACAACACCCGAAAAGAGCACAACTCCTGAAAAGAGGAAGTTTGAAGGCAGAACAGTCATACATTTCCAAAAGATAATGTGATACACAAGCTATCATCGACTTCCAGATTCGTTCCGAGGCGGGGCGGACTTACCTGATTTTCGGGATAAACTTGTCAAACCTCCACGTTACAGCATTGTATTTCGTACCTCGTTAAGCTTATCCTTGAAATCAGGGAAGTCCACAACCCGCATCTACACGAATATGGGAGCCGATCATATATAGAAATGACTGCAATAAAACTACTTTCTGACTTTCAGATTTCATGACAGCTGAAGTACCCTAATTTCACGCGTACAAGGGAGGGGGGGGGAGGATTTTTTTCTAAAATCCGCTAGCCCAAACACGCCAAAACACTTCGCGATCAAAGAACCCTATACCGGGCTCCGTATTGCCTGAGAGAATTGAACGGTTTAAGGTTCGCTTTCCGAAACACATTGAAGCGGTTGAGCGGCTTGTTTGAAAAACGAAAAAGCCTTGTACGCATGAAATTAGGGTAAAATAACTGTCTATTTGAAACTAAAACAATTCGTTTGTCACCTTTTCCAATCCTTTTTTCCTTTTGGTATATTTTTTGTAACACCAAGGCACATTGCATGTTTGCAATAAACTTTTTTTAGTAACATATTTGAAGTGAAATGGAAGTAGAAACCACTTACAGGCAAACGCTTGAAATTTCCAAGCAGAAATAGCAAAGAAGAAAATAAGCAATTATCAGAAAATGGCAATCAGGTATTTGAGAGACCATCTTTCAGATTTTATGCGGAAAAATCATTTTGAAACTCGAAAAATAGCCAAAGCTCGAGAAGTCAATTTAGCACACATAGCCGCAAATTTTCTCTTTTCTGAATGAGTAGATGGATGAGAGTGAAATTGTTGAAATGCATGTTTCTGGTTGAAAAGTTAGATAGTCATGCGGTCTAAAGAGAGAAAAAGACGTGAAACAGCATCAAATAAGAGTAAACATTGAGAAAATCTGTGAAATAAAGATAAAATACTACTGATGAATCAAGACATTTCAATTATTCCATTTCAATGCATAAGTATAGCTGAATGACAGTACGAACTCAAAGAAAGACACGTTTCAAATGTTATTACTCACTTTCGCATCTGAAAAAGACGACGAATTATGTACTGGTGTTTGCAAACATTGCTTACCAATAGAAATGGACCCGGGTGGACAAACTAAAGTTCACATTTTGACAAAGACTACGAAACTGTAAATCCTTACAATCTTTGCTGCATCTAGCCGCCACTCCTCGTTTACAGTAATTATTGAGGTAAGGAAAACAATTTGCACCGCCAACACAGGCTATCGCATAGCTGCCGGGTGAAGAGATTGCGATAGACTCGTAAGAGGCCAGATAACTAGAAAAAAAATATAATGCACAGTTTACGAGCCAGTTGTTTCTGAAAAAAACTGGAACTTTGCTATTTTACCTGCCCGACGAAGTGCAGATGTGTTCAACATATTCTTGTCTTGCTGAAGTTAGGCACAAAGGCAGATAGACACCGTCAAGACCCCGTACTTCCAAAATATCGCGATTGAGTCTAAAAATAAGGGTTTGATGACCTCAACTATGCATGACTGGTTCTTCTCTCTCCTCTCCCCTCAAACCTCCCATTTTTTGCTCTTCTCATGTTTTCGCAATCAGCCCTATGACGGAAAGAAGGAGGAGGAGAAGACAGATTGAAATTTCTAGATTGTTACGTATGGATTCCCAAATCCTATTCGACTTGTTTTTAGCAAACATTAGGTTGTTCCAAATATTAGGTTATTTTCATATCGTAAAAATTCTACTTATCTCAATTTTTTTTAAATTAGAGGTCAAGCGACTTGGTAGAGCAACGCAAGCTCTACAAGATGACTTTCGAAAGCTTGCAAATAATTTGAATATACCTGGGGTTTGAACCCGAAATTGCAGAATTTTCAAATGCCCAAAAATCCGTTCTCAGCCCAGAAAAATTCCACCGACCTCTTACTTGCTCAGGTATATAATGCCCTCATCAGGCTTTTTTTTTACATTTGCTGAAATTTCCATGGCTAGAAATCAAAGGCCAAAAATAGCCCAAAATCGCAAAGAACCCTTTTACAAAACACGCAAAGTTTTATTTTATTTCTGTCAATGGAAGAAATACAGCAATTTTACGTATGAATTCTGATGTGCAAATTATATGCTAGAACAAATTAGAAGTTCGTAGGATTTATCTGGACAGAGATTTGATTTTTTTTTCAATTTTTTGGGCATTTGAACATTCCTAAATTTCGGATTTAAACTTTGTGTGGATCACACTTGATGTGAATGTTTGAAAGTCATCTTGTAGAGATTGCTTTGCACTATCGGAAGATATCCGGATTAGCATGAGAAATTTGCGAAGAAATGGCTTATGGCAGTAAAAACACCAAATATGAAAAAAAAATGGGGCAACCTAATAAATATATTTTTCGCGAATTCACAAAACACTGACTACTATGTCAAAAAAATCATTTCAGGCTGTGCTTCGCCCCGTTCTCATTTTAGGGTTGCATCATTCGAAATTATGTCCCCCCCCCCCCTCCCTGCTAAGCAAGTCTACTTGATTGCTGCGATTGCTGCTGAAACCTGGTAAGATCAGGAAGTGATCACCCAATTAAAAACTACACTACTTTCACATCCCTAGTTCCACCTTCTATTTCAGTGGAGCACCTTCGGGTAAGGCTAAATAAAGTCAAAAAATTGGCAAAGGCAATGTGATCTTCCGGATTAATTGTGGTATTTTTTCTTCTTTTTCAATGTTCTCGCCCACTCTTGTGTGTCTTATATAAAAAACAATAAATGATGCAAACTTAAATAAACAGAAGAGCAAAAAGCTGCACAGATTTTGCAATTGCCAAACCTTTTTACCGACTGAAAGCATTCAGCCCTTTTCCGAACTGGTTCCTATTGCCACTAGCTCTATAAAATCTAAACGAGGTGAAAGGCCATAAAGCATGTTGCCATACTCAAGACTTTCAAGGACCAGTTTCTCTTTGGGGAAAAAGCGAGCACTCAACATTGTATGGCATAAGGAATGCATAAGCGGGTGGTTTGAAAGCTAGTTTTCTCTCGATATAGTGCTGAAGTGAAGAAAAGATGTGAGTTTATTGGAAAGTTCAAACAATGTTTATATAAGCAAAATCATTGGTGATGAGTTTGAAAAAAACTTTTTGGGAATAAAACTTTGAGTAGCAGACTATGATACGATTTTATTTCATACATGGGGTTTTGTATTAATTCTATTCTTAACTTGAAGAATCCGGCTCCCCGGCCAACAGCAGATTACAAAACAAGTTTTTAATGTATATCGCATTGCTGTTAGCAAAACCCGTCCGTCCTTTTTGCATTTTTGTGTTTGCTTAAATGCAAATTATAAACGTTAATCTAGATGATAATAGCCTAAAACTAGATAGATTAACAATCAAATTCCCGCTGAAGCGGCAACAGTCCTAATCAGAAGTTATAAATTCAAGTCATTCGTTCTGGGGGAGGGGGGGGGGGGAGTGTCAATCTCCTTGCATCTGGGGCTAAATAGGTAAATTCTGCCTATCTGGTAGCTGTCAAAGCAAAGGCAACTACTGTAGTTGAATACGTTTTCAGAACCAAACACTAAAAAATTCAGTCAAATCTAAGATTGACATCTTCCTAGAAACTCGGATATAGTGCTGGGAAGCTAAACTAGCGTTCTCCCTTTACAATGCGACCTTTCAAGATAATGATATTCCAGAAAAATTAACCAAAAAGATTTACGGAAATAGGTTGTTTTGAAAGAAAGCAATTTTGTATTGTCAACATATGAGTTTCTAGTCACAGGAAGACGCTTTAGTTGAGATACAATAATTTCTGAGAGCAACATTATTGCTTAAAAGCATAGCAACAAGATCGTGCATTTTTTATTGTTACAATTTTATCTGATTAGTTAAGAATAAATTGAGAATAGTTCTCGAAAAAAACCTCGAAGATACAAAAGTGTCCTGAATGAGAAACACACAAATAGTTGGTCTACTCGGACAAAAAAAAGATCGAATGTCCTTTATGAGAATTTTCTCCATGAGAGCTTAGATAACTTAGTTTTTCATGAGGAAATGGAAGGCGTGTGAAGTGGATCTAAAGAGTGTTTTCAGAGAAATTGAAAATTTGAGTGGTTGTTGGACGAAGCTTTTAAGATCCGAGCGTTTTTTACAGCCACACGATAGAGCGCAAGCTTAAACTTGGATATAAAAACTCCGCCAAAGAGAGGAACGAAACGGAACTCCTGTTATTTCATACGATAGATTTAGTACGAGATTATTTTGTAGTATTCTTGCTTGGGGATCCGGTAACCTGAACTTTTACCATACCTCTTATGGGCAAAACTTGGTAATAATATCCCAATGCAAAATATGATGAAGTGCCCACCTGAAATTAAATTCGCACAGCACCGGCGTCAAGGCTAGGGCCAGCACAGTCCAACCTATCATAGGCTACATCCACTTCTGTTCGTCACAGTCCAGCACTACTAACTTTTTTTTGAGTAAAGAGCAGCAACTAGCGGAAGCAGTGAGTTGAACTTCTGCCGCAGTGGTGTCGAAGTGGGCGTGACCCAATAGCACGCCGTCACGACCAGTTCGCGCTCGGCACTGTGTGTATGTGTGCTTATACCAGTGCGTCATACAAGTAGCTGGATGCCCCCGAAACGAGATTTACACTGGACCGATACCAGCGCGAGCGCTTTGCAGCTATCGGCAAATATGTGGTTCATCATTTAAAGTACAAGGGGGCTCAAAAAATGTGCACACTCATGATCGTTCATAATTCTCTTGCTTCAATGTCTTGCGCAGACCTTCAAGTAAATTTTCTTGAACTTGCCTCAGCTTACAATCAGATTTAGTGTATGAAGCAAATTTTCGATCTTTCTTCTTTACTGTAGGGTTATTGTCTGAATTCCAGCATACAGAGCCATTGTAAAAAAGATCTTTAAAAAAAACTCCAAAATGTTAGAATTTCACACATGCTGAATTTATCAAATAACTTTCTGTAAGTTTTCTGAGCTTTTTAATGGTGTAATCACATTTCTGAAGAACATTGGAAAACAATGCCGAATGAGTTCAATAACATCAGACGAGGCTCGAAATCCTCTCCGCACATACCCCCCCCCCCTCCCACCGATTGCCCTCCAAAGTAAAATCCCTTACAGATAATGCCGCTTATTTGACTCAAAAAGTCCGCCTTCAATCAGGTTCGCCCTATAGATAAGTTCTTTTTTCCATTATAAATATCCTCTTGTCAGATAAGTCCGAAGACTGTCCATTAAGTCAGGACTTATCTTCCGACGGACTTCTCTGCTCAAGATTAGCCGAAGAACTTATCTATAGGGATCTTATCTTAGAACTTATCTGCGCAGAAGCCCTATCTGTGGGATTTCAAAGTACGCGTTTTGCATGAACTTCTCTGCTTTGGATTAGCCGTAAACCGATGTTCCCGCAGACGTCCGAAACTGAGCAAGCAGTTGTTAAGCCGACGTCAAATGCGTTAAAGAAACGATCATCAGTAAAGCGAAGCTGATCTAGTTATCGGCCGTAAATTCACTCTCTTCAATACCATTCTAGAATTCGCGTACGTTCTCGGTGGAGCCGATGAGTAGAGGTGTGGCCATGCCTTCGATCTAGAGACACGGCTCAAAAGTGAAGGTTGTTTTTGATTATCTGCCCCTCATAGGAAGTGAAGGTTGTTCATATAAAACCGAAGAAGAAAAAAAATGCAAAACAGCTAGTAAAAGCAAAAAAACTCTTAAAGTTGAAAACGCTGCAGTAAGTCTGAAATCTTTCATTTTGCGGCGTTGCAGGTTTTCGCTCCAGGATCACGTAATCCACAACACGGGGGAAAACAAGGAAAAGCTGATTTTTTCTTTGTGTTTATTCCAAAACCAACCATGTTTCGGGAGTAACGATTATCAAGAGAAGATAAACGATAAAAGAATTAATTTTGAAAACGCAGAGTTTTGTTCTTACCAAATCGAAATGCGGGTCAAAGCCAACCTATTTTTGGTGCGTCCTTTATATTTTTATCCCCGCATTATGACTCGCGTTTTCTGGGACGTTGTCTAAATTGTTGTCATTATTCTATGATCGTCCAAGCTGGAAAAAGGAATCGCTGCGAAAGCACTGAAACAGAACAATGTAAAGAGAAAAACGTACTTTTTACAATTTTTCATAAGGAATTCCGCCTTGATCGAAGGGTTAAAGGCAGTGGACAGGCAGAATAGACCCCTGTTAGATTGTGGTAGTTTTGGGTAGTAGACCCCCCAAGTACATCATAGCCCCAAGCCCTCCTTCCAATTCATGCGCTAAGTCTTGAAAAAAGCGCTTCAAAACTCCACCCGCCCCGCCCACTTCCATTGAGTGGGCGTTATTGGTGGAATTTCGAAGCGCTTTTTCAGGACTTAGCGCATGAATTGGAAGGTGGGCTTGGGGCTATGATGTACTTGGGGGTCTACTACCCGAAACTACCAAAATCTGACAGGGGTCCATTCTGCCTGTCCACTGCCTTTAAGCACTGGATCGTTGTCTGCGTTATGAACAAAAGTAAGATCTATAGAATGCACGAATAAAATCGCGTGAAAAGAGCTGAACTAGGGAAAAACAAGAGATTTTCAAAAACAAGATTATGCTGGATTTCGTTCAAATAAAAAATGTGATTTTGGGTCGTTGTCAGCGTGAAAGTGATCAAGAGCTTCAATAGAGTATATAGATGCTAAAATTGGAAACGAAACCGTGCAACATTATATAATTCAGATCTTGATGACACGGCGAGGAGCACTGACAATGTCCCAAGCGTTGAAAATCACTCATTAACGAAAGAGACCAGCATTTTCGTGCACGAGTCTCTGCGCAAGATTTGAGTGCAGTTTCGCGTTTTTATTCAACTCCAACAGCTTTCCTAAACTTCTGACACTCGCTTTAGTCAAACAAGAGGGTAAGTGAGAAATGTTGTTCTGAATTTTGGATAAACGTTCATAAAAACCCTTTAGTTAGCGTAAAAAAGGCTGTAAAAACACAAACTCGGTTTCGCTAAGATAATATCAAGATAGTACTTCCTATATTGCTTCACTCGCATTCATTCCGATATAGTTAGAATTATAACAGCCGGGGCTTTGCCTCGGATGGCTTTTTTTAAGGTAAAGGTTGTGTTCTATCATGGCGCTCAAAGTGAAAGTTACCAGAGTACATGGCTCTATGTATTGAGAGTATGGGTGTAGTATAGTCCTGTCGATCTCTATGTCGTTGATGATATTCTTGTAAAAGTGTTTGCTGAAGTGTGGTAAAGTTGTGCAGCTCATGAATTGATTTTGATGCCCTCAGTAGATTTAGATTGGAACAAAGATGATAGCACCAGTCTCAACCGATCATCTTTCAAAACGATGAAAATAAAACAGAACGGGAGCCTCTGTTCTCGCGATACTTCGATGAGCCTTGACATCGTGTGGTATGTTCTATGGTACTACACGGTTCTACTAGTTCACCATTGCTTAGATACTTGCCTTCGAACAGGCATCGCGAGAAGACTTTACCAAGATTGAAAAGAACTAGCGAAATTCTTTAGATTTGTTTTGAAAACGCCCCTGTCTTGTCGGGGGCTGTACGATTCTTTATCGATATGACAACCTGACGATTTATGAAAGAAGTAATCAACGGTGCGAGATAATTGTTTTCCTCCACATAAAAGGCAACGGACACGGCTATCCAAGAGATCTAGACTCGCGGGTGATCTTCTCCACCGGCTTTCGTAAAGCAGTTACTCAGACAATTGCATCGGGAAGTTCGCGGGTGCTTGCTCGGCCACCAGTCATCCATGCCGCGAGCTGCCCGATATAAGACGATATTGGACCCGATAAGTGACCGCGGTGCACCCTGTAAGCGCCCGATGGTTGACCCGGTTAGCATGCTTGTAAATCCTAGGAAGAGTGAAAAAATTTTGGCCTGTCTTTCATGACAACGACTGAGTACAAATTGAGCAACTTGTTAGCTCATCTGTCGATATTATCTACTGTCGTCGATAACACTCAACCTATTGCTGAAGTTTGTCTCGTGAGCATATAAACTCAACTGTCATGCAACCCAACCCGAGAAGCGATTACCAGCCCTACAAAACACTTGGGGTAGCCCCATCGCTGCGGCGTACCTCACGCGGGTTGCGCCTTAAGCTACAGCATGCAAGAAGTGCGCCTTTGATAAGGCCCGCGGCACGCCAAGTGAGGTGATTGGGCCGCGACTCTCCCGATAAGCTCTTTCCAATTTTAACTTTGGCCGCGGCGTTTCCGGTAAAATATACATGGGCCGCGGCGTGCGCGGCTGAAATTTTGACGGCCGCGGCGCGCCATGTAGCAAGCTTTGAGGCCGCGAACTTCCCGATGCATTTGTCTGAGTACGCTTCGTCCAGGCGTCGAAGTGCGACCATATTATCTAAGAGCTAATGAGTTCTACAGTCTGCCCCAATCCCAACCAGGCCAAAATTGGCATGGCGCGAGACCGCGTCGTTAGGGTTTCGCGGTCACGCCCACGGCCTGCTTCTCTGCACTCTCTTCAATTTTTGCTCTCTCCGACAGCGCGCACATGCAGCGCAGACCGCTAGCGCTGCGAGCGCGCAAATTTACGCTGACGGTTCGGCCTGATCCCGATTGAAGCAGACTGTATCTACCTACATGGCTGTCATGGCGTTCAATCAAAGTTTGGTAATGATGATGAGGGCAGTCTTTACTTGATGGAATTTCAGACTCCGCGAATAGCTTTGGAGAATGATAGAATCAAAAAGTATATTTAGTGATGATATCTCGTTTCTTTTTGAGATGCCAAATTGTTGGAGTTAAAGTGAGGTAGAGCAGCAAAATTTTGATAGAAATGTCATTCCTTTTGAGGTAAATCGAAAGTGGTATGGTAGTGTATGTGAGAACAAAATTTTTTTAATTAACTCTTAATTGCAATAATGAGCGTCAGCCAGGCCCTCCAAAAAAATTTCAGGATGCTTTCCAGGGCTTTTGCTGGCCCATAACCCGATATTCTCCAAAAAGAGAGGAACGCCTTTTAGATGCCGACATTTGTCGTAAACAAGCTAAGCAAGCGAACACCGGAAAAATAGTTCGCTGATTTCTCGTGCTCCGCTTGCTGGAAATACTTTTTAGACAAACAGATAGAGAGCATTCGCGTTTTCATAGACTAATTGCGGCACAGCGGCCGCATTCTCGTGGATTTTCCGCGAGAATATGCAAAATCGTTGAGGGCAGCACGGTTTTTTGTTAACACGTTGACGACCGTGTGCATCCGCGCGTATGCACGCCCTGACCACCTAGTAGCACTTTCGTGCACCAATTTATCATGTGTAGACGAAAAGTTTTCAGGTCACTTCTATGCATTGATAACACTGGTGGCCTGGTTGTCATAAAGAACACACGGCATTGCGGTAGCTGTTAAACAGTCCAAACCGCAGCCGTAGATCATCAGTCCATTTTGAGGTGGTCAAAAATGGCTCGGTCGTCAAAGTGTTAAGGACCGCACAGCCCATAGGTACCTTCCGCTGAGAGAATGTATCCCAAACTCGGGAAAGAAAACCATCGATGGCACCCCCGTCATATAGTCTTTCGCTCGGTGTACTTCCCGAATTGCGTAAAAAGAGTTCGAGCGCTCGCTGAAAGGAATAACTGACAACTGCATGCAGAGAATTCTGTATTACTGCCCGCCGGCAGTAATACAGAATTCTGCGATAGTTAAGGAAGTAGTGTGGCTAAAGGCTTGGCCACGCCCCAAAATTCTGTTGACCGCTTGCAGAAAAGCGAGTTTGCGGTCCCCGGCGATTATCTCATTGTCAGTATTCTCCCGCGAATCAGAGACATCGTGGAAGCTAACTCGACAACGTCATCATCACGTTGCCAGCTACCTGTGAGCTCGGTGACGAGCTTAACTTAGGGATGGAGATGTCGAGAATAACCCAGCCCGGCGGCTGGAGGTAGAGCTATCGCCTGAGGCTCAGTGAAGGTGTGAACACCGGAGCCACGGCCGCAAACCGCTTCCTCTCCTTACCTTCCCGCTCCCCTCCCCAGTTTATGTATCATCCATATTTCATACTAACAAACATATTTATAATTAAGTCATTTCTACCTACCTGGTACCGCTACATTCAGGCAAGGGAACTGCAGTACCTGGATCTGACAAATCGTCTGTCATTGAGTAAAACTCGTGTAATGCTATGCAGATCTCAAAATTACCGGAGCTTTAGTATGCTCGACGTTCGACGTTTCACTTGTTGTGCTTGGAGGCTTTTACTGGGGAACTAGCCGGAATATTCACAAATTCGCTAACTTAAAGGCAGTGGCTCGGCAAATCACAACCTAGTGAAATTTTCGTTAACCTGGGGTTATTCAATACGCTGATTCCGAAAATGCACTTCTGAGAGCTTGAAAACGGCGAAAACGAGCGTTTTTCAATGCCCTTCTTTTTGAAATTGGACGAGTGTAGCAAGGCTGATGACACTGAATCGTTGCGGACCCAATGGTTATAGCATTGCAAGGGCAGCCTCCAATGATGAGAAGGAATTTGCCAACTCGTCGATGCGCGTAAGATTAGTCTGCGCGTGTAAGTTTGAGAGCAATTTTCTCGGCAGGGAAAGCATGCTGTGCAAACGGGATTGCAATGTTTTCAAACTTGGGCGGTAAGGAACCCACCGCGTTGAAATCCTGAGTTGTTGAGTTTTGCCGACCCACTGCCTTTAACAATTGCATTTCCACAATTTTGATCTTCATGCATAAACTGTATTCAAGCAAATTACAAAACTTAGTTATGTACACAAGACTGAGGGAGAAAGGCAAAACAAGTTAAGTGACTATGCTTGTTTGGGTCTCAGCATGAAGAGATCCCGAATAGGTGTCCGCGAATCAGTTGGCAGCCGGGCAATTCCAAAAAGTTTCTTCACGTTCGGATGTCTAAGCAGTTGCGCTTGCAGGAAACCGCTGACGGAAACAGACAACCAGTAAAGGGGTATGCACTGTAAAAATGAAGATCTTGATCACTTCGAATACATGTGCTCAAAACTTACCGCTGGTAACTGACACATTATTACCACAGCAAAGCAAGTGAAGAATCCAAGGCAAAAATCATAGGACTTCGTCTTCCAGGTTTTCATAGCCATAGGATAAATCTTCCTCTGAGACTGAAAATAGAATTCCAACCAACGATCACACCCCAATACAAACACTGCGGCTGCGTCAATTGTGCCGTAGTTAAGGGAAAACATCATGTATTTCTAGAATGGGCTTCGCAAAAAGTGAGAATTTGGTATAAACCTTCACAAAATATAGTTCCTTTGATTAATTCTAGAATGCTCATCATGACAGCGTCAATTAGCAAAAACTATGACATGGCACATATAGATCTTGAGATCGATGTGGTGGGTTTCAAATCTGATCATCCCCGAGAAAAGAAAACAGGGAAAGAAAAAGTCAAAAATATCAAAAGACGAAAAACAAAACATACGTATAAGTTCAAGAATCCAAATAGTCCCACTGCCACAGGTAAAACAAAATATGGGTCAGGCACAAGCATATCTGGGATCCAAAGACCTCCGGCGATGCTAGGATGGAAATCCGCTGAAAAGTCCGTTTGAGACACTAATAAAGAAAAAGTAAAAGTTGCTTACAGGTGATCACATTTCTGACGGCAAACGATGAGAATATCCACAACGGAATGGTGCACATTTTAAGGTTTTGTATACGAGTAGCTTGAAGACCATGTTCCGACATGTACTGAGGTAGCATTTCCGATAGCTGAATAAAACGATAAAGGTGCAAGTCATGATTCACTTTACTTGTTTTCAACGAAAAAAACATTTAGGATAGGAGAGAAAACGGTGAAGCGTAGTCTCTTCAAGCTCCCATTCACAGCTCCCTGAACTTCGAACTTCCCTCAAACCATTTCATTACCAATTTAGTAAACAAACTCCTGGCGCATGCGCGCTCTAGCATCGCCGCAGATTAACGCAGAAGCCCAGAAGCTTAACAAGAGAAACAGCATATGCAACAAAAGTGCATCAATTTAGTAAATATGTAGTTCACGTGGGTAACGGTAACTATTCTCTCACTACACTACAAAATAGGGCTGTTTGCTGTTGCACCTCATGAATGCTATGCATGGTCATTAGGAGAATATGCAAAAGACATCAAAAAGAAAAAATAACAAAATTTCTAACGAATGTTAAGAAGAAGAAACATAACACATAAAGATGATGTCGATAATTAAACAATAGTCAAAAACAAAAAAACATAGAGAAAATATACGCAGATGACTATCAAATCCAACGTACCACTTGTTCACTATGAGCTGTAATCCTCGGGTCAGAGGTTTTCAGTTCTAATTTAGTTCTACTGGCATTTGGGACGAGCTCAACTTTGTGGTGTTGACTGAGCTTCTAAAAAAGATCAACTTATTCGTTTTTGTAGAAACTTAGCTTTCTTGAAGTTGCTCACAAACCTTCAGAATGCCTTCTGTGAAGAAATTCTGAGCGTGCAGTCGCCGTGCAAACAGTTTCTCTGCAAATATATGTAACGGAGATGAAGCTATCCTGAGAGCCACGCCAGATGCGATGAAGACGTAAGGCCATGACAGTCCTGCTCCATGTAACGCTGAAAACTCCTTTTGTCCAAGACAGATGAAAAAAAAAGGGTTAACTTACATTCCATGACGAACTGCAAGCCTTGGGTGAAGTAACAGTCAGATGCGTACATAAAAAGATTCCCGATGGCAGGAGGTAGAGTACTAGAGTACTGACGATTTGAGGTAATCTGGAACATATTGTGAAAAGAATAAAACATATCACATAACAGCTAAAATTTAGTAAACTGCATGAATGCAGACCACATTTACTGGGAATGATGAAAAATTCATGATATGCGTTATGGAGAGAGCTGCGATTAATATAAAGGTCGCGGTCGTCTCTGCGTAAAGAGAAGGACAACTCAGAAATTTTAGCACATAATAAATAAATAAATAAATAAAAGGTTTAAGCAAACTTTAAAAGATGCAACAAACCTGCTGCGGAGATCGCCTTTGAGGTAACGAGACAGAGGTAGAACAACATGGAAAGGCTTTACCCAGCATAAAGGAGCCCCTCAGGGCTAACATCCTGGAAGCCCATATTTTCAGAAACTACCGAAATTTGTCAAATCAAACATGTGTTTTCGCAACAGAAAATTACCAATTAACAATAATTAACGCAAAAAAAATGTTCGAATATTTTCGAGACCATCCAATCACATCAGCATATGTATGAAATTCATCAAACTTCAAGATGTCACAACTAAATAATTACAAATTATTTATTTGCAACCCTTCAAAAAACGATAATAATTATATCTTTAATAACAGAAAGATAGACAATCACAGTCAATGTGGAGTGTTATCTCAGCTTTGTACAAGAGCAATAATTAGGAATCTGTGATATCTGTATAATGATAGAAACACATCATATATACAATAACATGAAGAAAAAAACTGTAAAACACCAAAGAAAAGAAAGGGCTCGTGAAAAGTAGAACTAATACAAAATCAACCACCCAAACGTTGTCCGCTACCAGTAAAAACTCCAGAGCTTTTTGGTTTGCTGGAGGATGGCCCTGCGTCACCCTGTGCAAAGTATGAACTGCTTCCAGGACTCACATCTGCACTTCGGCCTGGGGCTCCCTGCGCAGGCGCTGGGGCGGCATTATCACTTGAAGACTGCGATATAACGATAGCTGCTATGACAACAGCCAACATCATTGGACCGGAAAGTACAAATCCAAGGACCGCTATCACCAGATGCAACGGATCGACACGATAGCCAGCCACTTCGAACGAATTCAATCCAAAGTGTCGTAGTCTATCATTTGCATTGTTCCAAATCGTAACAAAGCTATCGCCTAATCCAGCCTGAAACAAAAATTGAGTGTGGGACCATATTATGAATGATGGACCGTGCTTTGAAAAAATCCACTGCAAACCTTCTTAGGTTAATTTCTTAAATTCTACTACCGTAGTATAGGTTCAATACCTTGGTTGCATCCCATACGAATCCGGTAAATGAAATCAGGCACCGTCTAAATAAATGCGAAAATGTGAAACTCTGATGCATATAGCGAGGCCCCTAACGAAGTAATTGCTCAAGTTTTGCTGCAAAGGATGTATTCAGAAAGAATTTCGTCCAGGAAGTGGATGCTGTTGGGGTCACCACGCCCATCAAGAGTTCTGGAAAGAGAGCCGAACAAGATTACCAAAATGTCGGAAATGTGATTTTTACAATGAAAAAAGGATTCTCGAGATCTCCAGGTACCACTGAGTCCAATTTTGGGCTGATTACCTTCAGGTCACCTTGTTGATGGGCGCGCCGGGGTGTATGTCAAGATTTGTCGTGATTTTTACTGCCATATGGACATCAAATAGCACATAATAAGAGCTTTATAACATTATAAAAGTATTTTAATACCAGAAGGAGCTATGTTAGATATCTGCATGAGCTGCTTAATATTGTGCCTTCGAATAAATTAGATACAGCAATTTTGGAGGTCAAAAACCATGAAAATACAGTTGAGAACAAATTCGTAATTAGTTCGATCCGTTTTTTAAAAGCCATCAAACTCAGCAAGTGGTAATCTCGGACAGATAATAAGCCAACGCTCTTTATTTGGTACTTTTTAGAGACTCGCTAGCGCTAAATTAGAGTTTTGAGTTGGTGACAGCCGAAGAAGTCGCGCCTCTTGACCGTCTCCCGGATCCAGCAGTGTCCTTGCTTTTGGACCGATTTTCTCTCGAAATACCTCTTTTGAACGGAATTTGCGCTGTTGAATTAAGTGAGCCTGGCTATTGCACCACATCAGAATCCCAGTACCTTCAGATATGTAAGCAGTGTTTCTAATGAGTGAATTGGTAGAGGAACGAAGAGCGCCAAAGTTTCCGTACGTGGACTGCTGGCCTTCCGCACATTCGCTTAGCGCGTGGAGATCACATTCCGCGGAGGCGGAATTTATTGGCAACATTCCCTCCCGATATGAAGAATACGCTTACTCTAACACCTATCAAATCTCCTCCCCTACAAATGACCCTATCCTGTATCGGAAAGTTGACACTATAGTGCAATGAAGTTTCGATGGTCGCCTTCTTTTGAGACCATTACTCACTTTAAAGTCAAGCCGCACAGGCCTCCGGACGCACATTTCCAACCAATGACATTTGCATATGAAAGAAAAAAAACCCAGTAAAAGAGTTTGCCTACCTGTGCCTGAGGTTGATTGAAGCTCGATGAAGCTGCCTGGGGGCGAGGAGCAGACGATCTCTGACGAACTCGTGGATCATCATCGCTCACGACTTCACCAGTTGGTAGTACCCTGACCATCTGAAACGAATATCCAATATTTTAGGTTACAAAGGAGAATACTTGTAAAGTAGTGTAGAGTATGGTTGCAAATCACGCGAAAAAAAACACTGTTTAGCTTGGCCAAAAAGTCATCAGCAACACCGAAAGAACGAGAAAGAAAATGCAAAATACACTGCCCACAGAAAATTTGCAATTTTTCAAGGAAACTTCACTGATGCATTCCCGCATAAACAGGCGAGTCGTGTCAGGACCTAGCTAATTTACAACCTGCCTCGAATTTTCTGCATTTGCAAATCTCATCTCATGCTTCAGCATGCTGAAGATGAGATGCGTCTTCGTTTTCCACTCTTCAGTCTTCAATCTCTTCTTTTTTTGTAGCAGTGATATATTTCAAACTGGAATGTTGATTTATACCTTTAAAGTTCATTTGATTTTGAGGTTGTTAGTAGAATAGGATTTATTTTTATTTCATGTTTTTTCAGGTAGAAAGAACTTTGAACGCGGGTTGGCAAGATGGCGATGAATATTCCGAAATCAGGCTACAATCGCTTTATGAAGGAAGGTGCACAGGTAAATGGACTCTCCCGCTTTTTAAGAATTTTCACATGGGATATCAGCGTCGGAAAGACGATTTTCTATGTATCTCTTATCTCTATAACGAATCCGTTTTCTCTTTAGCACTTCCAAGGCACCGATGAAGCTGTTTTGAGGAACATCGACGCTTGCGTTGAGTTGGCTTCGCAACTCAAATCGGCCTATGGACCAAACGGTAAGCTTAGTACAAGATACTCAAAATAATCAGAAATCTAAGGAATGAACAAAATGGTGATTAACCACATCGAGAAACTTTTCGTCACTAACGATGCGGCCACAATCCTCAAGGAGCTTGACATTCAACATCCCGCAGCAAAGATCATCATCATGGCCAGTCAAATGCAAGAGAAGCAGGTGCGAGAGTTTGAGATCTCAGACATTTCTTTTGGTTTCCTTTTGTTTCCTAAAACATAGAGGCATACAACCAGGATGTATATTACCTACTTCCCCTTTTCAAATGGGTCTTTTGCTAGTTTTGATCCCGTTGCTCACTGCGTCATCTCTCATGCCACTGAAAAAAAGCAGTTGTCATGCTGTTGATTTCATATCGAAGCCTAGTTCAGGTGGGAGACAATACCAATACAGTCGTTATTCTTGCCGCTGCACTTCTCGAGCATGCAGCTCAACTCATAAGCATGGTAACACATTTACTAACTTGCAGTCCAAGTAACAAGATGTTGCTTTCTTCGTTCAGGGTCTCACACCACAAGAGGTTGCTTCTGGATACGAGCAAGCCTCGGAGAAAGCCTTGGAAATACTTGAAACGCTTGTTATCAAGGAAGCTACCGATCTGAGGGACCTTCCTATGGTGAGTTTCAATGAAAGTGGTTGATAGATTCAATCGGAATGTTCAGGTCAAAAAGTTCTTGCGGTCGGCTATCACCTCCAAGCAGTACGATAACGAGGACGTTATTGCTGAACTAGTAGCTAAAGCGTGTGGTACGTCCAGTTTCTTTGTAGTTTGTTGGTTTCATTGTTGATCGTTGAACTTTTAGTGCAAACTGTGCCCAAAAACAGCTACAACTTCAATGTTGATAATATTCGCATCTGCAAAATTCTTGGTTCCGGTGTTAGTTCATCTATGGTCAGTTCTTATTATATCTGTGACTTTTTGAGATAGTCCCTATTCGTCCATATAATTCATTCTATCTTCTTCTGTGACCCTTTTTTCAATGCATATGTGCGGTGTGCCTGTAGCTTTTTCAATAGTCTACTCGCATAGGTGATGAATGGCATGGTGTTCAAACGTGGAGCTGAAGGTGAAATCAAGCAAGCCAAGAACGCTCGTATTGCTGTCTACACTTGTCCGTTCGATCTCACCCAGACTGAAACTAAGGTTGCCTACTTTCAGTGGTCCGTCAATAAAAATACCTATTTATAGGGCACCGTTCTTATCGAGAATGCAGATGAACTGATGGGATTCGCTAAAGGAGAAGAATGGGAGGTTGAAAAGCAAGTGAAAGCTCTTGCCGATAGCGGTGTTCAGGTAAACGGTGTCATATTTGCAAATAGCTCATACATATGTGTCTCAACGACAGGTTGTCGTCGCCGCCGGCAAGTTCGGTGACCTTTACTTGCATTTCCTGAACAAATACAAAATCATGGCGGTCAGGTTCGTGGGCTTTGTAAAAGCGTATGTGCACTTTTGCGATTGAATGATCCATATTTTCAGATTGACCTCCAAGTTTGACCTTCGTCGTCTTTGTCGAACGGTGGGAGCACAAGCTCAAGCTAGAATTGTGAGTAATTGATTACTAATTTACTAACATTTTTCGGCTTTTTCTTTCTAAGCTATTTGTCCTTTTGCATGCTCTGTTTATCTCGCTTGTAGTTTTGAGATAGCGGTCTGTAGTGTTTTGCTATAGACTATGCACTTGATCTGCTGTATTTAGTGTGCACCTGCTGTCAATCTATTGGGCACTTGCGACTCTGTTTGCGTGAAAGAAATCGGTGATGAGAATGTAGTCGTTTTTGACAACAAGGTTTGTTTACTGCTTTGTTGGCTTCATGGTTGATTGAAACATCGCTTTTCAGGGTGAAAAGGGCAACGTAGCTACAATTATCATTCGCGGCTCATCACAGTCACGAATCGATGATGTCGAACGTGCTGTTGACGACGCTGTGAACACGTATAAAGCACTTACCAAGGATGCAAAGGCTTGTTTTTGAAATGACCATTGATGAGATTTCCATTGTTAGGTGACAGCTATCATATGTTGCTTTTGCTCTTCAGCTTTTACCTGGAGCTGGTGCTGTAGAAATAGAAGTGGCAAGGCAAATCGAATCTTTTGGTGAGAAATGTGCGGGTCTAGAGCAGTATGCCATCAAGAAGTTTGCCTATGCCTTGGAAACATTGCCAAAATGCCTTGCGGAAAATGCTGGATTGGATGTGAGTCACTTGGTCTTGTCTCAGAACTAATAAATTTTTTGGATATAGTTGATGGGTCGTTTTGTTCATGATCATGCTCTAGGCTACCGATATTTTGACGAAGCTCAATGCCGCACACGAATCTGGACAACAGAACGTTGGAATTGACATCTGGAAACATGGTAGGCACTACAGTATGGAAGTATAAGTGCGTTCGCAAACTTTTCTGTTCAGCCGTGATGGATGCTGGAGAGAACCACATCTATGATCTCTACGCTGGAAAGAAACTAGCAATCAAACTAGCCACCGATGCCGCTGCTACAATTCTCAAAGTGGATCAGGTAAGAAATGACTTTCAAAGATTTTTTAACGATTTTGACTTTTTCTACATCTTTCCAGATCATCATAGCCAAACAAGCCACTGGAGGACCAAAACCTCGTGGGCCTAAACCTCAAGACGAGGACGACGAAGGCATGGCTTAGTTACCCGAAGTATCTCATTTTCTTGTTACTCACGACCTCTATGATAGTCACTGAATTTGTGAAGTTCTCTCATCTGCAAAATGGTTTTAATGTCTTGTATCTCGGTGTGATATCCACCTTGCGATCGTAATACTGATTGTTTGGCGCAATAGCACCATCGTACGTTCTCTCCGTCTTGAAAGTGTCGAGCTTCGGTTGTAAGCATGAGCTGCACTGCTGTCAGGAAGTTTTCGTCGATCATTTTTATTGTTTTTGTTGCTTGATTATCTTGTTGATTTAGCGTAATAAAATGTTTTGGTCATTGTTTTAATCAGCCCAAATGTTGGACGCAGATATCTTGCCTAGTTTTAGGAGCGTTATCTATATATAGCGTCGGCAACTTACTTCTGGTAATGATTCATAGTTGTAATGTGCTTAGCTGTCGCTGGGCCCAAAATTCATCTAAATCATTCTTTGCATGCATGGAAGTCGTGGGATAAAATGTTGTTTTTTGAGCTTTACTAACATATTTCGGATTACTCACAACATAGGGGGGGGGGGTCTATTATACAAATCTAATGCATGATAGAGCTTGAAAATTGCCTTTTGAAAGTGATTTTCTCTGCACTACGCGGTAATCTTCTGTAGGGAATTTCAAAGAAGTTCTGATTATCATCTTTGAGGATTTCTGGCAGATTTTGAAGATAACAAGCAAGCTGTAAAGCGACCTAGGCGACCATGTCTGGCGAAGATGCGGGTGTTGCTGCGGAAGTGGCAGCGATCATGTCCAAAGAAGCAGACCATAAGTCACAGTACGAAAGGTTTGTTGCACAAATCTACGGTTTTTCTTCTACTTATCTTCATTTTCGATGTTATCGTATCGAGTTCTTGTTAATAACTCCCAAATGTAGGCTGCTCGCGCTGATGGAAAAACTTTTCCCGCAAAAGATCAGCACGGAAGCAGATGTAGTGCCGCTGGTGACACTGATGAAAACAGGTTGGTCCTCCAGTATAGCGATCTTGATCAAATGATTATCTTAGAACTTTGCAGTAATTGCGATTGAAGCAGGAAGTCAGGTGGTCTCAAGACAGCTGATTACTGCTGTTGTAAGCAAGGTAGAGTCATACAAATCAGATGAGAAATCGCTAAGGCTTCTGGCTGAGGCTGTTTTGGGCGTTCTTGACACGACCAGTATTGCTTTTGATGAACAGGTGAGAGTTCGTGTGCAAAAACAAAACATTGCGTCAACTTTCGGTTTAGAAATGCACCATCCGCACAATTCTGGCAGGTCTGCATGAGGGAGCTGGGCGTTTTGTGGAAGCTGCAGAAACCTTGAGGAAGATCTCTACGGATAGTGCTCAAAGGTAAGCTCTTGTCTTTGTGCCCTCCCTGTTACGTTGTTTCTTCTAACAGACCCTGCTCACCCGCCCAGAAAATGGCTCTTTATCTTCGTATCGGTCGTTTACTGCTGGATAGCGGTGACTGCGCTGAAGCCGAGCAGTATGTAAACCGTGCCAGCTTATTGCAGACTGAGAAAGACTGCGAGAGTTTCAATGTAGAATATAAGGTAAGGAGATGCTGGAAGACTATCGTGGAATGATGGATAAACCTTATCTTTCTAGGCTATTTATGCGCGGGTGTTGGATGGACGTCGCAAATTTACGGATGCCGCACAGCGTTATCATGAATTATCCTTAGTTAACGATTTACCTGAAGCTGATCAGAAAACTGCGCTTTCGCGATCTATAACATGCACAATTCTTGCTGCTCCTGGTAAATTTGGCTGTTTATACTTGATTGCCCGACTTTTTTTAATCTGCATAACTAAGTAGAAAGTACTCAGGTTCCGCTCGATCTCGAATGCTGAATACACTTTTCAAAGATCCACGTGCTGCTCAACTTCCATCGTTTCCCCTTCTCGAAAAATTGTATTTAGATAGATTGATCAAAGCGAATGAGGTAAGTTGAGTAACGCACCGCTCATAACGCGTAAGCTATCTTCTTTCCAGCTTGTGGAGTTCGAGCGAGAACTGCAGCCTCATCAGAGAACTAATGAGCATGGTCAGTCAATTGTTGAGGGGGTCATCGTTGAGCACAACATGACCGCTGTATCGAGACTCTACAACAATATTGCTCTTCCGACGCTGGCCGAATTGTTAGGTATATCTGTGGAAAAGGTATGCGGCTTTTTAGCTAACCTTGAATGCAGTAGTTTACGTATAACGTGCTGAATTCGTGCTCCTCTATACTGTTGAAGGTGGCATTATGTAGATGTTTTCTGCATTGCAAGAATCTACATGCAATTTGTGAGAAAAAGGGATTAGTAGGATTTGCTAGATATAACGTTTATAGGCCGAAGAGATTGTCGCGCAAATGATCTCAAGCGAAAGGCTTGCGGGTCACATCGATCAGCTTGAAGGATTTGTACATTTTGAGCGTAAGTTGATTGCTATTTGTTCAAAGTGTCTCCCTAGGTTCACCGATAATCTGAAAATTTACACCCTTTATCGATCACGACTGTCTTTTTGAAAATATCTGTAATAGTTGTATCACTTTTGCTCAGGTTACTGGCATGCAGTCGCTTTGCCTGGAAAGACGTCTTTTTGTATTGGTTGGTGGGGATAAATCAGAACTATAAGGCTTCGAATACCAAACCACAACCAAAAGTATCGCCACGCGGGTCTTGAGCAATTGAACACGAGCACACCTCAAACTTGGGTAATCAAACTTTATCTGGGTAACAAGAATAACAACAACAACATGGATAGAATAAATAACAAAATGATATTACTAAATGATGAACTACAAATAGGAATGATATGGCTGGAAGAAGGCACGAATAAATGATTCAAACTAATGTTGTAGTAAGAGGCGAAAACTGTATGGCGACTGACTCTGACTGTGCACTGCCAGCTACTTATATGCCTGAAACCAAATCGTCTAGGCACAGCTGTGCATGAATTCACAGATACGCGAAAGAAATGGTGAAAACCACATCTGATGCTAACATCTGCACATTCCTACAACAGCAAAAACAGTGCTAGCTACTAAATTCATCTTTGCTGTACGAGGCAAAAAATTACTCAACCACACAAACAAGTTCAAATAATCCTCGCATTTTGGGACAGAGAAGAAATAATACGAATGGCGGATTTCGTATACTTTTTGTGAAAGTGATATCAAGTTGAGTTATAGAGTCAGTATATGACTCACATTCCTCCCCATATAATTGTAAAAAATCTGCGAAACCTGTAAAAATTGTAGCATTAGTGAACTTTGTTTGCAAAAAAAATCTGTTGGAAATATAGCGCATGACCATAGAAGGAAGTAGCTGTGCCAGATAGAAGTTCCCTCAAATTTTCACTAACCGTAAAGAACAAGGCTTCCTTCGAGCAGCAGTGGCTGAATGATGAATGAATAGATGCAACTTTACAAAGTCCCTGAGTTGGCGTTTTTGATTTTTTTTTGTACAAAGGTATTACGAGAAAAGGTGTTGTCTTGGCTTATGGCGAGGATCGCTGCTTTGTGAATCTTCTTCCATTGCGTGGTTTTTATCCACCAAAAACGATCTCTCACTTGGAGCGGTAGTTGCCGTTATTTTCCGTAGATTTTGCTGCACTGAGTACTCACCCCGGCAAATATGTTCATGGACTACTTTACCAGCTAACGTCAACGTAGAGTGCTTGTATAACCATGCCGCAGCCCATATCTCTAGCAATAAGCTATCTCTATGTTTCAAATCTCGCTGCTTACTAGCGAATTCTGGGTGGATGCGGGAAAGGAAAGACTTTCAGTTTTAATTCCTCATCGTCAAATCAAGGAATTCGGTTGTACTGAGATTGTGTCAAAAGAGAACGCGCTCAGAAAACTTGAGAAATACTTTAAGAAAAGGTGCGTTTGAATTGGAGCGGAATGGGAGATATATTTGTTATCTATTGGTGCTTCGATATTGGTAGTCTGAATCTAACAAGGAGAGGATACTTACAAGGGAAGGATAGTTGGATGCCGCGGCCATTCCTAATGATTTGTATACCAAAAAATGCGCCTTCGAATGCAGATTCTGAATCTGTGCTCGAAATCTGCGAAGCGATCTTTTGAAGAAAGTTATGAACTTTTTTCCTTGAAAATTTAGCCTACTTTTGGATAGTAAAAATCACCAGATTTGATCTAGCCTACCGTTTGATGCTACTGAAGAAAATTTTAGACATAGTAATATTTATTTAGACTATCTAAATCATACTCAGCATTTGGAAAGGAGAGAAAATTTTTTTATTGATGATTCTGATCCTCCGCAGGAACGCAATTTTTTTAATGAAAAAAATCATAAATCCATTCAGATTACCGTTTCGCAGATATGAAAGACAGTCTACGAACCAGCATTCAAAAGCGCATTTTTTGGTATACAAATCATTATGAATGGCTACGGCATCCAAGTATCCTTCCCCTGTTAGTCGAAAGCACCAATCCAGATGAGACATATATCATCTTAAAGCGCTTGAAACGCTGATGCCAAATCTATAGTTTCTAGCTGCGGAACGGTTTTGTGGAAGGAGTTATGAGGGGTGTTTCATTCTGGGGTTGAGGCGCCCTCCAGCACGTCTCTCCTTATCTATAAGCACTGTAAAGGAGTACCATATGGCAACTGGCCTAGTGGTAAGTAATTTGAATGAAGATCACAATAAAGATCATAATACTCGTATAACATTAGTTTTTTTAAAACTTCTAACTTCGTTAAGCATCAAAATCATCAGAAATTCCAGGCTTTAGTGCTCCAAAGCCATTTAGGAGCTCAAAAATTGCGGCAAAGTTGCATGCTAAAGGATTCAAACCTTGACACTCTCCTCATCAAGCAATTCATTCACCACTAGGCCAGTTCCCACCAATTTGTACTCCTCTACAGTCTAGGTAAGGAGAGACCTGCGGAGGGCGCCTCAACCCCAGAGGAAAACACTCCTCATAACTCCTTCCACAAAACCGTTTCGCAGCTAGAAACTATAGCTTTGGAATCAGCGTTTGAAGCGCTTTAAGACGATATATGTCTCATCTGGATTGGTGCTTTCGAATAAGTATCCTCTCCTTGTAAGTCACTTTTCTGTGCAGATGCTGTTCGCGAAAAGGGTTATGACAGCTAAATATCTCATCTAATCTTGGCGTTTGTGAATCTTGGATCTATGCATCGTTGGAAAGGAAAAGGATATACAGGGTGTCCCAAAAAAATGTGAACACTGTTTGATCGTTAATAACTCCGTTGCTTTCATGTCGTTCGCAGAGCTTGAGGAACTCTTCTGTAGAGCGAGGTTCAACTTGAATTTGTAGCATGGAGCAAATCACCGGTCGTTTTTCGTTACTGTAGGATTACGGTATGAACTTCTAGCATATGGATTTATTGTGAAGTATGCCATTTGACAAATTTAAAAAAATCTGAAAAATCGTGTACTAGGGTTTTCGCGCACGCTAATCCCATTACATAACTTTTTACGAGTGTTTTTAGCTTTTTCGACGGTGTAGTCACATTTCTGACACATGCTGAAAATTCAGTCATTACGATTTACCTGGGATGAAAGAAGCATTACAGTAATGTGGGAATTTCATATTCGAACTCAGCGGCTTCCATTACCATAGTATAAAAGTTTTTGGCTTGTTTGCTTTTGTTCCGAGGAGAATATGACCTCCAAAGGGCCAAAATCCTTGTCGAAGTTCCTACCTTAATCCTACAGTAATAAATCGTGATCGACGATTCGCTCCATATCACAAATCTAATCTAAACTTCGTTCTAAAGAATGGTGCCTCAAGCTCAGTGAAAGATATGCAAGCAGGGGAGTTATTAACAATCAAACAGTGTTCACATTTTTTTGGGGACACCCTGTATTTCAAATTTTTCTCTATAGGAGTTATGTAGAACATATGATAATTTCGTTTTTATGCGTAAAAAGAGAAAAACGAATTTGTAGCATCCGTCTGAGATTAAGAGCTATCGTCTCAGTGCAATCTTAAGGGGGAGAATGAATTTGAATTCAGAGAAATGACGCGCCTAAACATTTTTGCAAATAGGGAAGACAGATGTGAACTCAACATCATAGTCAAAGCGTTTGTGGAGTTTTGATCAGTTATCCCCCGTACTTAAGAAATCGAGAAGTGTCAAAGTAGCTTTTAAAAGCTCAGTGATTGAGCCGTTTTGAAGTTTAGGATTAGTCTGCAAGTTATATCCGTAGCTTCTCCATTGGATACGGCAGACTTGATGCAAGAAATCAGGGAAAAGACTGGGGGATTTTCCTGTTGCTGCCCCTTCATCATTATGCATTTTGGATGGGAACTCTATGGTTAAAAGGCGCTTGTTTCATGATGTGGATGAAAGTTCATTCTGTTATACAAAAAAATGAAATCGTCTTGAAAATGCACTCATTCTGGAGGTTCTTCTCTTTCATACCATTAATAAAATAGCTATGTACTGCCAATTCTACAGAAATTCAACTTATATAGCTCGTAAAAGCTACGTTTGATAACTGACTTGTAGGTCAAGTTTATTATTTTGCGATGCGATTTGGCAGTGTGCCAGATGTCTTTAATGCGATAAATTGTTTACCAATGAGGAATCATAAGCTTTTGGATTTTTGCCAAATGTTGTGATTAAAACGCGTCATGTCAGACGGAATAATCAAACAGGACGTCAGATGACTCTTTGATAAATATGCTTCATGGAATGTCATAAGATCCATCTATCACATGACAGAGGGAGCATTCAAGATCTTGATTGACTTGGAAACTAGATGGAATAGTAATTAGCTGACCCCTTACGTGATGTCTCAACGTTCTCCAGGTAGTTGCCATCTTTGTTATGGACCATAAATAGGTTTCGTGTTCAAGTATTGCCATGATGGTATCACGCTGATGCTCAAACTCTGTTTGTTTTTATTTTCCCTGTTTGTGCGGCGCGCGCGTTACAGCGTCAAGCGCGTAGCGAACTTGCTTCGCGTAGTGAAAGCTTCTCCGAAACAAGTTGTTATGTAGTGTCAAGCTGTTCGGTCGTTCGCTGCCCTGTACATTGTGCGGACCATTCCCGTCCAACTGGTTATTAATAGACATCGCATTTGAGGAGGGCGACACTGAACAGTAACTGGTTTCATTCTGTTTACAAACAGTAATGTGAAGTTCCGCGAAAATGCTTGCGATCTTTTCTGTCAACATGAGTAACAAGAATTCCTAAACAAACTTGAATTGTTACAGAACGCGATCCACTGAAACTCTGGGACGAGCAAATCATGTCGTTTTGCCAGTTGGTGAGTTTGATTTAATTTTTTGTTTCATTAAGGTTAAAGGCTAGTCTCGGACGAAGGTGGATGAGTTGGTAGCGAAGAGGTTCAACGTGGAGGTCAAGCATTTGAAATTGCTGGAGCGCATGGGGTGCACATAGTAGACGCCGATAACCGCTCGCAATACGTTTACGCGTGCGGATACTTACTTCATGTGGATATCCTCGTTTCTCCATAACTGGCCTTTAGTACTCCACAATACAACAAAATTCCAAAATTGTGGTCATTGCTTACTTTTCATGATAAGCTTTTTAACAACCTTCTGAGCTTCTTACCGCGAACCCAACGCAATCTTTTCTGTCGCCACTTCTCTTTGCGAGGTTAGGGTAGGTTAGCGGTGGCGGGCTTGGTACTCTCCATAAAACGCTTACCTGACCCGTGTAGGAAGGTCGAACAACCACTTTGTAGAAGGTTTCAATCCCGTTACCATAAACCTACAGTTTTATGCTGATTACAAGTATCATATTCACTCGCTAACGTCGTCGTTGCGGGAAGGTGGATACCGCAGTTTACCGTCAATCCGCGAAGAGTCAGCATTTTGGAACTGTCTCCCTCCCCCCCCCCACCCTTCCACCCCTGCTAAAGTTCATGCAAGTCTGTGGATGTGTCACTTACCGTACACCTACAGTAATTTCGCTCAGGTATCAATTTATCACTATGTCAATGACCCTTGCGAGCAATTTCAGCTAAATTTGAGATTCCGTAATTCTTGGTTGTGTATTGTGGGTTAGCTCATATCTAATTTCACGAAGTTACTAGAAGTGATTGATAAATAATTTAGGTCAATAAAGTCAGTGACATGATTGTGCAACAACATCCGGAATTGGCACGATGAAATTCTTAAGCAAGGATTAGGTTCGAATGTGTGAAAGGCCGGTGAAGGTCAACATGGTGGCATCAGACTACCTGTTTCATGTTATTTTTAGTAGCATGTTCAGTGACCGCTATTGTTGTCATTTGTTGCTATTTGTCCACAGTCTACGTGTATTTATGTAATCCTTTTTTTTTCAACGCTATTCTGTAATCTGAATTTTTTTGTATTTTTGTACAGCTTTTGCCAAATAAATCAACAAACGACGAAAGGCAACTGTGTAAAAATCTCAAATGTTACATTTGCGGATGATGACCTTTATTTCAAAGCATCCTTGCACGTTTTCGCATTCTCGAGAAGAAGAAGTTTCCACTAGAATTTCGGTAATGGTTCATAGTTCACTAGAACGGAGGGTTCTTGCCTGCCTCATTTGTTCGTACGATTTACCAAACAGCAGCCTCTAAATGTGATGATGAAGAAGCATAATAAGCGACAGGAATAATGGCGCATCATTTATTTCAATAACAGAGGCAAATACAAACAATCACTTCTTGACTTCTGAAAGTGAAAAATGAAAAATTTGTGAAATTATTTGTGGTTTATCACTTTTGTATAAAGGGCTAAAATGATGCTGCAAGAGAAGTTCCAAGTCAAAAATATCTAAACGACAGACTTGGATAATCATCTTGTAAATATTTTGAACCGTTGACGACAGCGCGGAACTTTAGTTCTCTGTCTTGTGGGACAATGCCTTCCACTAGTAAGCTAAAAAATTTCTAGCTAAATTCACGCAGATCGCCATCTACAGTATGACTACAGCAGTTCTAAGAAAAGTCGTGAAACGCGGAAGTAATCTCTAGGGTCAGAGTGTAAGAGGACTTCTGAAGCGCAAGTACACCAAAATTTCTGGTTATTTCGACAAAATCTGACCCAACAGTGGGTCGCGTCGTCGCCAATGTGTTAAAATCGGTGCAGACATTTCACTGTCGCACTTGAAATACTCATCAGGCGAGGGGCGGTGTTAGCCAGTTTCCAGCATAATTAGACATGTGATGAACGCACTTCAAGCACCTGAAGCTTGAAAACAAATCGGAAGAGAGATAGAGACGATTACTGCTCGCTCAACCTCAAGATATTTACAATTATAAATTATATTATAATATCAATAATTTTAGATTTCTTTCGTTGTCAGTGACGTCATTCGAAAGGTGGTCATAATATAAATTAAATAGATATGAATCTTTTATTTTGGGAATTCTCAGATTCACGATCTGATTCGCACTAAGTGAGATCTGTTGTATGCGGCAGGCGAAGATGGCAACGATTATTTAGGAAAGATGACAAACGCAGGCTTTCGTAGGAACCCAGAATAATGATGCATATTTTATAAGATTGCCTGACGAATAAATTAAAGCTGTTGCGAACTTCTGCGCATGAAAAGGTTCGTTGAGCTTATATTTTTGAGTTTTGCTGCTCATGGTAACTCTACGCGAAGGTGTTGTCCGCAACGTAAGCACACTGTATCACTCTTTCCCTCGAGTGGCCTATCGGTTCATTAGCAAGTTTGTAAGGAACAGTTCAAAATAGTAAGACGTTTAGACCCTTCGTCCATGAAGACTTGTGTTTTGGTAGAAAGCAGTCCCTAGGAAATTTCAATCTAAACACCACCAAGTCCAGCTGTACCTCATTCCCTACCCAAGTTCACTTTCCCCTAATGTGAATGATTGCTTTCGACATTAAGCATTGACCATTAGCAATCTCGCGACGGATAGCTTTCTAGAAAAAGCAGCTATACGATGAATTGTTGGCTATTGAAGTTTCTTTCGTTTTCGATTTCCCGTCGGGTGAAGTGCTTAGGGCTGCAGAAGATTGCGCTCGCGCAAGCCGTCGATGTGGTCAATCAAGCCGAAAGTAGCCAGTTGCGCTTTCGACTGTACGAGAGCGAGAGTGTGGCCGAGCGCCGGATTGTCCAGTTCATTGACGACTCCATTCATATTCGTTTTTTGCTTTGCTGCTGATTGCGGCGTTGCGCAGTGCGCAATGTTGAAATTGCGCAGCTACTGCGCTACGTGTGCCGCATTTTCGATAAGCAGTGAATATTACGAGCTTTCGCTTGATTGGATGTCTACGACAGACAGAACTAGACAATGGCCCGTAGTAAAGCTAATTCAGTTCAGGTGAACTAAACTGAGGACCTCATCCAAGATTCCTTGAGGTGAAATGAACCGCACCCTTCTCATGCTGTAAGAATGCAAAATGAAATTTCGGTTGACCTTCCGTCTACCTGACGAGGTTGTCCCTACTTGAATCAATTCACATTCAGTTAGACGACGAATGGATTTGAACAGTGTGTGGTTTGCTGCGGTAATTGAAGATTTTTTGAATTAATTATCATGCCTCATCACTGGACAGTTCCATTGTTGATACGCTCTTACGCTCCGTCCTCAGCAGAATCTGTGCGTCGATAATACAGTCTGCCTCAATCGGGATCAGGCTAGGCCCTCGAATATACCTCGCGATCTCTCCAAAATCGCAGAGGTGCGCGATCTGGCAATTTGTTAGATGTCCGCAAATCTACCTCGTGTGCTCATGTGCACAGGCGCATGGCTTTTGTAAGCTTATTTAGCTGGCTTGGTGGCTGAAAGTGGTGATAATGATCAGAGACCGCGCGCGCAAGAGACGCAGACTGCGTGGCGGGCGCGAACGACCTTAATTAGGTAACAAAGCCCCGCCTTCCAACCACCAAGCCAACTGAATCAAAGGTTAGGCGTATGATATAGAGAAAAGTTGCAGAATTTGCAACAACAATGCATAAAGGGTTATTTGAGCTGAATCATGAATAAAAAGGATTGAAAATCAGAGGAGCAACAAATAGCTGACCTCCAAAGTCGGCAGTCTCTAAAGTAGCAAATGCACACGAAAGGCATTTTCAATCACGTATTTAGTGTGCAGCTCACCAATATTGCGAAAACAATATGCACTTCATTAACAAAAGATCAGTTCCTCCTGCAGCAGCGATAACTTCTTGAAAAGAGTAAAGGCAAGTGAATTTCACAAATTCATTAGGATGTTTTCTAGATAGTTGTTGACATACAAGAGAACGTAATGTTCATTTGTAAAATCGTGATACGGATTTGACTGCGGTCTTTGCGCCCAAGGGAGCATAACACGCTCATAAAAAAAGGCATCAACCAAATGCCCAGCTCAGTCACTTCCAGCGCCCAAGCCTATCATACCTATGCAAAAAAACCAGTCGAGTACAGATTACCAAGAAAATGCGTTGTCGGGAGGTGTGTGCGTGTCGCGCGCAGTTGCGCCATTGTCGCGATTTTTCGAATGGTCTATAGAGTTGGGCCTGCCATACTCAGTAATGGCGCCGTGATGTAAATTGTTTTCTCTTATTGCTTTTAATGCATGGCTTCTGTATTAAGGCGATGTTTTGTAGCGTAACTTCATGACTATTATTTTCATTTTATTTGCGCAATTAGTTTCAACTGCGGCCTGTACCCATCCAAACGTTGCAGTGCTGCTGAAATAGGCAGTATTATCCTAAGAGTTGGCATGCTAAATGGGAAAATTGGCTTAAGAGAGCGAAAACGCGATCTATATGCGGGTGAAAGCCAAGAAAATTTCGATGATTTGCAGAGACAAAATAATAAGCATTGAAACATTTGACCTCTGATTTAACCGACATGGCGGCTGGAAGGCGGGACTTCGTGACCTAATTAAGGCCGCTCGTCTCCGCGACGCAGTCTGCGTCTCTCCCGCGCGCGTGCTCTCTGATTTTTACTTAGCCCCGCTTTCCAGCCCTAGCCAGTTGAATCAAAGGTTATATAATATGCTCTCTTGAAATGGCCATCAAAAATGAAAATAACTAGAAAGAATTATGTTTTCGCGTTGATCGCTCGGCAGTTTCCATGCCTTTGTTTCGTTAGTACTGGAGAATCATTATAATGGGCCGTATGGTAACAAAAAATACGGGGAATCATGTAAAATTTATCTGTCACTCAGGAAAAATGTGATTCTTTGACTTAGCGGTAAAGAAGGTTTCAAACTCGCTGGTAATGTTGATTAACAATCACAAAATCAACATTTTTTCATAAAATCTATGTTTAAAATCAAAAGTAATTGCTTTACAAAACCGATTGGAAATGTCTCATCTGATTTACAGAATTTTTTCGCAGAATTTTTCAGAATTTCATTTTTTTAGAATTTTGAAATTCGATTTGAGCACGAAGGCTACTGAACTCATTACCAGCATGCTCTTCAGTTTTGAGAAAATTTTTGATTTTAAGTGCACCTCTTCACATTCTTCTTTATAAATTAGTGAACCAATAGTCCTAAAGGTCCTAGATTTGCATCCGCGCGCTTCGGGACCACATTGCGGTTTCCGGTATCTGATGTATTTTGCATTGGCACAATTCTTTATATATTAAGATTATTATTATGCAACCAAAGCTGGCTTGATTCGCAATTGCTGCTACATACACATGTGCAATTATGGAAGTCTTGGATTTGAGTGATTTCAAATTTTTAGGACTAAAAATATATTTTGCAGAGAAACGATGAAGCTGTGCACTTCTGTTTGCAGTAGCTGCAAAGCCAATTTTTTTCAGCTAGCAGGATAGTGCAGATAACATCAATTCAGTAACAATTGGTCCTAGCTTCATATACCCTGATATCACATGTATTTTGATGTTTTCCCGTTGAATGTTGTGTGTCCCGGCACGTGTGTTGTCTACGATTGTAGGTTTTTGCGATGTATTTTCGATGATATATTTACGTTCACTCGTGAATAGTATGAATAATCAGAAATTCCATCTGATAGAAAGTGCAATGCACTTTTGTGTGCTTCGAGAGAATTACATTCTATACATTGCATTTCTTTCCGATTGTTATGTTTTTCATAGATCTATGCAGGTGATGGCAATTTCTTCTATATCGTTTATATTTTTCCATTCGACAGTACACTTTATTGAATATTTCTATTATGATTAAATTTGTTGTAGTGTTGTCCGACTGCGATTCTATGAGTTCCGATCCGACTCTACTTCAATTCGCGGTCTAAATAAAAATGTAATGCAAGATCATACACATTCGCGTAATAAGGTCCTTTTGCGCGGATAAACGCGACGCACCACCCACGCGGAGCGGTTGGATTGTCGTCAGTATTATATTGAACTACATTTCGCCTCAAAATTCTAAGTGGTAGCTATTTCTAAGCTAATTTTTGTAGCTTGGGTCTTGAATATGTGTCGGGATGGTC